AGATTCGGTTTCATTATTTTTTTTCTGGCTTTTCTTGTCCTGCCGGTTCTGCTGTGTTTCTCGCGTCGTCGGCAGAGTTACAGCACTTTCCTTCTCCCTCTCTCTCGCTCTCTCGGCACCAATTGAGCCGTTTTACATGGGGCCAATTTGGTGCTGCTCAAGGCCGGGATCCAGATCGCACAGCCAATCAAAACACCACAAAGGACCTCCCCAGCGGCGGCGTCGCGTGGCGGAGTGGCGCGGCAGGGCAAACAGGGCGAAGGCGTCGCGACCGTCGCGCCGATGCGCCCTGTGGGCACGGCCCGGCCCGGCTCGGCTCGGCCCGGCTCGGCTCGGCTCGGTCCGGCTCGGCTCGGCTCGGCCCGGCTCGGCTCGGCTCGGCTCGGCTCGGCTCGGCTCGGCTCGGCTCGGCTCGGCTCGGCTCGGCTCGGCTCGGCTCGGCTCGGCTCGGCTCGGCCCGACTCGGCTCGGCTCGGCCCGGCTCGGCTCGGCTCGGCTCGGCTCGTCACGACACCACGCAACACTTTCGCTTGACAGAATCGCGCGGCGTACTGGCGCACTGCGAACCTTGCCCGCCCACGCCGCGCTGGAGGGCGGCATGCCTGCCCGAGAGTCGACTTCATCGCTCCGCCTCTCTTGCACCAATAAGAACGTCCCATCGAGTGCGAGACAAGGACTCTCGGAATCAGTCTGCTGGCTTTCCTGGCCAAGCACGAGATGTCCGTCATCCTGGGGAAGGTACACTGTCGGAAAGAATGACATTCACCTGGACAGCGTAATCAAACTGCTGCGCAAGCTGCGGCTAGAACAGTGCTCTGGTCGCTCTGTCTCTCCCGCACTCGCGGCGGCGGCGCGGTTCGTGAGCGTGCGAGAGAGACCGACGGCCGAGGTGGCTGAACTGGGCTGGCCGCGCTGGCCGAGTGAGTGGCAGTGGGACAATGTGCCAAAAAGTGAGGCTGCCTCTACACTATCAGAAAGAGGCGGCTTGGCCGGACCGCTCATGGCCGGCGGCACGCGAGGCTCGCGCGGTCACCCACATAGACTCTCTGTCTCGCTCGCACCCCTCCGAGACACGCCGTGAGTGCGAGAGGGACAGAGCCACGCCAACGTCGTGAGGCTGTCGGGGCTTTCTTCCTGTGCTGCGCGTGGCGGACCACGTGTGCGGACTGCGTCGCTCTGTCTCTCTCGCACTCGCAGCGCGGACGAAACGCTCCTCGAACTGCGGTAGGCAGCCCGGTGCGTGTCGTTGCCTACTTCCGGACTGGGTTGCTCGCCAGAGCCTACGGTCAGCGCGTGGCCGAGCGCGTAGGGGTATCGATCCCCAACCCCGAGGTCTCGCGTTCGATACCCCGCGCCTCTAGAGCGCCATTTACTTCTTTCCGAGCTGCACTGCGACTCCACGTGTCGCCGGGACGAACGGCTGGTTGCTGCATGCAATATGATAATGAGCCTAGCCGGCCTGGCGTCGCCTAGTAACACACGGCCATCCTGGCACACTCGCGGCAGGGCCGAGGCAGGGCCCGTGCCGAAGCGACGCGGTGACCCAACTGCGCGGCCGGTCAGTCGGGTGCCGTCGGGTCACGGGGGTGGCTGGTCGGAATCACTTCGCCACGTGGCTTAGGGGCCGACCCTCCGGAGCACCCCGCCCCCCTCTCCCGCTGGGCTCTGCTGGGATCTCCATCAACACTGCACGGCCGCCTGCGCGCCGTTTTCGCCTAATGGGGCGTGCGTCGTACACTGTGGGATGATGTCAGTCAAGAGCGCGCCAATCGCTTCATTAGGCTTTTGTTTCGGCCGATTTCGGCTGCTGTCTTTTTCTTTTCTCCTTTTTCGGGCTGGGCGGGGCGGGGCGCACAGTGGGACAGAAGACCGGTGGAGGCGGCCAAAACTCCAGACGCGTTTTGAGCTCCAGAGTCGCTAAACGGAACGTGTGACTCCAGCAATGGCTTCCTCGTTCAGGGAGCAATCCATTGGTGGGGTCACACGTTCGGTTCGAGTCCCATTTAGCGACTCTGGAGCTCAAAACGCGTCTGGAGTTTGGCCGCCCCACCGGTCTTCTGGCCCACTGTGCGGGGCGGGGCGGGCCCTCCCATTATCGTCGTTGTTATTCCACAGGTAGGCGAATTCAAATTCCCCGGCCGTGGGCGCGGCGCCACCGAAACCGCTGCGGATCACAGGGCGGCCGTCGTCGTCGACCGCAGGCTGCCTCGTGCCTCGGGGGAGGGGAGGGGGAGGGGGAGGCAATATCGGCTGCAGGAAGGAGCGAGACGCCCTGTGTATTGGCACGCACGGCAAGGGCGTAAACAGATTCCTCCCCCGGGCCGAGGGCCGCCGAGGGCCGCCCGGGCGGACCAAAGTGGAGGCCAAGAATTGGGCCACTGTCCGCCACTAACGAGCACTGCGGGCTGATTGCGGACAGTCTCTGTCTCTCTCGCACCCCTGCGGCCCCTGCGGGACGCCCCACGAGTGCGGGAGAGACAGAGTGGGTGTGTAAACACGCGGCCGGTATCGAGTGGTCTCGTCAAAAAGATTGCTCTCGTTGATGAGCGCCGAATGCACTTTGTTGATGTTGTTGTTGTTGCTGGCCGGGTACGCCTGGAGGCACGCCGACCACACTATCAGGATCGTGACCCAGTTGCGGGCGAGCGTGTTGCCTACCCATTAAGGCGCAGTGCCGGCAGTGCCCCTTGCCTCATTCGGCTCGCATTTCGATTTGACCGCTCAGCAGGCAGCCCATGCCGAACACAGTGCCATCGCCTTGCCGTCTCTCACACTCGTGGAGCATTCCGTGGGAAGGTGAGAGAGACACCAGACTGCAGCCTGGCCCAGCCCCAGCCTCCTGGTGCTCCCATGCCGTGTCCGCGGTCATTTTCGCCCCCGGTGCGTCCCTCTGCTCCGTCTCTGTCGCACTCGCGGGGCGTCCCGGGAGGGTGCGAGAGAGACGTGGCGCCGCTTTGAAAGTCGCTGAGCTGGGCCGGTCGGTTCCGGTCGTTATTCAGATGAATGGGTCGCGGGCCGCGGCGCGGGAGATTCAAAGTGTCGCCATGGCAACGCGTGGCGACCGCGGCGGCGCGGGGGCGGGAACGAGCCCGTGGTGACAGGAGTGACGCACGCCCGTGCGCGCGGGGTCGCTCTGTCTCGTCGCACCCCTGCGGGCCGCCCCATGGGTGCGAGAGAGACAGAGCAAGGGACACGCCGCGTCAAAGCGGTTAGGTCTTTCTTTTCCCGCCCATTCGCGCCTCGAGTGCCTGTCTGTCACACGCGCCTCGCGTTGGTTCGCACTCGCGCCGCGAGCCGCGACACTGTAGCGGCGCTGCGAGCGCTGGCGGCGCGCGCCAGTGTGAGAACACGAAACACGCACAACAGGTGAACGACCCTGTGGTCACATACCCTGGCTCGTAGTCGAGGCGGCGGCCCGCCCATCCCGGCCCACAGTGAGCCAGAAGCCGGTGGAGGCGGCCAAAACTCTAGACGCGTTTTGAGCTCCAGAGTCGTTAAATGGGACTCGAACCGAACGTGTGACCCCACCAATGGATAGCTCTCCGAACGAGGAATCCATTGGTGGGGTCACACGTTCGGTTCGAGTCCTATTTAGCGACTCTGGAGCTCAAAACGCGTCTAGAGTTTTGGCCGCCTCCACCGGTTTCTGGCCCACTGTGCGGCCCTAGCTCGCCTTTTTGGCACAGATCGTCACCGTGGCGTGGCGCGGCGGCGCGGCGTGACGAGGTCTATTTTCGTGGTTCAAGGCTCCCGGGCCGCCCTTCGGGCCAGCCTTCGGCCCTCCGGCCCGGCCGTCCACGGCCCTGCGTCCTAGGCCCTAGGTGCATGCGCCGACACGTGGCCCGAATAAACGCCACTTTACGAGTTTCGAAAGCCGCAGTGCCGCAGCACGGCCGCAGCCTCGCCGAGCCAGACGCCGCAGGATCCACAGTCCGGCCAGGCCATCCCGACAGAGACTATTTATCGAAATCCGCCGGCCGACTGGCCGACTGCGATTGGATTGGGAGTGGTCACCGAGAGCTGGCTAAGAACCGGTCGGCCTGGGGGTGGCGGTAGTGGAGGGGGAGGGGGGCCTTACGAGGTGCCTTATGTAACCTGCATGATGCGTCCGACCGGTGCAAGACAACAGGCTGGCCGGCTCGGCTTCGGCTTTCGGCACACTCGTAAACAGCGAACGAGCCATTTCAAAACACACACACTTCATCGCGTGTTTAGGAACGCGGCGAGAAACTTTGCAAGGATGATCCTCCCCTCGCCCTTCGCGCCCTCGCGCCTTTGCACTCGGTTTTCGCGAAGACGCGAACGCAGACTCTCTGAGTGCAGTCAAAGGAGGTAACTGACATTTGTCACGGGCAGATGGACCGTTGGGTGACGTGCTGGCAGTGCTGTCGCCTCATTTCGAAGGGTCGTTGTGTCGCTGTCTCTCTCGCACCCCTGACGGAACCCAAGACACGCCCCTCGAGTGCGAAAAGGACAGAGCGACTGCTCTGGTCAAGCTAGAGGTGTCAAGGTGACGCGGGCCGGCGTGGCACGGCACGGCAGCGACCGTAAATTTAGCCGCGGCACTCCACAGATTCACAACCTCAATTCCACAAATACACGGCGCCGCAAATATACCGCAGCAGCCTCTGTGAAGGAGGGGGCATTATCACCTCGACAACTTGCCACTGCACTGCGAGCGGCTGCAGTGCGAAGCCATGCGAAGCGCGAGCGCGCCGTCAGTCACCTGTCACCAACACAAGCACCGGCAAGCACGCGGGGAAGTCCGCCGCCGGAACACGCGCTGTCGGCGCGGTCCTTCTGTCGGGACGCCACACTCGTCACACTCTGGCCACGCCGGCCAGGATGTCACACTGGCATGTCACACGCCGCGGCCCCGGCCCGGTTTCGAACCCGAGCCGCCGGCGCCGCAGGCCGCTGCTGTAGGCCCCCGGCTGCGGCAGCCACGTGACCGAGTGCGGTTCTTCCAGCCCGACGAATCGACGCGCTGCTGCACCTACCGTGAGGTTAGGTGCGTTCCGGTGTCGTGGGGCGGAGACGCGGAGACGGTCGTCGCGGTGCTCACTCACTCACTCGACTCGAGCTCGCTAGGCTCTGGCTAGGGCTGCGTTCGGTTCGTTCCGCTGGTCCGCGCGCGACAGACTCAGTCACTACACTGGCTGCTTGGCTGGCGCTGGCGCTGCGGCTGGTACGGCCGCTGGGACCTCGGAGAGGGGAGGGGAGGGGGCGGGGCCCACGCCGCTCACGGTCTTCACCTTCATGGCGTTGGAGTCGGAGGGCGAGGGGCGCGGAGGTGGGCCACACTTCCAGGCCGCTCCAGGCATCCAGGCTGGATGGAGTCCAACTCCCGCAGGACCCGCAGGGCGTCCAATCGTTGCGTAACCCGAGCAACAAAGTTTCCGATTCCAAAGTGAATCCGTGGCAGCTTTGACAAAATGCACGTTCGGCGGACGCGCCTGCGAGTGCCCACACTTCCTGGCAGGCGCCAATCCATGGCATTTCCGCACTGCAGGCTGCAGGGGGCCTCGGGCAGCCTCGGGCAAGGCGAGCCGGCCTGTCGTCGCTCGGTCTCTCTTGCACTTGTCCGGGGCGCCGCGTGAGTGCGAGAGAAACAGAGCGACGGAACGCACCGGGCCGGCACACGCCGCGAGGGGTCGCACCGGACGCAACGCACCGGAAAGGAAAGGACCTGCTGGCCTGCTGCTGGAGGCGGGCAAGGCGGGCTGGATCCGTTTCAATGTCACTCAATCCTCTGGAGCACGCCGCCTCCAGCCTTCGCGGATCAGGTGCAGTGGGCAGATTCCGAACACTCGTCGTGTCCATCTGTCTCCGTCGCACGCATGGCGTGCCCGAGACACGAGTGAGAGAGACGGAGCGACGAAAACGCGACTGCCAACCTACAGGACGGACCCAAGCCTGTGTTAGGGGTTGCCTATTAGCAGGCGTTTTGCCAATGATGATTTTTTTTTCATTTCGGGGAGGGAAGCATTGCCCCTAATAAAATCGCAACCGCCACTGTACTCTGCGTCCGCTTTTTCTCTGAACGCTTGAGTCTGCTTGGGTACAGACGCGCAAAGTCCGTGGACTTCCCCGCCCGCTGAGCTGCGCCCCCTTCATAAAAAAAACTGCCATGAAGAAAGCCGCCGACTTGCGCAGCGCTTCCGAATGCAAAGGTCCAACGCGGGACTTGCGAGACGACATTTTTGGCCCAAGTGCCACCGCGAAAAAGAATAAACGAAAATGAGGCACGTACCGCTGAATGTCAGGAGGGGGTGGGCGAGTGCCGGCGTGTCTGGGTCGCAACAAAATGTCAACATTCCGCCGAGCCAGAGCGCCAGAGCCAGCAGAGTGAGGACAGGAGGCGCTTCCCTCGGGGCGCTGCGGCTGCAGTCTCCCACTGGGGTTCCCACCCTTCCCTCCCCGGCGAAATGAGGAGGGGGAAGCTACCCAGGACGATCCACAGTGGGCCAGAAGACCGGTGGAGGCGGCCAAAACTCTAGACGCGTTTTGAGCTCCAGAGACGAATTAAAGAGTTACTGAACTAGAACAGTCAATGCTCCTGAAGAAAGTTTGATTCTGTTTTTATACAGACATTGGTAGTTTGTATTAATAATGTACTTAAGTCCAAGTGTCAGCTGGTAGGATGGTGGGAAATAACTCAGGCGGAGTCCAAGGCAAGAGTGAGAAAGATTTAATCCGGAGCAGGTGTTTTTATAGACTTTGTTTTACAATGCAGAAAACTGTTCGATACAATTGATTCTAGAGAGCAGAGATAAGTGACCGGAAGTAGATTACACTATTCGTACTACTACAACAAATAAAGGCAGCTTATAGTGCCTAATCATACATTTAATATTACAAATAGGTATACTAATAGGTAACTAGGTATAATTCTATTCTTCAGAAGATAATACTGATGCGGTGAAGAAAACAGTCCAATATTACACGTCAGACCATAGGTTTAACAGTTCAGACAAGAACAAACAGAACAAGAGAAAACAACTAAGAAATCAAGTGGATTAAATCCTAGATGATTGATTATGTCTTGATTACAAAACAACTATTATGGCAAGAGATGTAATCAAGGGGAAATCACTGTGAATTTTGGTGTGCAAATCCAATGAATTTCAGTTGAATTTTGATAAATTTCAGTCAACTTTCAATGAATTTCAGTCAAATTTCAATGAATTTTATTGAATGTTACATGTTTGATGAATTTTGGTGTACAAATTTGGCTGAAGTTATTTCCCCTTGGATGTAACTGGAGAACAAGACTCAAGCAAGTTAAAACAAACACCTGAGTTTTTTTGTATAAGGAATAACACTTTCAGATTTTGTATGGATAGAGAACAAGCAGCCCATATTTCCAAGACGATTTAAGGCATTGCCTCTGCACTTGAGGTGAGGAACAGTTTCCTTCACGACCTTCATAAGGTGAGGCAGATTCTTACCACCATGATATACGTCTGTCACATGCACTTCTTCTAGTGTTCCACGAAGAGCATGGAGGAATCTTGACAGCGCACAAGTGGTATGAAGACTTTCATTAAAGGGACCAATACCTATAGATCGTCCAGAGCGCGAACTTCCAGTCCTGAAAATGTGGACTCGTTTGCAAGAGGGAAGCCTTTCTGCCAGCATGGGAAGGAATGTTTGCAAAATCAGTCTACGATGTTCGGGCACATTGTATGGACAGAATTGATCACAGAAACAAAGGGACACATCAAGGATATGAGACAGTCCCTCCACATTAGGCAACATACCCTTGATTTTTTCGTAATCATACCAAGGCGCTACAATGAAGTCAATAAAAATCTGCTGTTTGAAGGTTTCCAAGGCATGTAGGCAACTCATAGGAAATCCAACTATGGCCTGAAGTTTACCACAGTCTTTCAAAAGATTTTGAACTTCCGGGAAGATCCAGATGCCCGGGGTAAGATGAAGCTCTTCCAAAAAAGGTGTCTTACTTCTCAGAAATGGTATAATTAATTTGTGGACAAGTACCTCAAAATTTTTAAAAGCTCTTTTAGGGGCTTTTAAATTCATAGCTATTGCTTCAAGCTTCAACTCTTGGTTCTCCAGCTCCCCAAAATACCACTTTGGATTTACAGCCCCTTGATGACGGGCTATGTACGAAAGTGTCCCAGTGAATCTTATGATCCTCAAATTCCTCATTTCAGAAATGAGTTTAAGCATAAAACCAGGTCGAGGTTTGACACCATCCTTAAAGGTGCCACCTTCCCCGTATGATAGACGCTCATCTGAAATAGTTATAATGAGCTCCTCAAGAGTGTCCTTAAAGCGCTCCAAAAACTCTACTATGACCCTTGGGTGGGCAAGACAGAAACAATAAAAGTGTTTGACACTTACTGGTCCATTACTCAGAAGGCTTAAAAGTGGTTCACTTTCCTCAGACGGCATAGAATGTACATCAAGCATTTGAAAATACTTAATAGCCTTAAAGGCTCGCAGGAAACGAGCATAACTGTCTCGATCAGGCTTATAATCATAGTATATATTTTTGTTGGGCCACAAACTTTTGTGTTTGGACAATTCACACCAATGCTTGCAAACAGGAGCAATGTTAATAAGAGTATTGTCACTAAGTTTACTAAATATTGTCAATAAAATTTCATTAGGCAGCATGAGAATTGGGCATTCTGAACTATTTTGCTCCATCACATCAACTTCGTCACTTTCCTCAGTTATTTCTGCACCTCTCTCTTCAGGGAATACTTCCAGATTTTCTAAGCTTGCTTCGGTTCTTCTTATCATTCTTTGATCCAACGAAGAGCATCCAGCTGATCCGCTTGATTCTGAATGGGAAACCTGTACAACAGAAATTAGGGACCACTGAACATCATTAAAGCATTCGCACACTTGAGCATACATTAATAGGGTGAAGTGGCCTACTTGAACTTCAGCGACTGAAATCATCCCCTTGGAGGAGACAACAGGCTTCATCATCACTGAAAGACATGTCTTTTCAGGATTGGGCTTCGATTGGTTTCCCCTGGAGGCCTCACCACAGGTGTGTAGGCCCGACCCGGCTTTGTTTTCACCGGCAACCGGCAGCTGCACTTCACTTTCACCTGAGGCCTCCAGTTCTGACCTTTCTCTAGATGCCTCTAACATTGGCACATGCAAATATAGTCAATATTGACAACTGACATTTTACTGCGGCTGCGAGCGGAGCGCTGCTCTGCCGCGCGGCAAAGACCCGAACCTCCGCAGTTACAGCCGCGACTCACAGATGGCGCTGGGCTACGGTCCTGGAGGCGTCTCCTGTTTCCCGCGGGAGTTTTTCAAACGCCAGAAAGTACTCGCCAATGCTCGCGCGGTGCCGAGGTGCCGAGGCCGAGGGCAGCAGCAGGTACTGGGACTGGGGTGGTGTTATTGAAGTGAGCGATGGGGATGGGGGCACTCGAGGGTCCCCGTGAAGGCCGTGGAAGTAACCAGCGGAGGCAAGGGCTGACACCGTAACTGCCATGTTTTAAAAAAATTAAAAGAAAAAAAAAGAGTTGTGTTAAAGGACAAAAACAAATAAACCGAGAAATAAAAAGTAAAAAAAAAATATTACCACTGATTAAAATAACTGGACCAAGTTGAATGAAGAATTGTTTTATAAAGCAAAACATTACATTCGTAATCTCTTACATGCTATTTTTACATTATTTTTTTTTCAATGACCTTCTTTTTCATAATTTACCTGCTTGTGTTCCAACAAAAGTGATCCTGCATTGGGAATAACACTTTCAGATATATTGCGGACAGAGAACAACAAGCCCTTATTTCCCAGACAATTCGCAGCAATGCCTCTGGACTTGAGGTGGGGAACACTTTCTTTGATAACCTTTATAAGCTGCGGGAAATGCTTACCACTTTTATATGCATCTGACACATGAACTTCTTCAAGGGTACGACGAAGAGCATAGAGAAACTTTGACAACGCACAAGTACTATGAACACTTTCAACAAAAGGTCGAGCGGCTTCCCACCTGAAAATGTGGACTCGTTTGCAAGAGTGAAGACTTTCTGCTAGCATAGGGAGGAATGTTTCTAGTCTGGTGTCCAAAATATGTTCATCCGATCTCATGCGAAGTTGGTCACAGAAACGAAGAGACACCTCATGGATGTGAGACAGCCCCTTATAATTAGTCAGCAATCTCTTGATTTTTTTGAAATCACTCCATGACCCGACAACAAAGTCAATGAAAAGCTGTTGTTTGCAGTCTTCCAATGCATGCAGGCAATCAATTGGGAATCTAACTAATGCTTTAAGGTTCTCACAGTTTTTCACAATTTCTTGAACTTCCTTGTACTTCCAGATATCTGTAGTAAGGTGAAGCTCTTTCAGGAAAGGTATTTTACTTCTTAGAAATGGGATAATAAATTTTTGAACAAGTATCTCTCTTGGATTTTCAAACCTCATAGCTATTGCTTGCAGTTTTAGGTCTGGGTTCTCAAGCTCCCCAAAGTACCACTTCGGATTGACACGCCCTTGATGATGGCCGATGGATGGCATTGTTCCAGTAAATCTTATTACCCTCAAATTCTTCATTTCAGAAATAAGTTTCAGCAAAAAGCCAGGTCGAGGTTTAACACCATCTTTGAAGGTGCCACCTTCCCCATATGATAGGCGCTCATCTGAGATGGAAATATTGAGCTCCTCAAGGGTATTCTGATAGCGTTCTAGTAATTCTACTATGACCCTTGGGTGGGCAACGCAGAAACAATAAAAACGTCGGACACTTTCTGGCCCATTCAGAAGGCTTGAAAGAGCTTCTCCATGTACAGCATGCATATCACTAACATCTAGTGTTCTCAAATATTTAGCAGCACGAACAATTCGCAAGAAACGAGAATGACGAGGACAACGGTCAAAGGCTACATCTTCAGTGAACCACAAACTTTTGTGTTTGGACAATTCACACCATCGCTTGCACACTGGAGCAATGTTAATAAGTGAATTCAAACTAAGTTTACTAAATATTTCTAATAACATGTCATCTGGGATCATGTTGATATTTGGATAATGTTCTGCACTAATCTGTTCTTCAGTTTTCCTAGTTATTTCAGCACTTATCTCTAGAGGGCATTCTTCAGGTTTAACTCGCTTAGCTTCAATATTTTCTAGGCTTGCATTATTTCCTCTCTTCACTCCTTGATTTGAAGAAGAGCATCCTGCCAACTCCCTTGATTTTCCACATGATTCTTCAGACTGATGGTCAGCCTGCCTGTTGAAATAACTAGGCCGGAAAAAAGAAGCCTGGAACAGGAAACAGAGCCACAAATCATTATTGAAACAATGAAGCAATGCAACCAGAGATTGTAAGGGTTTATCTAGCATACCTGCGTTTCCGGCATTGAATTCCCAAGATTAGAAGAACAGCCAACTTTAGAAAGTATATTGTTCAAACTTGAAACAGGATCAGTGCCTTGCAGGGGGTGGCGCAGATGAACCTCGACAACAACACCATCTCTCTGGCCATCATGAGCATAATCATGTTCATGGTTAACATAGCCATTCTGCTCAATGCCAGCAGGTCCAAACTGCACATGGTTGTTGTCAGCATCCAAGTGTTCAAGGAAGCCATCAATAATTTCACCTTCGCCCAGATACTCATCAGCTTCAGCAACATAATCTTCACCATTGGGCTCAGGATCTTCCTCTTCAAGATCTTCCTCTTCAAGAGCTTCCCCTTCAAGATCTCCCTCTACAAGATCTTCCTCTTCAAAATCTTCAAAATCATCTGGGACATCTCCCTCATTGCTCGTTGTTGAGCCATACAGGGAGCAGTCGCTTACAGCATCACCATCATACCAAATATCATTTTCATTCCAATCATCTTGATCACTGTCAGAATCAGTCTGATATAATTCATTGCCTTCCACATTATCTTCTTCATCGTCTTCTTCATTGTCTTCTTCATCGTCTTCTTCGTCGTCTTCTTCATCGTCCCTGAAAAAAAAAGTAATGTTCCATAATGATTTAGTTGGAAGAAAATAAAAACTGAATTCGATGCTTGCCATTTAAAAGGGAAAACAATAGGCTTGTAGTCATGAATGAATGGGCCGGGCTACTTACATGATGAATACTTCAATCAGATCATCCATGGAGTAAGGCAGTTCCAGCAAGACCTGCTTTTAGTCGGAACGTAACATTAACTTTCAGTGACAGTCTGAGGACGAAACGTACAGTACGCGGTTCAGCAGATCGCTGGAAAAAGAAGCTTGCCCTAGGCCTATTCTGTTATTGATTGGTAGTGTAGTCACGACGAACTTTTAATGCAGTGGGAATCAAGAATTCCCACGTTATCTCAGCAGGGGAAACAGGCAGATTAGCACTGGGCGACAATTAATGGAAACTTTTAAAGACGAATACTTTCTGTAATGTCGCCAAGACAACTGTTTTGACAAGACAAGGTTCTGCACTTCAAGAACCATCAATGAAACAAATAGGCATGGCGCACCCCCACCCCCAAAACAAAACATGATGCGCGCCGCGCAGATCTAGTTCCCGGCTCGGCCGCTCGGCTGGTGGCGCCCGACGGGAGGGAAAACTTCTTCCGGCTGTAGATCGCGGGAGCTTTCAAACGCGAGAAGCCGCTTGCACGAGAGAGGGGCAGGGGCGATGCTCGCTCGGTGGGAAAAGACAGTACGCTCCAGTGCGTTACTCTATAGTGTATTTCAGCTAGTTATGCCCCCAACTGCCGGGTCACCACTGGTCACTGGGCGGTGGCCGCGGTGACGTCATCGTGATGGTGAGGGGCACGGCGTGCACTAGCTGTCGCCGCACGGGGCACTGGCGGAAGGCTGCGTGGTGCGGGCCTGGGGGAGGACAAGGACAAGGGCAAGGACCAGGGTGTCGCAGACGGTCGCCGGGCCATGGCCGGGCCTTCAGATGAGCACCCACCCGCGCAGTGGCAGCAGATAGGGTCGTTACGGGCCCGGGGGCAGAACTCGACGGTGTGGGGCTCGCCGCAGCGGACGCAGCGCGGCAGGTGGCGGCAGTTCCCGGCCACGTGCCAGAACCCCTAGAAGACGAGCAAATTCGTCGGGCCGTCTCTCTCGCACTCATGGGGCGCTGCGTAGAGATGTGAGAGCACCTGGCAGCGATAGCACTGCAGGACGTTGTCCTGCTCCGCGCCGTCCCCCGCAGAGGCCGCCGAAGAGGCCGCCGCCGCGGCTTCGCGGCGCCACGGACCCGGGCCGGGACGCTCCGCCACGGCGGGGAAGCGGACGGCGCCGAAGAAGTCGAGGCCGTCCCTGAGCAGGCCGTCGAAGTGGCCGGCGTCCAGGAGTTCGACGCGCACGAGGTGGCCGCGGATGCGCTCCACGGCGCGCACCGCCACGCCCTGCTTCTCCAGGGCCGCGCTCACGTCCTGCAGAGGGACGGCCCTCGGCACGCCTTGCAGCAGCACCACCTGCACGTCACGTTCGGAGAGCAATCCATTGGTGGGGTCACACGTTCGGCTCCAGTCCTGTTTAGCGACTCTGGAGCTAAAAACGCGTCTAGAGTTTGGTCCGCCGCTACCGTTCTTATGGCCTACTCAGCACCAAAGCGGGCATGTACCTGCTTGTTGCGCCCGAACTTGGCCACGTGCAAGGGCTCGCCGAGGCGGGCGGGCAGGTCTTCCAGGAGGTTGTCGGCGTCCTCGGCGTGCCACAGGGCCAGAATGGCGCCGCACGCGGTGGCGTGCGCGTTGTAGCGCCCCGTCACGCGCCCCTCCGCCGCCAAGTCCGCCGCGATCGCGCCCACCCGCGCCGCGAGGTCACTGGAGTCGACCTTGGCGGCAGGGCACAAGGACCGTTCGAACCAGGAGACACGAGACAACCTCGAACCCCCAAGCCCGTAGCCAGAGTCAAACCTCGGCATTCTCGGCGGCGACTGCGACGGGGGTCAAGTACAGGCACACGATGGGGTCGCCGGGCTCCGAGGCCTCCGCCGCGCGCGACGCCGCTCCGTCGTTGCCGTCCTCGCCGCCCCCAGGGTCTGCAGCACGCCGTCAGGATGCAATCGCGGCCACGCCCGTCCTGGCCGTCGTGGAGAAGGAGGGCGCATCTGCCGCGCGCATGCCGCGCGTTGCCGTGTGACCCATATTTCGTCTCAAGACGTCGAAACCGAAACCGGGTCAACAAAAGTGTCGCCACGGGCCCTTTTCCCGGCAGCGGCAAACGACACACGGATTCGAGTGCCCACTGACAAATAGGCGCTGCGCCAAGGCGCCAAGGACAGCCTATGCTGCACCTGGGCGCCGAGTGCGCTTTCTCAACGCGGCTCTCGCTCGGCCCTCGCCACGCGGAACACAAACACCTTCGATGCCCGGCAGCGCTGATTCCTCGTTCTAAGAGCAATCCATTGGTGGGGTCACGCGTTCGGTTCGAGTCCCATTTAGCGACTCTGGAGCTCAAAACGCGTTCGGGGTTTTGACCGCCTCCACCGCTCTTCTGACCCACTGTGCTGCGCCCGCGCGCTTCCCAACCTTCCATGCCGTCCTCCGGGCCGCTGCGGGCCGCGCTGCCGTTGCCGTTTCCGGGTCACCGGAGCCCGCTTCCGGCCCTGCCCCGCCCTGCTCCGGGTGCTATCGACTGCATCGGCAATAAACAGGCCATGGCTGCCAGCCCCGGCTGCCCGGCTGGCGGCGGCCGGCGCGGAAGGAATCCGCCCATTGTTGCCAACTGCCAACACAGCGTCGGCATTGGTGGGCATGCCGGCGTGCGAATGCGTACGGCCGGGCGACGAAGTCGGACAAAGTCCGCGTCCAGTCAGGCCTGCACTGCGCGGGCTGCATCGACGGGACGCTAATCGACCAATCGATCCACGGCGGCCGGTGGTGTGCGCTGTGCACGCGGCTGTCCGCCTGCATGCAGACTGCAGACTGGTTGCGAAAGTCGTCTTCATCCCTCTCGCACTCACAGGGCGTCCCCTCTCGGTGCGAGAGGGACTGATCGACGGAAACGACTCTCGGAATCAGACTGCAGGGCATTGTGACGCATGCACACAGCTGCAGCACTGCAGCAAAGTGGCTAATCATTACCGTGGCGGCGCGCTATCGGACTATCGGCGTCACTCAAGTTCAGCGCTTCGCTGTCTCTCTCGCACGCATTTCGGCGCTCGCGGGGGTGCGAGAGAGACAGCCAAGTCAGTCTGCCTGGCCGCGGGCCGCGGGGCAAGTGCGTGGCGTGGAGCAACCGCGGCGCGGAGTTGCCGCCGTCTGGCCGGGGGGCGGCTGGGCTGGGGGCGGCTGGGCTGGGGGCGGCTGGGGGCGGCTGGGCTGGGGGCGGTCAAGCTCCTCTCAAATTGCCGGTGTGCGGCGGAAGTTGGAAGCGGGGCGTGGAATCCAGTCTAGCTGAAGCAGTCGCGAAAAGAGGGATCAAGAATAAAGGCAGACGGGGAATTCCCGATTCTTCCACGGGTTGAAACAGCGGCGCATCATCCGAGGCGGCGGTGCTCGCGGCATTTTCCTCCAGACTTCAGGTCACCGACACCGATTCCGATTCGGCGGCGATATTTTATTACGCGGGGTGGCGCGTACCGTGTAGCAGGAAATTCCCTTGCCAGTTGCCAGTGTGTGCACGCCGCGCCTCCGGGATTCCGTTCGGCGTCGGAATCCGTACCTGCGGTGGTGTAGGTCCGCCTTGAGGGTCCTCGACGAGCTACTCGGTCTAGCAGAGCATCCTCTCCCTCTCCCTCGCACACGCACGGGGCGCCCCACGAGTGCGACAGAGAAACAAGGCGACTCTCCGCGACTGGCGCCCCAGGGGGCAGCGTCACAGGTTACGTGTCGGTGACGGCCGAGCCCCAGCGGGGGCGCGGCGGCGACACGGCCGATACACTGCAAGCCGTATCAGCCAGGGCCATGCCAGGGCCGTGCCTTGACCCACTTATCTCAAGGTCACGCGTCGCGGGTGCCGGAAAAGTCCCTCGCGCAGAAAAGCGTACATGCACCGCGATGCGAGATGGCCGGCCGGCCACGCCCGCCTATCGGCTGGCAGCTCCACTTTGGCGCCAAGACGGCCGCTCTGATTGGTTGTCGCAACGTCATCGCGCGTGCGTGCGTGTGTGTCTGTGCGCGCGCGTGCATGCCCAGGGCCTCGTAATCGGCACGCGTGCATAACGACGGAATAACTGTAATTTGCAGGAAGAGGGCTCGATGCGTGCACGCACAGCCTTGTAACTGTTTGCTGCTGCTGGCTGTTGTTGTTGTTTTGTTGTTGTTGTTGTTGTTGTTGTTGTTGTTGTTGTTGTTGTTGTTGGGTGGTGCGGTCCGGGTGTTTGCCCTCGTGATCCCCTTCCCCCTCCCTCCATCCCACTCCAGGTCTTTGACTTTGTCATAAACGCGGGAGGGCTCGGGACCCGCGTGGTCTGTCTCCCCGGATGTCCGCCAGGGGAACGAGTTCGGCGTTGTTGTGTAACCCCGACCCGACTGGTGCGAGTGCGAGGGCCACCGTGCGAGGCGTGGCACGCGCAGCGAGTGCCGCGGCAACGTTAGACAAATTGAAAAAGGGGCGTTCGGATAACGGTTAGACAGTGGAGCGGACGGAGCGCCTGCGAGGTAGACCCGCCCGTGGCGCAGGGAAGTCGTGCGGTGCTGCCTACCCCGCCCGCCACAGGCGCTACGCCGCACAGTGCGTCAAAATCCCGGACGCGTTTTGAGCTCCAGAGTCGCTGAATGGAACTCGAAACGAACGTGTGACCCCACCGATGGATTGCTCTCCGAACGAGGAGTCCATTGGTAGGGTCACACGTTCTGTTCGTGTCCTTGTTTGGCGACTCTGGAGCTCAAAACGCGTACAGAGTTTTGCCGCCGGCGCCGGTCTTCTGGCCCGCTGTGCACCGCACTGGACACCTTCTCTTCACTCTGTCCGAGTGTCTCTGTGTGGTGCAGTCCAAGTGCGACCGGCACTGGAAACCCGAGGCGACGCGGCCGCGCGACGTTTGGCACACTCTCGCACTCGGTGAAGGAGGACGGCGGCGTGGCGGGGGGCGTGGTGGCGGTCGCGGCGCGGCGGCCCCGCGGCGGCTTGCCAGTGAAAGCTGCCTATGAACCAAACCGCTCCTAGTTCGTGACTCGTCGCGTCGTGCGTATAGCACGGTCCAAGTAGAACGAAGCGACAGGGCCGACAGGGCGCGCGGCGCGGCACTGCAGCCACTATTCGCAGCGCACTGGCCCGGGGAAGTCACTGACGCGCTCCACTGCGAATAAACGGCCGGTGCACCCGGCTGCGCACCGCGCACCGCCCGAGGCTGAATGCAGGTTGCAGGCTGCAGGGAAAGGCCTTTGATCGGCTTCGGTAGTTGCACCACACCACCACACCGCGAGCGCGGAGGCGCGGAGGCGCGGAGCGAGGCAAGTCTTCTCTCTCCCCGGAGCAGTGGGGCCCTGCTCCGCACGCCCTGCCCTGCGGACGACGGCGGCCGCCAGCCCTGCCTTGCCGCCGCGCAGCCGGGCCGCCGGAGCAGCCAGCCAGCCAGACTCTCTCCCCTTCCCGCCTATTCCCGCCCTGGTGTCGCAGCAGTCGCAGCCACGGGGGCAGCCCGGCACAGCCAGGGCCCGCAAGCGGCAAGCAAGGGCCCGCCGCCGCGCCGCGTAGCGTCTCCCTCCAACCTTTCTCCTTCCATTTCTCCTAAACGCGCGCACACACACAGACACACACACCTCCAGCGCGGCGCGCCGCGGCGCTGGGCCCTCGGCGGCGGGGCTGCGCGGCTGCGGGGCTCCAGTCACGGCCCACGGCTGGCAGCGGGCAGCACGCGCACTGAGCCCCGCGACGCCGCCGACGGACCCGCGACGACGCCGAGCTCGACCGCGCCGGGGACTTCCCTTAGTGCTGGACTGGGAGAGCGCTCGTTCGCCAGTCAGTTAGTGCGCCGACAGACGGCTGCGTGTGTGTGTGTGAGTGTGTCCGTGTGTGTGACTGGATTAACACCGTCTGCTGCTGCTGGAAGGATCATCGCCTCCACGAGGAGGGGGAGGGACTTGACGAGGTAAGGCTGGACCCTTTTAGCCCTATCAAGCTGCCTGTCGGTTCAAATCAGGGCCACACTCACACACTCACAGACGGACGCACACCGACGGTACACACACACACACAGACACTCGGGCGGAAGTCTCCCGCAGGCCGTTTAATTGCACAGGGAGTGAAAGAGGGCAGTGCGGCGACGAAGGAAAGGCGGCCCGGGTTTGCAGTGTCGTGCCGACCTGTCGTGCCGACGTGTCGTCCGGCCGGGTCGGCTAAGCCTTTCGAATGGTTGCCGTTTTCCCGCCAAAACGGGGCTGCATCGGCGGCGTGGCCTCCCTTTGAGGACAAGGCGGCGGCGGCGCGGCGGCAAAAAAGAGAGGACGCGGTGCCACTGCAGTGGCGGGACGCGCTCGCTAATGGCAGCCTTGTGAAGCTGCTGCCTGGAAACTCAGTTTTTGCCTCCGATAAAAAGTGTCCAGCCTGGCACCTTTGTCGGTCTTTACTTCGCGGAGGTCCCCCGCCTCTTGCTCACCGGGCGTACGCATCGATAATGGGGCGTGGCTGATCGCTTGTCTGCGTCGCTCTGTCTCTGTCGCACGCGTGGGGCGTGCCGCAGGGGTGCGAGAGAGAGAGAGAGAGAGTGATGCGGCTGACAATGGATGGACGCGCAAGAGCGCGCGACGCGCCCCGGGCAGCGACTTACAGTGGTCCACCTTGAACGCGGTGCGCATGGCGGGCATGGCGACGATGGCGACACGCAGGAGTAGCAGACGCAACGCCGAGTCAACGTGACAACCACCGATTCCTGGGAGTGATCCGCTCCCGCGTGGCGGCCCTCAGGCCGGGCTCACAGTGGGCCAGAAGACCGGGGAGGTGGTCGAAATCCCGGACGCGTTTTGAGCTCCAGAGTCGCCAAATGGGACTCGAACCGAACAAGTGACCCCACCAATGGATTGCTCTCCGGACGAGGAATCCATTGGTGGGGTCACACGTTCGATTCGAGTCCCATTCAGCGACTCTGGAGCTCAAAACGCGTCTAGAGTTTTGGCCGCCTCCACCGGTCTTCTGGCCCACTGTGCGGCTCTCAGGCCTGCTTATGCCTCACGAGGCTGGCAAAGAAAGCGAAGACGAAGACGCACATACAAATGAAAAGCAGCCGTGAGCCGCATTGCGCGTGGCCTCAACGAAGAGGAGGCGGGCGAGGTGCGAAGACGACCCGTCAAAAAAAACAGTGGCGAGGTTCCAAATCGTGGAGGCGCCCGTTCGAAATTCACGCGCCGCAGTGCCCGGAGGTGGGTAAGAGCGCAGCGTAAGGACTTCCAGAGGCACCACGCCGGTCCTCGTTCTTGACACAGACAGAGGGGACGCAGCCGGTGACCAGTGCCCGCCGGCCGGTGATCCTTGACCCGGTTCTGGAGCTGGCCGCTTAGCCGCCCGGCCCGGCACCCAGACTGGATGCAGGCCAGGTCCAGGCTCCAGGCGGGATGCAGCCCAGCGCGCTGCTCGGCGTCGTCTGCTCCCTGCCGGCGCGTCCAGGAACCACGTAACCGTCGCGCCGCGCCAAAACGGAACGCCTTGGCTCCAAGGACGGCCACCTCCACGGGCTGGACATGGAATGGAAACTGAAGTACGGCGCGGGGAAGCATCGTTTCCAGAGCTATCAGCTTCCTTGAACGGGATGGGCTACACGACGTGGTCCAGTTAGTCGTTATCTGCGTTCCGTCGCCGTGTTGAACGCTCCTGTTGGGGTTACACTACACGCGCAGGGCGCCCAGCAGGGCCATTCCGAACATAGCTTTCGTCTGTCTCTCTCGCAACCATGTTCCGTAGAGAGACAGGGAGAGACATGAGTCTGCTGCGGGCCTTGACGCCTTGGCCTTGGAGCGCCCCGTCTTGCACTTGCATGATGGGCAGGTTACCCGGAGCGAAAAACAGCAGACGCTCCCTTGATGAGCGAGTAAACGCCGGACTGAGTGGCTGCAGGCTGCTGCCGAGGAGCGCCCTCCTCGCTCTGTCCCTCTCGCACTCGTGGGCCGTCGCGGAGGAGTGCGAGAGAGACAGAGCGACGCGCAGAATCGCTCCGCTGGCGCCGCCGCCAGTGTTCTGCATTTGATTAGTCTAACGAGCATAAAAGCGGTGTGCAGCTGCGGGCGAAGTAATCGTCATTATGTTGCGTGCATCGCCTCGGCGTGCCTGCACGCACACGCGCACTCACACACACACACTCACGCAAATTAACACTCCACTGGTAGGCAACCCCTCTGACTGCTTTGTTTGCTCTGGCGGCACAGGAGTGTCCAGGAGCAGCGCCCCGCCCTATGGGCCAGGGGGGCCAGCATGGCGCGCCACGGTGCTGACGGCGGCGCGGCGGGGGCGCGGGGCCGGCTGCTGGCCGTGCTCGCCGTCGTCCTGGTGTCCGGGGCCGCCGGCTCCGCCCTGCCGTCCCTGCCCGCGCTGCGGGGGCTGCGCCGCGACACGGCGCCCTACAAGGGCTTCTCGGGCATCCGGGTGCGCGGCGACTCGGCGCGGAAGGTGTTCTACCACGACCAGACCATCGCCGTCGTCGAGGCGTCCATGGACTACAACGCGGTCCGCGACCTGCAGAACTGCGAGCTCATCGAGGTCAAGTGAGTCCTTTTCCAGTTCGTCTGAAAACTTTGCAGGTGTGAGAAGGTGAGACATTCGATGGGGCCACCGCTGGAGGCTCAGTCCTGTGACGGGGGCCTCGCGCGGCCGTTGACCGGCGGTGGCAGCTGATGCGGTACTCAGACGGGCACTTGGAGAGGTGCTCGACGAGGTAACACCGGCGAGACAACGCGCGTGGCGGGGTGTTACGTGGGCGGGGTCGCGGTGGTCCCGCCGCCGAGGTGTCGGGTCGGGCCGCTCGCAGGGCTGCGCCCGGCTGGGCCATTCGCACAGCGCTGTGGCCGCGCCGCCGCGCCGCCGTGCCACCGTGCCGTCTGCTGCTGCTCGCCACGGCCCGGCGCGGCCCCGGCCCGGCCGCAACTCGTTCCGCGCCGCCCTCACTCTCACCTCTGTCTTCTCTTGACTTTCTTGCCGCTCTACAACAACATACCATTTCATCGGGCAGGGCATCGCCAGGGCATCGCGCTCCATTCCGGGCGATTCCTTTCCGCCAGCACCGGTTGGCTCCCCGGCCCCCGACCCGCACGCCGCAGGGCGGCCAGTCTGCCGAGCCGTTCGCAACCAGCATCCATCCATTCATTCATCCATTCTAGGGGAGGAGGGTGGCGGTCAGTCGGTGGCAGAAATAGCTCGGCGTCGTCCGTCGCGTAGTTTGAGAATGGCCCGCGACGTGGAGCTTCTGCCGGTTCGGCTCGGCCGCCTGCGAGGTAGGCAGCGCGCCGCTCACGCGTGTCTCGAACCGAGGCGGCTGCCTACCTGCCAGGCGTTCTCTGGCACACTCGTAAGGCGTTCCGCGAAGGTCCCAGGGCCTCACCCCTTTCGTCTATGTTGGCAGCAAGGCGAGCCTGGCCAGGGAGGCGCTGCAGAACCTCTCCTCCATCGCCAAGCCCAGTCCGCTCGGCTTCGCCGACATGAGCGCCCTGATGCGGCGCTGCCAGGAGCTGAGCCTGGGCTCCGACACCGTGCAGGCCTCCCCGCTCGCCGGCCCCAACAAGCAGAGGAAGATCGACGACAACCCGGACCCCACCAGCCTCCTCAGCGGCATCCTGCCCGGTGAGGGTCCGCCCCAGGCCAGCGGACTGATTCCGAGAGTCGTTTTCGTCGCGATCTCTCTCTCGTACTTGGCGTCCCGGATAGGTGCGAGAGAGACAGGGCGACTGAAACAACTCTCGGAATCAGTGTGCACCTCCGTGCTTTGGAAGCAGGGTAACGTGATTCTGGCTTTCAGGGACCAAGTGGTGCGGCACCGGCGACATCGCGGCCAACTACTTCGACCTCGGCACCGAGAAGGACATCGACAGGTGCTGCCGGACGCACGACCTGTGCCCCGTCAAGGTTCGCGCCTTCCAGTCCCGATACGGCCTCAGCAACATGTCCTTCTACACCAAGTGAGTCACTTAGATCTTCGGCTGGACCTGCGCACCCACCCTGCCTCGAGCGCACAATGAGCTGACTGACGACACGGTCTCTGCAGGTCCCACTGCGTGTGCGACGACATGCTGCTGCAGTGCCTCAAGGCGTCCCAGCGACCCACGGCCAACATCATGGGCAACATCTACTTCAACCTGCTGCGGGTGCCGTGCGTGGAGGACACGCAGGACGCCGAGACGGCCAGGACGGCGCGCCGCTACAGGCCGTCGAAGCGCTACTGAGCCGCCGCCAAGGCTCCCGCGCTCCCCCTTGCGCCTCGTGACTACCAGCGCGAGGGTGGGGCTTTAGAAATTCAGAACCTTCTTCCGATACCACTTCAAGAAAGGAAACGAACGTGTGTCTGTGATATTTTCTGCAAAGTCCTTTGTTTTGTCTTTTTTTTTTTAAATCCCAAAGTTGATTTTCATTTGAAACCACGATTGGTGCTTTTAAAATGCAATGTATATCCACAGGTCATCAGCCACACCTGCTAGTCACCTTCATAAATTGATTTTGGATGTTGCAAGTCATCTTGTAATTTGTTGAAAATAAACTATTTATTTTGTTATCTTACATCAGTGCACTGTGTGTGGATGGGAATCAAAAAAGCAAAATGAGTCAAGTAAAAATATGTTATTTATTGCCCAACATGAAATATAAATTTGACATACAACTTCATAAAAACATCTAAAAAAATATATGCTATTGAATATAAAAGAAAACAACAACAAAATTCACAGCATTACAAAATAAGTTGATCAGGTTGGCACATAGAGCTAGAAATGTTATCATGAGAGTGATGACTCTTGCAAAAACCCGATTTTTCATGACTTCATTGAGAGCAAAAGAGGCTGAATTCAGACTAGACTTGATAGCTTCTACAAGAATGTAAAATTTTACAGGAAAACTAGAGAATTCTGCCTGTAAACCTTTTGCATTCCATTATCAACACAACTCACTACATTTTAACACTTAAGTAACATGGCACACAAGAAAACAGCGTTTAAAATTGAATGTGTATATCTATGAAATTATATGTAAACATACAAACAATACATATAAAATGGAAACAAATCTCACTTAATTAATCACTTCAAACAAAAATCCGACCAGTTTCAATATTTCTGAACAAAGTTCGAAGTTCGTACAATTATTGAACGGAAAACCAATGATAACATCACATTCTTAAAGTCAATGTTATCAAAAAAGCATTTTGGCTCAATCACAGAAGATACCCGAAGATAGAATCTTTATGGCACAGAGACTCAGTCGTAATTTTGAACAGCGAACATATCTTCTTACATACTTCATGGAAGGCATAATGACATCTTAAAACTATTGCCAAAATTGACGCAAATTGGAAGCCTCTAAAATACACACTAAAAATACAACATACATAGAAAAGTTAGTATGCCAGACTCAAATTGATGAACAGCTGCATGCCCTGGAACCAATTCAAAAGCCAAGGAATGTTTTTTTAAAAATTTGACAAAGTGTCAAATTTTTATAAAGAGGGTAATATTTTAACATCTAGCTTATACAGACAATAAGTGATTAAATTTTCACAGATACAGTATGTAACAAACATAAAAAACTTGGCATTTGGCTTTGTACGATTTTACATCAGGGGCAGGGGTAAAATCAAAATTAGTAATTTGCAAGGACTATGGCAACACGAGATGGAAGATAAGCCTGAAAGATAGAAAAAAAAAGCAATTATATTCCTCTCACCACAGCAACTTTGGGAAGTCAAAAGATAAAATACAAAGTCAGGTTACATACCTGGATGGAGTGTCTGCGACCATTGAATCCTTCATCAAAGGTTTGATGAACGACAGAGTTGTCAATTCTGCCAAAACCGCCAAACTCCTTGTCATCCGAGTTCAAGACAATACGGTAACCTCCAGGGTTGTGCACTCCCATACGGTAATCAGTGTAACTTTTTGTGGGGTGGAAATTGAATGCAAAGAGCAGGCCCGCTCTTTCAAATACAATTACTTTGTCATCTTGATGCTTGCAGCTGACATAGCCCTGAAATGAGATAAACATGTGAGAAAATGGACCTAAGACTATTTGTACAATAAAATTTGAACAAACAGAAATTAGCAAGGCTACATGTGTCTACCACACTGATCTACTATGTATATTACTAGATCTACTACACACGAACACAAATGGGGGTGCAACTTGCAATAATCAGGAAATCAAGTCAAAAGGAAAAGGAAACTATGACTACAGCATGACACAAGACGGTATGTTCTAACAGGCATTTCACACAACCATTCTACTTGGACTCACCCAATCTTCCTCCATATTTCCCTTCAAGTTTTAAGATGAACAAAAATAGTTCAGATGTGTGAATAGAAATGAAATAAACTATGGAATGATTGAATATTATGACTTCCACCAGACTGAAAATTTATCTTACCGAGTCTTGATGCAGCCAGCCATACTTCTCCTCCAGAAGGTTCATGGCCCGATCAAAGTTGTTCAAGAACTTGTACTTCAAATTCTCATCATCCACAAGATTCCACTGTCTCCTAGCATAATGATAAGAATCATTGTTGCCTGCACGGGGGAAGTCCAACCATTCTGGGTGACCAAACTCGTTGCCTAGAAAAGAAAATAGGTGAACCTGGGGTAACAAATATTTGAAGAAAAGGATAACTCAACTTAAAAGAGCATCACCTACCAATGAAGTTAAGGTAAGCTTCTCCTCCAAGTGAATGGGTAATGAGCCGAATCATCTTGTGAAGGGCAATTCCTCTATCAATAATGCCAGACGGATCAGAGAGAGTTGACATGTGGGTGTACATTTCCTTGTCCATGAGCCAGAATGCAATAGTTTTATCACCAACAAGAGCCTGTTAAATAAGGGCAATGTAAGATAAAATCAAGTCTACTATTAAAAAGAATTAAGAAATACAAATTTTACCTGATCGTGAGATTCAGCATAGGCCACAGCTGGCTCCATCCATCGTCTGTTGGTTAAAGTATGGATCAAGTTACCTATATCCCAGTCATCATCACTCTGCTCTTTAAGCATTTTGATCCATTTATCAGGAATCGCCATTGCTAGACGATAGTCAAATCCAATGCCAGCCTCAGCTACTGGACGGCACATAGCCGGCATACCAGATACATCCTAAAATTAATTGTCAATTCAGTCACCAGCTGCACATTTTAGTCATTAATTACATGTCAGTGAAATGCAACACTCAGTATCTAGTTACTCACTTCAGCAATGGTAATCATCTCTGGGTAAAGTTTATGAAGCATGTAGTTTCCAAGCATCAGATACACCAATGCTTCAGTGTCAACATTAAGGCCAAAGTAATCATCATAGTGACCACCAAATCCTTGACCAAGACCTCGAGAGTGGTACAACATGGAAGTCACACCATCAAACCTACACAGGAGCGCAGAGAATAATTTAATTATGTGACCAAAGAACTTCTAGAAATTAGTCTTGTCTTCTAATCACACACAATCCACTCACCTGTACCCATCAAAGCCATATTCCTCAACATACCACCGCAAGTTGGAAAGCAAGAAACGGAGAACTTCATACCTAATAAAATTAATTAAGCATCAGCAATGAGAAAGAATTGGAACAGAATTGTCATGTTTAACAATATTTTACTTACTCTGAATAGTTGAACAGCCGGCTGTCCCAAAGAGTGTGCTCTCCACGGGCACCATCATGGAAGTAACAACTGTTCGTTCCATCAAACTGGTTGATACCGTCATCAACATTCTTTGAGGCATGAGAATGAACCATGTCAAGAAGAACAAAGAGACCATTTGCATGGCAGACATCGATCAGTTCTTTCAGCTCTTCGGGTGTACCATAACGACTGCAATAGAGTATCAAAAGTGAACCAAGTGCCAAAACATATTGGGTTGGAGGCAATCCAGTACGCTGACTTACCTGGAGGCAGCATAGAAACTTGTGACTTGGTAACCAAAACTGGCGTAATATGCATGCTCCATGATGGCCATGAGCTGAATAGCATTGTAGCCTGCAAAATAAAGTTTTGTTAAATTCTAGAAAGCTAACAGAAAAGAACCAGAAAATCACACTAATGCAAAGTGTACCTTGTCTAACAATGCGAGGAACAACATTCTTGGCAAATTCAAGGTAGGAACCAACTTTTCCTTCCTGAGTTCCAATTCCAACGTGACATTCATAAACTCGAAGACTCTTTGGCCTCTTTGGTTTGGGGTGCTTGAATTGATATTTCTGAATGCAAAAAGGAAAAAATTAGTGTGGCTCCAACATTTTACAATATGTTTTTCAAATCTATTTAACTTAACTACCTCTGGCGGATTCCACATGAGCTGCTTGTATGTGAAGCCCTCGCTACGTGGTGGAGGTACCACATACTTGGCCCAGGGGGACAGACGGAACAGTTGCTGTCCATGGGGACCTCTGATCACAAGCTAGGAAAGAAGAGGTGGGAATCAGTTTACACATTACTGAGTATCACATGATGCAATTTTAAATTCTGGCAGCCACTTACTTTAATTTCAGAAAGGTGCTTAATAGGACAAGAGCCGTCTGCAGCAGGAGGAATGTTGATCTCCCACTTTCCATACTCCAACTTGGTGTAAGGATGGCTCTCCTTGTTCCAGCCGTCTAAAACAATATGCACATTGAGAAACTCCAAAATCACAACAGATTAAATTGACAAGCACAACAACGGTAACATACTGAAGTCTCCAGTCAGGTACACTTGCTGTGCACCAGGTGCCCATTCTCGAGCAACTACAGAGTTATCAGGCTTGACATGAATTCCAAAATAGTCGTAGCCCTTAGTGAACTGGTCAAGACTGCCATCTGATGCATTGACACGTTCAACATAATCCTTGAACACTGCGTACCTGAGAAAATATTATGATGCCAATCATCAACGGTTACTCTCAAATTAAATAAAACAAGGGCTATGTCAATCAGCTAAGTGGTCACTGATAGACTCAAGCAAGCTAATTCGTCTTAATATCTCAGCTGACAAAGCCCTGCCAGACACACACGAGACGTGTTTACCTGCCTGTGACCTTGATCTGCCTCAAGGTCGTCACTACACTTTTTTTTGCACAAGTCCACAAATGAAAACGCCTCTCACCTGCGCCTGAACTCCCGCTCGTAAGGGTGGAGGTAGGGATCGCGGTCCATGAGGTCCTTCAACGCCGGCACCTCTACCTCCATAGGATCCATCGACGAAAATTTGCCCCCCATGGTCACAGAGGTTTGAAGACTGTCCTGAGCGAGCGAGGGTGAGACCTAGGCGAGGCGAGACACCAAGGTTAACTGACACGGCCGGCACGTCCAACGCGAGCGCAGCTTCTGTGTCAGATCCCCCGACTTCCAAGACGAGTCGCCGGGTATCTGATCAAGAGGGATCAGAACTTGTCTCGACCTTCCCAAGCTACGTCCACGTTGTCTTTATCAAATGCGACATTCTCACCAGCGCGACCTCGCAGGAGACCGCTGTTTCGATGCTTCTGCTCCGCTGCTTCTTGTTGTTTGTGTTTTGAGGATGTGGGAGAGGGAGAGGGAAGTGAAGGAAGGAGTGGGGAGGGACGACGACACGAAGGAGGGGAAGGGGAGAGAAGGGAGGGGGAAGGGGGATGTGCCCCTCGGGCATCCCTGCGGGGGCGGGGCAGTTCCAGCACCCGGCTTATCCGAAAAAAAAAAAAAATAATGTCAGCGCAGCGGGCACAATTTTAAGAATTTAAAATGTTTTAAACTTATTTCAACCTCATGTGAGACGTTTAATTTTCCAGCACCAAATCCCGCCAAGAGGACAATATGTAATGAAACTAGCACTCAGATCCAAAATACAGTCTTTATTTTTATCAGCAATGGAAATTTCTTCTACAAAAAACCATATTTTATTTGAGGAACATCAGCATTTATGAGCAGATAGTGTTTTACCTGTCTTTTGAATGCAAGGAACAATTTTTCTTGGGGATGACAAAATCAATACGAAAATACATAGGGATGGTTCAATCCCCAATAGATATTGCTTCTACAAAACATCTTTACAATTCGGCATAAATCAGACACACATTGTGGACAGATCATGACGACTAGGATTAACTCTCATCACACAATAAAACATTTGGTCTTACCATGAGATCTACAGGAAAATTTTATTAAATAAAGCAGCAACTCTACCCCACACTAAGGGCAGTAGCTAGTTACTGAGTAACAGAAGTTTACACAGGTTTTGAAATTCAAACATCAATAACAATGTGTGTAATACTGAGAGATTCACAAATATTGCCTTGAATAAAATCTCATTTTTGAAAAACATTTTATTCATGGTAAGTACAATATGGTTTTTGCAATTAGCTAGGAGTACATTCTTGATTCTACAAACTAACACATGCACCAGTTGAATATCATCCTACATACTGGATCTCTGTAAAATATAAAGTGGCAATGACCCTAAAGTACATACCTTTTTAAAATGATAACTGTTTGACTTGTCTCTACACTACAATAGTTAAAATGTTATTAATATCTGTTGCTGTATTTCCTTTTTATGTTGGAATGTGAACAGAGTCTAGTCTTTAATAGCACAAGGTGGAGAAGCCGAAAATAAAACAAGTCTTGATTGATCTATTGAATTGACAATAGCGCATATTGGAGCAGTACAAAAAAAGTTGACACAATGTTTTCATCCATACATACTAAAAATCTCCCTGATACACAATACATGAAGAATATCTAGCAGCTTGGCGAAGTAAGACATAGAATTAATTACCATCACCATTTGGACAGTCCCATTTAAGATGAACTTCTGGGGTGAAATTTATAATATTAACATGAATGGCTTGATTCTTCTCAAACTTGGGAGGAATAGGACAGAGCTTGTATTGCACCTGATCACCAGGTAGAGGAACATACTCTCCTTCAATGCTAAAATAAAAACAAGGAAGACATATAAACACCTTCTTTTATAATGCACAAAATGCCCTGTTGTTAAAAGAAATACCATGATACCTACTCTGAAATGTGAACGAAGATGTCTGCACCAGTTTCACCAGACGTTATGAAGCCATGACCCTTGGATCGACAAAATGATTTTACCGTCCCGATATCTTGAGTCTCGGTGGCTCTTGCACACCTGTTGCATAATGTAAAAACGTAAAACTTTAGTGGGGCTAAAGAAAAGGAAGGCTAGAAATAAAAGACATTCACGCAAAAGATGAAAATAGCAATCATTCGATAAAAAAAAGCTTGGCAATCGAGTTGTTAAGTATCTTGAGATAAAGGGTAGAGACGTACGTGGATAAAGTGCGAGTTCTCCTTGTAACAATGGGGCTTGGCACCATTAAGCTGTGAACTGGCGAGTCTGGGGACAGCTTGTTGCCATCACCACCAGCTGGAGCATCAGACGACATTTTCTGTAGAGAGGAACCCAATTAAACCAATTAGCACCACAAGAAACAATAAATACACTTGGCACTTGAATTGGCGGGCCTGATCAGAAAACTAGGTAACACTAGCTCATACTCAAAATTTTAAAATTAAGATTTTTTAAAAATGAAATCAAAAGCTAGTTGGGAATAGCACATCATCAACAGAGATAAGGTCAAGAATTATGAAACACGCGTGATGAGCGAATGACAAGGAACGATGACAACCGATGGCCAATAACTGCATCATGTGCATGTCGACAGAGGCCGCTCACAAGTTATTCTACCAAAGTGAAGCGAACGGGACGGGAAAAATGAGACATTTACCAAACTTGTTGTGACAATAATTTGTCAAATCTCAATCAATGGCAGGATCGGCGAAACTTGAATACGGTAAACTCGCGACGGACTGGTTCTCCAACAATAACAACACAAAACAACACAATGAAATGAGGTACGTTCCATTTTGCCGGTGTCCTAGGATGTCCTTGAACTGGAGGGAGTGTTCCTTTCGAAGGTGGTCTTTCACCAATTTGAGCTGGGCTTTGTACGTCTCAGCAGTAATTCACAGTGTTAAATGACACCTATAATTTCATTTCAAGCTCTTTTCTACATTTAAAAAATAACCATGGCCCGCAAGTCGTCAAAATGTCTTTTTCCCATCCGCCACGTGCGTCGACTTTCTAAGCGCGCTCACGTAGCGGGGCCGTAAAAAGAAAAACATGTGACGAACGCCTTGTTCGCGCAGCTTCTCCCGCTCGGAGAGTGATTTCGTGATGTGACGGATTTTATTGTGTTAAGAACGTTTTAACCGGTTGAAGAATGCCTAAACTACACCCAATTGAAGTGGTTGACGCGACGCCCAGGGTGAGATATCATGATACGCCCAAATTTTGGTTTAAATAGCGCTCTTCCTTTTCGCGCGCTGGCCTGCGGCGGTGTGTCGGCACCCGGCTAAGCGGCCGCAGGATTCACTTTTCTCTCGTCATTTCTATGAGTCGGGAGCCCCGATCGTGTGTTGTTAACGATATTCTTGTGACGGATTTTGTCATGAACTTGTGTTGTCACAATGTTCATGTCCCCGGCCTTGTATGTTCGTCATGAATGCAAGCTTGTGTCAGTGTGAGCAGAAGCCGTGTGGCTCAAGGTTATGGCGGGTCCCATCCGGGCCACCGGGTGACAGCCGGGAAAGTGCGTTAGCACCGGCAAAACCTGTCAAACTTCTACCAATGTTGACAGTTGATCTGCTGTGCGTTGATATGTTTTTGTCTCTAAATGACGCTGTCATCTGATTTCGTTTCAATTTGGTACAAGTAGTATTGGCTCATTTGAAACTTTCATGCAGTTAGGCTTCAGTGTCATCTGTGAATGAATGAATGGCCGTGGGTTGGTCACTATCACACGCCTCCCGGCTGATTTGTTTGTTTTTCCCTGTTTGAAGCATGTGCTTTGACTTTTGTTGCAGAATGTTGCGTTTCCTCCAGAGAACCTGATCCGCAAACACATGAATGGAAGATGGTTGTGCAAAAAAGGAGAGTTAAATCACATGATATATGCCACCCTCAGACTTCCCAAACCGACTACTATTGGCCGAATTGATATAGGTATGTTCACTCACCTGATGTGTGTTGGTTTTAACTGAAAGCTAGCTCTGAGCACAATATTTATATGCTTTTTCTGGTTTTAGGAAACTTTAATTCAGCCAGTGTAACAGTGTTGGTGTCAAGGACTGGTTCCAAGGAGTTCAAGGAACTTTTGCCTTCAAGAGTATTGCGAACTGAGGCAGACATTAGAAGTGGAACTTTTAACCAAAGCGTGCTGATGGCGACTTGCAGTAAGTCTGACAAGATGACATGATATTTTGCTTTTGACTTAGTTTGTATATTCTTAACAAGATGCATGTCCTTTTATCTCCTAGGTGACTTGCGAGAAGATACAAGGCATGAAAGTTGGGATCTTCTGAAAGTGGTATGCTGCCAGCCTTACAGACGACCTGAAGATGACCCTTTTGGCCTGAGTTTCATTTCCGTATGGGATGGCCCTAACCAGTCTCCTGGAGCAACTAATTTGAACAAATTCAAAGAGTTTTCAATTCGTTCTAGGTATACAGTGTTTTGGTCCAATTAGTTCACATTATTTGCATTTTCAATCTTCTTACCCAATTTTTTTTTTCTTTTTCTGCAGTCTACCAGCTAAGAAAGAGATCACTTTTTCAAGTAGTCTCACACGTGCTCAAAAAATGATGATGGCAACCAAACCACCTCCTACAAGTCCGAGTAAGAATTAACACTCTGACCCCTCACATTAAACCACGACATTGTTTCACTTTGTCAATTACCTCATGTTTAAATAATTATATCATCTTTACAGCCGGGCCAGAAAGTGATGATGACTTTTTCAAGGCGACAGTCATCAGCTTTTTGGAAACAAATTGCAACAGCATGAATATAAAAAATCCTTCTGATGCCAAGTCTGGTGAGTTTCAAAATTTTAAGTGTCACTTTATGTTTTGTTCTGAAATATTTACTTACAATTCTATTTATTCCTTCTGCAGAGTTATTGCAAAAATTACAAATGGTTATGGATAGAAAATTCACCGCTCATGAAGCAAGACTCTTTGGTCAAATGTTTCTGAACCACTTCGCAAGCAGCAAAGATAGGCATCCATCAAGAATCCTTACTCCTCGCAAATCTAACAACCAATTATTTTCTCCTGGTTGCCAAAAAATGGAAGATACCAAAATGAGCCTCTTGAAACCACAAAAGGAGTCATTCAACTCTTTCAACACACAAACTGTTTATTTTGCTGAAGTTGTCCACAACCATCCCATGAAGGATGGTCCAGCATCGTATTTAGGGCGTGGTGGCAAAGAAAACACCCCCTACCTTATGGACAAAAATGGGTTGACCAATGGAGATGTGATGCTTGATGAGTCTCGTTCTCCTGTTCTGAATTCAGAAAAGAAAATGTGCATAGACCAGGTGAAGCATGACAAGTTCTCTCCTACATGGAAAAATCGGAATGATATTGACAAGTGTGATTCAAGGGACTGCAGTCCAGACACATGGCTAAAGCGCAAATCTGATCCCAGTGAAAGATGTCAGCCCACCAACAAAAAGAGGCCTCGTGAAAACACATCTGTGGATGAATCCTGTAATGAGTCATTTACAAACAATCGGATTACACCTGCTGGAGGCTGGCTTCTAAATGGTTCCGGTCTGCACAAGAAAAAAGTTTCACCCCATGATGTTAAGAAGCAGGATTCTATGAAATTTCCCTTCAGAGTATCGCCACCGCCACCTCCTGACAGGCCTGCATCTCCTCTTTCTCTTGTTGATGACATAGATCAACCGTCAACATCCAGCCGTGAAACTGTTGCTGAGCGCAACATTAGATTGGACCTAGAAAGAAGGTTGGCTGAACGCAGTCCCCCAGAGAGAGTTGTACAGAGAACATCGTCTGGCAAAGTCAAAGGTCCATTTTGCACTAAAGGCATGAACACCAATGACTCACCTCTGAGACGACTTTCCATTTGTGAGGAGGGTGAAGAAGTGGGGTCCCCTCTGGCACGCCGCAAGCTCTCTTTCGTCCGTCCTTCTAATGGCCAGGAAGCGGATCAAGACTTGGTGGAATGTCCAGGTTGCAAAAGTAAGTTCTTTTCCTATCATGATAAGGTTTCAATATTCATATGATGAGATTCCCATAATTTAATTTGTGTTTAATTTCCAGGTTATTTTGAGGCATGTGACATCCATAAGCACTTTGATGAGTGTGTACCTTCCCCAATCAAAAAACCGGATGATGGAGAGAATGAGGATGAGATGGTGAGTGTTAAATTATTCAATCGGATTTTATTTTGAACTTATCCACTGCAAAAATTAATACAGTTCTTCATTGAAAATAAATTTTATTTTCTAGGCTTGCCCTATCTGTGGTCTGTGGCAACCGAAGGACACTGTGGCAGCGCATGCTGATGAATGTGCCCAGAAAAGATATGGAGCATAATTGTCCTCATTTTGTCATGCCTTGAGTCATCTCATCACTATCATCGAGTTACCTGTACCTTAAGTGTTACTTCAAAATGCACGAGTCTATTAGGATCTACTTTTAAGGAAAGAGAGCAAGGGAACATGCCTATATACATATGCCTTATTGTATTGAGCTGAAGTATTCATGTACACTCAATGGCTTAGTAAGCTATTACAAGGTACTAAGAATTATTTTTCTTATTTTCGTTTTTATTTTTGAATTTGACTTTCTGATGTACCTTCTTATTTTTTTATTGAAACTTGTCTTAAGTTAGACCTCTATTTGACTGTTCTACTGCCACTTTGAGTCCTAACCATGGTAAAAATCCATTACTGAAACTGTGCCTGTGTTCTACATACAAGAAATATGAACAGACTTTGAATTGTTGCATTGATTGATCCCTTTCAAATTTCTCCTCTGGCACAGTGATGGATTTTGTTTCCTCAATCTAATCACCCTCTTTTTTTTTCATATACAATTGTGGTACCTAATTTCTTTTCTTCATTAAAAATTGAAATGTCATTTTTGCTTTCTTTATTTTTATCTTCTTTGATTTTTCTTCCTATTGCTTGATGGCATTTAACAGTGCTATGTAGGAATTATAGTGATTATTCTTAATGTCCTATGTTAAGTAAAAAATGCTAAATTAATTTTTACCGGAGAAAAGATAAGTGTACTGTTATCTTGATTAGTTGTTATTAGGGGCCAAATTTGGCACAAATTAATGTTGTATACTTCAGCAACAGTGATTAGTCCATGTTGGACAGAATTTTTTTTTCTATATCGTTCAGTGTTACTCTGTACACAAAACCCCTGAGCTCATGGCACTTGAGAATGTGGCTAATGTCAAACATTGTTCATTCTGTACTGCCTACACATAACTGCCAAACAACTGAATGTTTTTCTATTTTTATCTTATTCTCATCTACGGGTCAAAATTATAAATGATCGTTGTTGGACTTATTGTGTAACCCAGTCATTGATTGCTGCAATATTATTAGAGAGAGTTTGAAATGTACAAATCTATGTATGATTTTTTTTTAATATATATATGATTATCATGTAGGTTTTTATGTATGTAGTTACATGTCTTGTTTTTGCTATGTGTAATGAGTAAGTGTGCTTAACTTCTAGTTAATATTTATTTATAGAACTATATTGTTTCATAGTTCATGATTGTTATTATTACAAATGTAATATGAATATCCCTTGTGGATGTAAAGTACAAACCAAAGTCTAAGTGTTTCGTCATCACATGATGCCATGATTACAGGACTGTAGAAGTATTGTTCAAAGTGCTGTTTAAAGGATGCTCGATGTATCTCCTTTAAAGTTGGTAGTCTTGAAAATTTTCTTACCTTTTGCGTACTTTAGTTTAGTTAATGTTTGCCTGTAATGATGGTTTCATGTAATGTCAATTGTTACCATGCTGGAGGATCCAGCACCAGCAGGCAGTTAGGTGATCAAAAGTTTGAATAGTTTTTACTGAAGGTATTAACTGATTGTTTAAAATAATTTTCTTTCAAGTTGAGTGGTTGGTAGTGTAACTCTTACATATCTTTTATCCTTCCTCTTAACTCTTCATTCTCTTGAGCTCCCAGTTGCCTACCAAAGCCCCTGGGGCAAGTTACTTAATAATCACAATGCTAATGTTAAGTTATTGGATCTCTCCTATTTTCATAGCAATTATTTGATACAAAAATATGGGTTCATTATTGTTTCATTTACTGTCATTCAAAAACTTGAACTAAGCATCTTATTCCATGATTGAAAGTCTGGGAATGTCTGTATTTTACCAATGCATTTTATACAATTTAGTCTTGTGTGACTAACTTTGCTCTCATATTTCATCTCATAATTGCTGTCCTAAAAATATCTCTGTGGGTTGGGTATGTGGTGTTCTGATCTTTGTAGAACTTGCAGTGAGTTTCCCATGCAAATAATTTTTATTGTTACATACTTGCATGACTGAAATTTCACTGTTGGTTGTATATGTTTTAGAATGCAATACTTTGTTGTGTGTTCAACGCTCATTGCATTTGTTCATTTAAATAAATTGTCTTTCTTGTACTGAGAAAGATCTAAAACAACTCTCTTGTTTTGTCACTTCATACCACTGGGCATCGGTGTCACCACAAACAAGCAAAAAAAAAATACTTTTAAAAAATTGATAAGCATATATTTGCCATACACTTTAAATAGAACATTCCAAAATGATAATTTTACACTTATTTTACAAGAGTATTTACAGGATGACAAAGGATGATGATACTACTACACGCGAAACAAATGGAATTGGTCAGTGTGCCTCAATAGTGAGGTTACGAGATCTAACTATGAGGTCTGGATCACAAATGCTTGGAACATGCAATACTTGGACACGATTAATACTCCAATGTGACACACTTGGTCTTGAGATATTCGTTGAGAGCTTCCTCACCTGAAAGCAGAAGAAACACCCCACATTAGTCTCGGACAGCTCTGCACGGCCTCTCCTCAGCCTGGAATTCCACTCCGTTGCCCTTTCCATACCCAGGTCTTTGCCAAAGCCGGACTGCTTGAAGCCTCCGAAGGGCGCCGCCACGTCGGTCTTGTTGTAGGTGTTGATGAACACGGTGCCGGCCTCGATCTTGTCGGCGAAGGCCATGGCCCGGTTGATGTCGCGCGTGAACACCCCCGACGCCAGGCCGAACTCGGTGTTGTTGGCTCTCTTGATGACCGCGTCCAAGTCACTGCGGCAATTGGGTAATGGCAATACATTGATTTACTTTCATACCACCCGCACCCGCGGGGACAGTATAGGCATTTATTGCTAAGGTACTTACTTGCCGCTAAACCGGGAGATGATCATGATGGGTCCAAACGACTCCTCCTTGGCGACGTACATGCTGTCCTCGACGTCGGTGAGGACGGTGGGCTCGAAGAAGAGCCCCGGCCTCTCGAGCCGCTTGCCGCCGTAGCGCAGCTTGGCCCCCTCCTTGACACCGCGGTTCACGAAGTCGATGAGCTTGTCCAGGTGCGCCTTGTGGTTCTGGGGGCCGTGGCTCGTACCGCGGTTCAGTGGGTCCCCGATCACCTGCAGCAGGTAGCAGTGCAGTAGCACGCCAACAAGTCCGCGCCGCACGCGCTACTCAGAACACTCGACACTCACCATCTTCTTGGTCTCCTCGATGACCCTCTCCACGAACTTGTCGTGGATGGTGTCCTGGACGAAGAGGCGCCCCGCCGCGATGCAGTTCTCACCCTTGTTGAAGAACACGCCGCTCATGGCCTGGAAACAAAGCATCGTCTTGACTCTTCTTTGAGTAGAAGTAGAAGGACTAGTACACTGGAGCGAACACTCACGTTCCGCACGGCGCGGTCCATGTCGCAGTCGTCGAAGATGACGAGGGGGGACTTGCCGCCCAGCTCCAGGGACACCTTCTTGAGGTTCGAGTCGGCGCAGGACCGCATGATGGTCTGGCCGATCTCGGTGCTGCCCGTGAAGCCCAGCTTCCGCACCAAGGGGTGGTTGGCGATGGCGTTGCCCGCCTCCGAACCTGGCCGCGGCAGGAAGCGTCCCGGAACGTTAACACAAACGGCGAAACCGGCCGGCCACAGGCACAGCCCGACCCGAGAGACTCACCTGAGCCGGGCACGATGTTGATGACGCCCGGGGGGATGCCGGCCTTGACGGACAGCTCGGCGAACTTGAGCGCCGTCAGCGGGGACACCTGGGCCGGCTTCATGACGACCGTGTTGCCGGCGGCCAGGCAGGCGGCCATCTTCCAGGACAGCATCATGAGGGGGTAGTTCCAGGGCGTGACCAGGCCGCACACACTGCGGGCAGAAACAGGGTCATGTTCACCTCCTTGCAGAGCCGGCGCGGCACGCAGCAGCACAGGGGGCCAAAAGACGGGCGGAGGCGGCCTAAAGCCCGGACGGTTTTTGAGCTCCAGAGTCGCTAAATGGGACTCGAACCGACCGTGTGACCCCACCAATGGATTGCTCTCCGAAAGAGGAATCCACTGGTGGGGTCGCACGCTCGGTTCGAGTCCCGTTTAGCGACTCTGGAGCTCAAAACGCGTCTAGAATTTTGGCCGCCCCCTCCGGTCTTCTGGCCCACTGTGCGCAGCCGACGGACGGGGCGGAGACCTACCCGATGGGCTCCTTCTTGGTGAAGGTGAGGTTGCGGTTGGGGCGCGCGTGGCTGATGGGCACGGTGCGGCCGCTGATCTTGTCGCACCAGCCCGCGAAGTACCGCCACGCCTCGATGGACATACCGACGTGGGTCTTGAGGGCGAGCGTGTACACGGCGCCCGAGTCGATGGACTCGATGGTGGCCAGCTCCTGCTTGTGCTGCTCCATGAGGTCGGCCAGGCGGAACAGCAGCCTGCCGCGGTCGCGGGCGCTCATCTTGGACCACTCGCCCTCGTCGAAGGCGCGCTTGGCGGCGCGGACGGCGCGGTCCACGTCGCCCACCGTGGCGCGTTGCACCTGCGGGCCAGAGTCGGCGCTCAGCACTCAGAGAGGGAAGTCAGGCCCCCACACTTTGCGCAGTCTCTTAGGGATGATTGGGCCGGAGAAACGGCAAGTTTGGGTTTAGCGCCCGGCGAGTAGGCAACGCAGCGGTGTCGAGGCGTTGCCTACCCGTCAGGCGCTCGGGCGGGAGCGCGGCGCGGGGCGGGGCGGGGCGGCCGCGCGGTGCACTGAACTCACCTTGCAGATGACGGTCTCGTCCGCGGGGTTGACGGTGTCGATCGTGCGTCCGCCCTCGGCGTCCACGAACTGGCCGTCGATGAACAGCTGGCGGGGGAACTTAAGCTCCATGTTGTTGGCGGTCATGACCACGGCGTCGTACTGCACGTCCTGCGACGCGGCGCCACCGCGCGCCTTGAGCACTACGGTCTGGCAGAACTCGAAGAAGGTCGTGGCCATGAACACGTCCTCGTTCTGCAGCTCCAGGTTGAAGCGGTCCTTGACCTCCTCCACGAGCCTGACCACGTCCATGGACTGGGCGCCGGACGCGAAGAAGTCCGTGTCGTCGTCGATGTCGATGCGTAGGATGGCCTCCCAGACGCCGCGCACCACGGGCACCATCTCCTTCTCCTCGGCGGTCATCTCGATGGCGGCCTTCTTCTCGACCGCCTTGCCGTACCTGCGCAAACACACAGTCAGACTCGGCACTCGTGTCGGCCGCCAAATCATTGCGGCGAACCGCGCCCCGCGCCCGGCTAAGCCCCGGACAAACACGAGGCATACGCACGGCAAGTCGGCCGTCCCGTTCGTTTCGTTCACCTGTTTGCCGGCATCATGCGACCGTTGACGTGGAGCCGCTCCACGTTGAGCTTGACGCCGTCAGCGCCCTGCAGCAGCAGTCCGCCCGCGTGCACCAGCCCGGGCGCCGCCATGCCCTCCACGCTCACGGGCATCACGTCGTCCTCGGGCACCGCGCCGGCCCACAGCGACGACCCGAACAGCTTCACCTCCTCGCCGTTGAGCACCGCCAGGGCGCCGGGGGAGCTGTCCAGGCCGCGGATGAAGTCGTGGATCCGCTTGGCGGGCTGGTCCCACTTGACCTGCAACACATCGTCGCCACTGCATTCAGGGCCTTCGGGGTGCGGTAAGGACACAGAGGGGAAGTTCGACGCGGCCGGGACCAACTCGGCAGTCGCAGGCGTCAGGCTGTGCTCACCAGGGTCACCTCCTTCTTCTTGAGGGCGGGGTCGTACGACGCGCCCTCCTCGGGCTGCTCGATGGCGGGGGCCGTGCCGTCGGCCACCATGTTGACGGCCTCCGCCATGCCGCGGATGCCCTCGGGGTACATGAACTTGTTGTACAGCGAGTCCAGGGTGTCGTTGGGCTCCACGGGGCACCGGCGCTGCAGCAGGATGGGGCCGGTGTCGAGGCCGTCGTCGGCCCAGAACACGCTGAAGCCGGCCTCCGTGTCGCCCTCGATGAGCGTCCTGCGGGGCCGCCGCCGTTGTGCGTCAGACCGTTGGGTCAGTGATTCAGTCGTGGGGGTGAGATGAGGCGCCACGGCCAAGACTTTCTAGAAGGGGGAGTCTGCCACCCTCAAAGTAAGAGCATCTTCCGTGTTGGCGTAGTCCCGCCTGCGTCACGCGTCAAGGACTCGGTCAAGGACTGCCAACCAGGCGGCAGGGTGGCTAAGGACACCCGGGACAGGACGCTCCAGGGCCCGCCCTTTGGATTCCTTGCAAAGTCGCAGCCCCCCGATCGCGGTGGGAATCGCGAGAATGCAAGGAGTCCGTTTTCTGGCCGATAACGCGACAGAAAAACACGGCATGATGGGGCGAGTCTCGCCCGACGTGATGAGTGATATTCCGCACGTCGGTGTCATCTCTCTTCGTCTCTCTCGCACTCGCTGGGTGTCCCGTACGGCCCGTAGGGGTGCGAGAGAGACGGGGCGACGCGGCGCCGTTCGGAAAGAGCCTGGTGGTGGGCGTGACCGTTACGTCAGCCGCCATAACGCGGCCGCGTGGCTCGGTCGGCTCGGTGTCGCGGTGGTGGCGCGGTGGCGTTGCGGTCAGCGAGCCGACGGCGAGGGGCGAGGCAGGCGCGACGGAGATGCAGCCGCTCCATGATTTGATAAGGCGGGCACATGTCGCGTCTCGCTCGCGCCGCTCGCGCCGCCGCACAGTGGGCCAGGAAGCCTGTTTAGGCGGACATAATTCCATTTTTTCAACTCTCGAATCTTTAAGTTTTTTTTCGTGATAACTCTTCCCAATACTCCAAGGAACCAGGATTGGACGGAATTTCAACACAGGGACACGTTTTAGCCAACATACAGGTGGTCAAACACGCACCAAACGATTTGCGCTACTTTGGTGCAGTAAATATGCATGATTTCAAACGCAAAAAACACTTATTAATTTTTGTCCAGCATACTTTTTATTGACACCACGTGAAAGGGCGTTTCTTTACGAAAATTTACATACATTTACATTTGACTTTGGACGATTTTTGTGGTGTCCAGCTTTATTTTTACTACACTTTGACAAAATTGTCAAAATTAAATCTTTGCAGAGGCGGCACTTTTTTGTTTAACGTTGTTTAACGGCTTCCTTCAGTCCTTGCGGAAGCCAACATGCCAAGGAACAAAACCCAAAATAATTTAGCTGCACCTACTTGCACCTTTGAGTTGTAGGGTCTCCTAAACATCGCCGAAAATGCGAAAAACAGCCCCGCGCAGCGCAACGCTTCCCGACGCAACGGAGGCGCCGCTGCATAGTAGTTGCTTGTAATGATTAGAGTTGTGCATGTCAGAGTTTGTCTTCAACGCGAGTATGCTTGTTTAGGTTTTTGCGTTGTTTAATTCATGAAAACGTAGAAAAGGTGTCAGACCATGTCTTGGCGTAACAGGTCCCTTTCTATCAGATGATGTCAAATTTCACACTGGGGGTCTGATATTGTCTAAAACGGATTCCTCGCCCCTCAAAACCCCCCGACTACGAAGTTACACGCCAAAATAACGATTGGTACGGCCTAGGAGAATTATGTCCGCCTAAACCGGCTTCGTGGCCCACTGTGCGCCGGCCGGCCCCGCGGGTGCGACAGAGACAGAGACACCTTGGATGCGCGCCGGCCGCTCCGCGCTCCGCTTACGCGAACGCCCCGGCAGGGAGCGGCGACCGCGCGTAGACACCCAATTGATAAAGCGAAAGTGTCGCCGCGGGTCGCGAACGAATCTAGAGGGTGCGAGAGAGAGGGGGGCGGGCAGACTGATACCACTCATTCCGAACAGTACTGTCCTCGCTCTCTGCCTCGCTCGCGCTCAAGGAGAGTTCCGTGGCGATGCGAGAGAGACAGAGGCTCCGCTCGGAACGAGGCTGCTGGTCTGAGGACAAGTTGCCGGGCGAGCCGCCGCCATGCCGCCGTCGCGCGGGCTGCCCAGGGCTGCTTGGCCAAAGCGGCCGCTTCCGGACACGGGCCGCCAAGGCGCGCGGCGCGCGGCACAGTTTCAGATAGCTGCGTCGGAACGGCGCTCCGTCGCTCTGTCTCTCTCGCACTATACGGGCTCCTCACCAGCTAATGGAGCTGACGCCCCTGTGCCGCGGCAGTATGGACGGGTGGTAGCAGATGCTCTTGTGCTTGGGGTAGTTGATGACCTCCATGGGGATGAACTGCGTGCAGAAGGGCAGCACGTTCAGGTCCGCGTCCACGCTCTGGTACTGCTCCAGCACCTCCGGGATGACGGCCCCCTGCTTCCGCCAGGACTTGATTTTGAACACCGGGGTGCCGTCGGCGGCGGCCACGCTCGCTGCAATCGAGAACATGCCAGTCATTGACGACGAGGAAGACGAAACCGAGTGCAAGTTCGACGACGCGGCAGCTCGATTTCGCACAGCACCCTCGTCTCCGCGATCGTCTCTCTCGCACCTCTACGCGACGCCTCGGGAGCGCGAGAGAAACAGAGCGCCGAGGGCTGCGCGGGCTGCGCGCCACCACGGCCAGCACCGGGCACTCACCTGCGAGGTCCTCCCTGTTGCCGTTGTCCGGGACTGTGAACACGCCCACCACCTTGTGGCCATCCTTCTTGATGAGCTTGTACACCTCGGCGGCGAAGGCGCTCTGGCCGATGATGGCGACCCGGAGCTTCTGGCCCTTGGCCACGCCCTGCAACACAGCGGGGATGTTGGCCGAAATTCCCTCCAGGATTGCCAACCTCGTCCTGACTACCAAAGGAGGCGTCCAATGTACCAGAGCATTTTGAAAAATCCAAGTTTATTTTTAGAGTTATGGAGGCCGAGACCGGTGCGGCGACGTCGGCGACGTCTATGAAGGAAGCACACACGAGGTGAAAGTAAGAGTGCCCAGTCCCCCTTCCCCCTCCCTTTCGAGCCGCCTGGCCGCCTGGTGCAGTGGGATGCACTTCCCATTACGTGGCTTTGCACGCTTTTGCACCAGGCTGCAACACCAGACCAGGTTTAACCAGGTGGAGCCGGAGGAAGAGGGCGGGCTTTGTTTACAAACAAGGGTCGAAATGAAAGGATGCGAACCAGCGCGAAACGCGCAACGAATTTGCAGAGGGAAGTCCTGTAAGCCAGGAGGAAGGCCGGCCGGCCCGACCACAGAGAGGTTGCGTGTGTCCGGACGGTGTCGGGCCGGGCCGGTCAAGCCAAAGACACCCGACGACGAGCCGGCGTGGCCGGCGGGACGTCGACGAGCACTTTGAGGAACTCTGCTCTACGCTGCCGAGCGCGCTGTTTCTCACAGGTGTCGGCTCTCCCGACAGCACCAGTGCGGTACTCACGTTGGAAGCCACGACCATGTTGGAGGAGAGTGGCGTCTGTCGTCGCACCGCTGCCGCTTGCCGCTGTCGCGAGGGTCTTGGACTGTCCGACACTGGCTCGACCGGGCTCGACCGGCTGGGCTGGGGCACGCGGTGCTGCGATGCTGCGATGCTTACACGCAGGGCGAGGTGGGGCGGGACGGCGGCCCGCAGGACCTGCGCGTAGTCACTTGCTGGCTATCGGCAGCGTGGGGGCGGGACGGGCGGGAGGGGAAGCAGGTCCCCGTTGTCCACGTCGTTGTCGTTGTCGAGGCGGCCCGGTTCGGCCGGAGGAACATGAGCGTCTGGACGTGCTCTCGGGGCGCGCATCGCTTTATACGCTATCTCCTTCTGGCGTCACTCGAGAAAGGTGCTGGTGCCGGCGGAGGGTGGCGTGGGCGACCGGGCCGGCGGGGGCGGGTAGTGACGATTGCCCCCGTTTGATCGCCGTGCTCGCGGCTTCTTATCAGGTCGGACCCAGCCCTTGTTTTTGGCCGAGCCGATGATGGCAATGCCAAAGCGGCCGGGCTGACTTTCACTTCACCCTTCGCCTTGCCTTTCACCCATTTCGCCCGCGCACTACGCGCCACGCGCCGCCCTCGTGGTCCGCAGCGTCCGCGTGTTGCTGGTGCTGCCGCTGCTCTTTAGCCACGCCGCGCCACACTGCGCTATCAGGGAAGTCCCAAGTGGGGGCCACCGCCAGTGTACTGCAGTGTACCGGCACCCACACCACCACACCCGGCATGACGGGATGGACACGCGCTGTCGGTTCACCATTTCAACTCACACAGGGCCCATCGCATTCCTGCTGTATTTCTTTTCCGGTCCAGTGGCCCCTCTCCCTCTCCCCACCCCCCGAAGCGCAAACAGCTGATTTCCCCCCACCCCTCCCCCAAGAGTGCCCCCCCTCCCCCCGTCCCCGTCCGTCTTCGAGACAAAGCAGACTGGCGCCGATATGTGCGCTCTAGTTTATTTCAAGTTTTAATTTATTTTCGAAAAATGTCAGCCGAAGAGACACGTAACTTCAGATCGTCGTACTACGAAAAAGTGGGATTTCGAAGCGTGGAAGAGAAAAAATCAATAGAAATTCTGTTAAAAGAAAAGCCCTTAGACATATCAAAGTTAAAACAGTTCAGCTTACGTTTCACCGTCCCTCAGATGTACAGAAATCTCATGTGGAAATTACTTCTCGGTACGTATTGTAGCGTTATGTTGATTTTCTGATCGGTAAACAACCTTGTTTTGAGTTGCTCGTTTTTAGGTTAGGTTTTCGTTTGTGTGCTGCTGTCCAGTGCCATTGAAACATAATGTAGAAAAAATAAAAGTTGAAGGAAACACAAATTTTTCACACTGTGCAGTAAAGTCCAGCGAATGGAAAACAGATGTAATCACGGCATGTCAAGCTGATTTTCTATGATTAATTGCCAGATAAAAATCACCCCTAACTCTGTAGCGGGGGAGTATCTTTCCTATCAGAATAAAGCTGCAGCATTTATGTATCTTTTTTTTTTAAATCTAAAAAAAAAAGTGTAGTTTAACTTAGTTTACATCACAATAATTTATTTGGAGCTCTCAAGAATATGTTCAGAAAGCTTATGAGGTATATCATAAAGTATTTTGCGAAAGAGTCTACATCTGTCTCCTTTTGCATTTCCAGGTGTTATATCACCACATGTAGAGAGCCATTCTTTCATCATGGACCAAAGGACTCAAGAATATAATGACCTGTTGGAGGCCCTGAAGTCAATGAGGATAGTCACAAGTGACTTGCCTAAGCATCACATATTTTTAATCATGTGGCTTCTGCAAACTGGCAACCTTAAACTCGATTGGAAATCTCAGGTGAGGTAATTCATGGTCATCATGTTGTTGTTGTTTTTTTTTTGTAGTTTCCTAGAAGTATTCGAAGATGTGTTTAGTTTAAGTGTGGTGCTCACAGCTTTGAACGCTGCTGACAGATGGAACGGACAGTGTGATGATAAGATAGGGACTCTTGTGGGAAGGGGGACACCTCCCAAACCAGATATAACTGGCTTATTTTGTAAGGGTCATGATCTTCTGATCTTTGGTGAACTTTTGGAGCCTCTGCCCACAAACTGGTATTTACCAGTTTGCTTGGCAGGGGTCATGAACTCACCGATAGGGAAGAGAGAGATGCACATGCCCTAGCAGGAAAGGCGATGTTATGTTTAGAACTTTCTTCTTATTCATATTTTTTGTTTGTCTTTCAGCTAGAAGACCCTCCTTACCAAAACCTTCTCTTAATTTCATCAGCTTTACTTAACATGTTTGACAATGATGTTGACATTTTCTGGATATCTAAGGGGTTTTTCCAATATGTTGCTAAATTCTATGCCTGTGTCAACATACTTGTAGAAACAACATTGAAAAGTCTTGAAAGGGAAGACCAAGAATTGCACAGGTAACTTTGTAATATCATACATGCAAATTTTCCATTTTACAACAGCTGTAAAAAACTTTTTGTTTGTTTGTTAAGTCACCTGAAGAAAGTTCAAGCTTTAAAATCAATTCCATTTACAACATGGTACTGCTCCTGCTTTGCTGGCCTCTTGAAGGACCCTGCTCTAGCTAAGTGAGAACAACAGCTGCATTTAAGTGGTCTATCAAAATTTGCATAAGGGAGATTTTAGCATTTTAAAAATATCAATCTAATTATCATTGCAGAATTTGGGACAAGCTGGTTGGCGGATCATGTAAAATCCTGGTATTTGTTGCAATTCGAGTTCTTACGACTATGAGAAGAAGGTTGATTCTCCTCGATTCATCAGATGCTGTAGTGGACAGTCTGTGTGACGTAAGTTGTACTTTCCTCTTCAGTTCACAAATGACTGAAAATACTTAAGAGGACAGGATGACTTGACATTAATTTGCAGATTTCAGAAGAGACGGCAGAAATGATTGCCAATAAAGCAATCGAGCAGTGGCAACAGTCAGGCAGTCCATTGACTCCGGCATCACACCCAGATGGATTAAAACCACATGCTGCCAATCAGCGGCTAAAAGGCTTTGCAACCTTGTATTCATGAACTGAGGAATGTCTGAGTTTAAACCTTATTTTTTTTAGTGTTAATTGTTAGTATCTACCTTTTGTTTCTAAATCAGATCTAAGCTACATCACCCGTCTTTACTTAGATGTTTCTTACAATGTACATACTTGTAGAGGGAGAGAGAAAATGAAAGGCTTTTAAAATTTGTGAATTTAATAAAATTATATACAGATATTATAACTGTACAAATCATTGCTGTACATTGTTACACAAAATGATAAAAAGACAACAGCTGATGTCAATCATAAAATGTCACTGAGTTACACTGATCAAATACACATTTTAAAGTTAGCTCTGAGTGAGCACAATTGAAATTCTAATACTTTGAGAGATCAAACATAAACACCATTTATACATTTTAAAATTAGCTCTGAGTGAGCACAATTGAAATTCTAATACAGTACTTTGAGAAAGCAAACATGAACATCATTTATACATTTTAAAATAAGCTCTGAGTGAGCACAATTGAAATTCTAATACTGTGATTAAGCAAACATGAACAGAGAGAAACATGACATTATTTGGTGGACTTCGAAGATGAAGAAGGTTGGCTGAGAGATGATTTAACCTGGCGTTTAGAATCTATTTTCACAGTCGAAACTCTAGCAGCAAACCTTAAGGCATTTAAAGTTTCACTCTGGCAGTCTTCAAATGGAGCAATATTGACCATCATAAGGGTTTTTGAATTTCCTTTCAAACTGGGCATGAGCAGATGCGTCAGTTTGGAGTCACGGAATGGAATATGCTCTGCCTGTAACAAAAATAATAAAAAGAAATAACAAAATAAACAAATGAAAATGTTTTGAAAATCCTTTAAATGTTGCCTGCAAGTCTGTTTACCTTCTCAGCCAGCTTCAAAACCACAAGACTTAATGTTTGAAGGGACCTATTAATATTGAGAGTCTCTGCTTTGCGATCAGCCTGGTTTTCACTGCGGTATTTTTCCGAACCCGCCAAATCAATTAAATTTAAATTACCTGAAAAGAAATTTATGATTCAGTTGCAAATGTTTTGAATGCAGACAATATTTTCAATAAACAGTCAAACAATATATTTACCCTGGATTGTCAGGTTTTGAGCCTCATTGAAGCCTTCCAATTTGATCTGGGTGATGGAATGAGATCTGGAGGACTCATTGTTCATAATAGTTGAAGCGGTAAACCGTCTCCTTTGAGCTTTGTCTAACAGATCCTGAAGCTGTTTTTCAGAATCAACTTCAACAACCTTCAGAGATAGGAATAATTAGTTAAGTAGCATTACAGAAAAGAAATTCATGATGAATTCAAATACTTACTTTTAAATTGGAAACATAAATTTTTTCTGAAACATTGTCAACCATTTTGACCTCATAAGTCAAACCAGAGTTTGGATTCAATAGATCATGAATATTTTCATTATAAATTTCCAAAAAACTGCATTTTACAGTGAACTTCCAGCCCTGTCCACAAAAAATTAAAGAGCGTTATAGATATTTTAACTTGTCATGGAAAGTGGTAAAAAAATTTTAAAACTTACAAGTTGGTTTTGATCTTTTATAGCTTGATAGATGGTTTTAATAGATCTTGGTATCATACCTTCAGAATTAGAATCAGAACCTCCTTGCATGGTGTAGGTTTTACCAGAACCTGTCTGACCATACGCAAACACACAGACGTTGTGTCCGTCAAGTGCACTCTACACACAAAAAGAGAAATAGCAGTTGATTAGTGAAAATTGTGTAACAGCTACACAGATGCTTCTATCATCCAAATCCTTTTACCTGCACCAGAGCACTGAGTTCATCATAGATGTCCTGCTGGCTACTCTGAGGGGTATAAACTTTATCATAGGTGAAAGGTTGGTTTTTGGCTGGTTGTGTTTTACCTTTCTCTGAAAAAAAAAAAAAAACAATATAAAATTATATTATACATTACATAAGTATTCAGTGATGACTTCTGGAAGAAGAAAAATAACACTGCAGGTACTAACCAGTTGTTTTTACCTCAAGAGTAGCCTCATTTGGGAAATTAAAAGTCAATAAAGCTTTCTCTGATTCAGAGTTGAGTGGAGGCCTTACGCGGCAAAACACTCTTATGTTTCCCTGCAACAGATCGGCCACAATCACAAACCCATTCAAACACAACACTTGTAGATATCTAAAACAATTTATTTTTCACAAGATTCTTTACCTTTAAATCTAAAATAGTATTTAACATAACTCGTTTGGCCTGCTGCTCATTGAATAATTGCAGCACTCTTTCTCGGTCCCTGGCTTCAGCCCTCTCTTGACAAACTCTAAGCTCTGTAGACAATGCTGCATAGGATTGTTTCAACTGCTCCAACTCGGAATTCAATGATGCCACCTGATTTTTTAACTTCGATTCAGATTCCATAACAACATGGTATTCAGATTTTATATTACTAAAATCAAGCTGTAAAAGACAAAAGTAAAATTAAGTTAAAAAATTTCATCAAAATAGTCGGATGCAAGGTATTGCAGGCCTCTTACACTCAAAGATTGATGTTCTTTTCTAATTTTATCCAACTCAGCAAGGGCTTGCTCAGCCTCATCTTTCCACTTCTTTTCAGACAAAGTAACTATATCCAGTTGGGATTTGGTATCAGTAAGTTTAGCCTGTCACAAACAAATCAAAAGTAACATAAAAATAGGGAAGAACACACCAACGTATGAAAGCTAGATATCATCACCAGCCACTTACTTCCAGAGATTCACATTGTTCTCTTGAATCTACCAACAACTGTTGTGTGGTCACTGCTTCAGCAGCAGCAGTTGTTAAATAATCATTTTCTTCACTTAATTTTGAGATCTTTGCATTAGCGTGCTCTAATCTAGATTTGATATCCCAAGGTGCAGGTTTGCCTCCTGAAACAAAAGAGGAAAGACAAAGAGGATAAAAACAGACGAGAAAATAAGAAAAATAAATGGCAAATGAAAGAAACAGCCAAGACATATATTGATACAACTTACGTTTTGCGGGAGCAACAGGTACAGGAACCTTTTTATCAGTCTCTGAGGAAATCATGAAAGAAATTTGTCAAGATACTTAATTTAAAGGCAGCAGAATATTTAAATGAAGTCAACAGAATTGATCACTTACGTTGTTTATTGGAATCAACAAGGGGTCTTTTCTTATCAGGGCCAGGTTGTCCTGTAGTGGCTGGTCTCTTGCGATTGGCAGCAGCAGTCGATGCAGGAGCAACCCTGGATGAAGCGGTAGCGACTGCTTTTCTGAGCAGCGAATTCTGAGCTGTGCCTGTTCCTCGCAGACCAGGTTTCTGAGCAACTCCAACCCTTGTCAGATCTGGAGCACTGAGGGACTGACGAGTAACTGCAAGACACAACCAATGAATAATTAATGAAACCGGCGACTCAAAACCAAGGGAATAGAAGCAAACACAACTCACCACGACTAGAAGCCAAGTTAGATGTAGAACTCGCAGCAACCCTGGAAGTCTGGGAAGCAGCGGCAGTCTTGGGACGAGGAATTCCAGCACCAGCCCCACCTCCAAAGCGAGGTTGAGGCAGACGAGAACCGCCAGGTTGAGGGAGGCGAGAACCACCAGCCACTCCGCCAGGCCTGGCTGCAGCTTCAGACATCTTCCTGAGAGGATCAAAGAGTAGTGAAGTGGGAGGTTAGCCCACAACAAGCAGAAACAGCAGTCACTCACAACAAGAAACAAGATGCGATGCTAAGCTGAGGGGGCGGAACCTACGGAAACTTACCTTGATCGCACAGGACGGTGATACAACAAGAAAAGAGATCGCAAGAGAGAGCACGAGACTTCACTTCAGGCTTCCAAACAGTAACACTTCCAAGCTGAGAACAGAGACAGAATCGAGGTCCAAACAAACACTCCGACTCAAGCCGACCGTTTGAAAACATCAAAAAACCGTTACCAAAACTACCAACGTCATGATCAAAAATAAATCCTAGACAAGCAGGTTTGTTTGATATCACCTTAATAAAGCTGCTTCAAGTTCTTCACAGACACAAAATTCCCTTAACAGACATTTTTAAAAATTTTCATTTTTTCCATGCGTAATTTTGTGGCTTATAAAAGTGTTTTATGTTTTTCTTTAACATTGGCAGCGATACCGTACCCTACCCCCCTACCCCTCCCCTCCCCCTGTAGCAGCCCGACATCAACAAACAAGCAAGTGCACAAGTTCAAGTGTGTGGAAAGGTGACAATTAGTCAAATTCTGATTCGTGAAACCCTTGTCATGGCATATGTCATCCTCATTTATGATCTTAAACTGCCACTCATACTTCCTGCCCCTGCATTCAGTATTTTTCTGTCATGATCATAGCATTATTCCAAAACTAACCTGACATCGGACAAGTGAGACAAACATTCACGTTCTCGATTCGGAACTAGCCTGTGTCACCTTATAATGCACTTGAAATGGCATCTGTCTTCTCTTTTATGAATCTTGTTGTCTGATTTTCAGTAATTCAATAATGGACAATGATGAGGAGGTTATACTCAAGGTAAATTACAATAATTATTGTTATGATGTTCTAATATAATTGGGATAGAAAATTTTTATCTCCTAACTTTCAGGGATCTGCTCTTTACGACTACTTGCATGAAACTGGGTTTAAAAACTTTGAATCCTATGAATTGAATCACAATAAATCAAGATGGTTTTTGACTGGACCTGGAAACTACGAGTGTCTGCAAGTCACTCGACCAGTGAGTACTTTCATTATTGTTTCTTGTTACTCTACTACTTTTAAAGAAGGACCTAAAGACAACAAAGTAACAACCTTTTGTGTCTTTCCAATTACAGGCTCCTCAATGGTCACTGGATCACTTAGACTCCATTTTGAACTGTGGACTTCTACTTGAAGACCACCGTCACTTCATTGAATGTTACTACCCCCTTGAAACAAAGAAAAATTCTTCAATCGTGTAGGTTTTATTCAAGTCTCGCTTTGATCACTATCATTGCGGCAGCACCCTATTATTATACATGTATTTAATTTTGTTTCAGGAAAAAAATTGTTTTAGGAGGTGTTCAATTTTTCTGTTTGGCTGGAGGCTTGTGGAAAATTGCCTCAGCCCCAACCTCAAAACCATTTATCTTTGCTTCCTGTGCAACAGCTTCTCTCTTTGCTTTTGTCTATGTAAAAGAAGCCCTGAGAAGGCATTCAATATTGGAAGGAATCAGCAAACTCAAGCATACTTTAGATGGGTTGGAAAAGGTGTATGTTCAGTTCCGGAGAATGCTACTCTTGGTGCATCAAAATGAGTTTATCACCCAGAATATATCATTGTAAGTTTAAACCTACTAATTTCTGTGTTTTGAGTTCTATCTTCCTTCTGTTGTCTCTTTCTGCATTTGTGTTTGTTATAGACGCCAAAGAGAAATGGCCGAGCTGAAGAAAAAGTTGTCAGCCCATTTAAATGACAGTATTCATAAATTATTTGGCTTTTTATCCGATGTTAACACAGTTCCTTTGTCTGTTGATGTTGATGTAACACTCCAGTCATTAGTCCCAGAAGAAATCTATCAAGATGATACATACTCTCTAGACAGTTTAAAGGTATCATAATCTTTCTTAGCGTATCCTGTAATCTTTTTATTATTTTTATTTCGTACCCTGATGTTTAAGGTTATTTATTTTATTTTCTTTCAGAGAATGTTTAACGGCTTCATTCTTCTTCAATCTGAATTTTTGAGGAGGCTTGCTCTTTGCTACTGTCCTGACATTTGGAGTTCAACTACACCCAAGGCAATTTTTGCATTTTCAAAGAAGAAGCTACCTGAAATCTTGAAGTGGAGTGGTAATATTGAAGAGGCCCTAATTCGAGAACAGCGATTTTTCCGAGCGGTCATGGAGTCAAAGGAGAAACAAAGCCAACTCAAGTTACCAAAAACAAATTGGGACTTTGCTGATCTCTATGTTTTGATTCGGAGTGCGTCTATCAATTTCCAGTCTCTTCTTATACAAATTCAAGGTTTGCAAGATATTCTTGAGAATGAGGCATGTGATCAAGGCAAGGAGAATGAAGAGTTACTCAACACCATTGCTCTAATTTTATCAGAGATTATGAAAGACATTAGCTCTGGTCAGTCTTGCATTGATGCTAGCTTTGTCCAAACACACAAAATGATGAGTGCAAATCAACCAGCTGTGAAGCTCTGTGAACTGGAATCTGTTCCACGATTGGCAGCAAATCCTGAAGAGCAGAAAAGTGCCATAGTCAATCCTTCAGTTGAAGATGAAGTTTTTGAGCTTATTGTCCCTCTTGAAGGAAAAGATGAATCTGATGAAGATAATTTTGAAGAAATTTCTGCTGAATTTCGTATTAAGAGGAGGGAAGGAGAAACTTCAAAAAGAGTACTTCAAGAACTTAAAACTGTTTTGGTGAAAAAAGCTGAGGAGTGGAAGGAAAGGGAAAAACGTGCCATGGCAGCGAAAGGTATGACCTACACTGCGCCAGACCAGGTCAAAGTAGAACCAGAAGTGCAAAAAGTGACAGAGGAAGTTGATTTTCCCACCAGTGACGAATCCCTTGATTTTCTTCCTATAAACTGTGATAATGTTTGGCCACTCCCGAGGTTAAAGGCTACTGTGCGTTCTCACCGTATTCGTGAGAGAAAAACTAGCCATTCTGAGGCTTCCAAGCATCATTTTGAGACGGTAGAGCCGATACCTCTTGCACCTGTGAACATGGGTGAACAAGAACCAGGTGCTCAAAGTGAAGTTCCACGAATGGGCTTTGGGGCATCGTTGTTAGCTGAGGCCATGGCCAAATCTAGAGCTATGCGTTTGCGTAACTCAAGGAAGGAGGACATATTTGTTGTATCTGATGAAGAAAATTCTAGTGGGGAGTAACATTTGCAATTAATTGGAAAAAAATTATTACGATTCTTGCCTGTGTTCTAGTCCATTATTGTTATAAATAAAGTCAAATTTAATTTTATTGCAGGAATGAATAATTTTCTGATTATTGTTATCTTGAATGAGATTAAAGAAATGATTTAGTTGCTGTTATTAAGTTCTTTAGTCTTTTCCCAGTTAATCAAAACACCACCATTTATACATTTGACCTTTTTAGACAATAACTGTAGACTAAGGGAAAATTGAATCGCCATCCACACACTGACAGGAAAAATGAGAGAATGGCCTTCCCTTTCGTCCTTGGTCCTCGGGGCGGGGCGGGGTGGCTGCCGTGTGAAGTGGCGGTCCCAACCGGTCAGAAATGCCCACCGAAACTCGTCCCGGTGTAACGGACTGTTAACGGGTCGGGCCCTATGGAAGTGCATAGCGTGCCTGCGTGGCTTTCCGACCTTAGATGCCGGTCTGGTCTGATCAAGCCATTGGGATTGCTGTCGGCTGCCGGCTCAATCAAATTGAAATGGCACAGCGGTGCTGCTCTAGGCCGCGGGACGTACTGTATTTTGTTGGGGACTTATCGCCGGCTGTCTTTGGCGTGGCGCAGGGAAGTGCAGGGCCTCGCCGCGTTGCCAAACAAATCATTTGGTCGATGGGCTGCTTCGCGCTTCGCGGGGCATCGCTGCTACCAGGCACTACCAGGACGAGCGGCGAGCCGGGGGAGCGCCTGCCGTGGACAGCGTAGGCAACCCGGTCGCCTCGCGTGCAAGCAGCTCGAGGGGCTGCCTACCTCGCAGGCTGACGGAGCGGCCGGCGCAGGCGCAGGCGGCCAAAACTCTAGACGCGTTTTGAGTTCCAGAGTCGCTAAACAGGACTCGAACCGAGCGTGTGACCCCACCAATGGATTCCTCGTTCGGAGAGCAATCCATTGGTGGGGTCACAAACGTTCGGTTCGAGTCCCATTTAGCAACTCTGGAACTCAAAACCCATCCGGGATTTTGACCGCCTCCACCAGCCGGGCCTTCTGGCTGGCCCACTGCGGCGCTGACTCGGCTGCCTCTGCACCCAGTAGACCACCAGGCATCACCCTGGCCTGGCCTGGCGCACGCCGTGCTGGGCATCCCCGCCGTGGGCACCACGCCCTCCACGCCCCGACCGCGGCGTGAATCACCTGCGCGGCGGGGCGCGGCGGGGCGTCCCCGCGGTGGACCGCACGGCGGCGCGGGGTCCCCGATGACGCGAAACGTATCACCTGAGGCCGCAGCGCTGGCGCGGCACGCGGCTCCTGCTCCGTCTGGACGGCCTGCCGGCATGCTGCCGGCCTGCACGGCGGTGGGATGGGTTGGAGATAACTCGGCCGCGGCCCCCACCATGCAGGCCCACTGGCGGGAAGCCGACGGGGGGAGGCCTCTCCGCTCCAGGCCCCTCCCCCACTGCAGGAGCAGGGCCCCGCCGCCCCGCTCCGGGTAGACTATCGGCGCCCCGGACCATTTTCGCATCGTTTCGACTGACACGCGGCCGGTGGCGGTCGTCTTGTGTCCGCCAGCAGCGCATCCCTCCGCGACGTCCCCGACGACGACGAGGCCGCCAGCATGGAGAGCCGTCGCAGTGAGTGTCCCGGGGGTGGGGGCGCACAGTGGGCCAGAAGCCGGTGGAGGCGGCCAAAACTCTAGACGCGTTTTGAGCCCCAGAGTCGCTAAGCAGGACTCGAACCGATCGTGTGACCCCACCAATGGATTGCTCTCCGAACGAGGTCACACGTTCGGTTCGAGTCCCATTTAGCGACTCTGGAGCTCAAAACGCGTCTAGAGTTTTGGCCACCTCCACCGGCTTCTGCCCACTGTGGGGCGCCTGGCCTGGGGTTGTCGGTGGTCGTCGTTTCGCCACCATGTAGTCCTAGATTTGCGGGCCAGCATACCACTGTGATCACCGGACGTGACAACGTGTGTCACACTATGGGAAACCTCACACACTCTAGCTAGTCTAGCTGGTTTTAAGAATCGCCCGAAAGGAAGAAAACTTGCGCGCAGCGGACGAGTGCGTCCTTTTCGTTTCGCGCGTGACAAGGTAGCGGGGTTTAGCACCTCCGCGTCCTTTACTGCCGGCCCGGCCGGGCCACCCGACGACGCGTGCGTGACGCGTGCGTCACTCTGTGGTCCTGGTGCACTGCAGGACTGCAGGTGGCCTGGGAACAGCGGTAAACGGAAGCATGTTGTGTCCAGCGTACACAGTCACAAGCTCGCGCACACGGAGCCCTGCAGACTTGATCCGCGCTCTGTCTCTCTGGCGCACATACGGCACGCCCTGTGAGTGCAAGAGAGACAGAGAGACTGGGAATCAGCCTGCCCGGGCCCGGCCGGCCCGGCGCACCGCGAGGGGTGGGTACACTGCACGCACGGTGCACGCCGACTCGTTGATGATGGTGTAGTCCCGGGCCGCCTCGGCGCCCGTCGAACCGAACGAACCGCCGATTCACGCGGAAATCTTTTCGCCTCCGGGATGCATACGCAGCGAGTACGCAGCAAGGTGCGCAGCACGTGTCCGAATCGGGAGGGAATTATTTGGCTTGATTGAGAGGCGCTAGAACGCGGACCTGGCCGCCTCTCTTGAGCCAGCCACTCGCGTGCTCACTCACACACACTCACCGACGCGCACACACAGGGCCAAGGCCGCGGGCGGCACGGCACGGCCCCTGTTCATTGTATTGGCCAGAGCTAAAACAAGGGATGACTCAAAGTGCAGTGCGGGCCTTACGAGCGCACAAAACCAGCCCACTGTTTTTCGTGATAACGATCCCGAAAATGTCAATTTTTTGTCATTTGAAGCCGAGACCGCTCCTGACTGTCACAGTTATGCAACGGTCGCTTCTCCTCTCTGGGTGGCGGTGAAAATAAAAGAGGCCGGCCGGTCCTGCCGCGCGTTGATGTCTCCGAGTCTCTCCGAGTCTCTCGGCCCAAAAGCTGCCAAGTGCCAAAGGCAGCAGCCCAAGGCAGCCAAAGACCCAGGGGGCAAGGCCGAATGTGGGTCAGCAGCTCGTCACGGACGCGTCATGGACGTGTCATGGACGTGTCATGGACGTCCGGGCCATAGTTACGTGACGAGGGAGCCGCAAATAGTCTACCAAATGTTGCAACCTGGGCCGTAAAGCGAGCCGGTCCGGTACGCGTGGAGGCGAGCCGAGCCGAGCCGGATCGCCATGAGGCATGCCGAGCAAAAGGGAGCAGTGTAGTGGCATTACACGAGGATGACGCCAGGCCACGCCGCGCCACGCGTCCGCGCCTCGGACAAGGCGGATGTTGTGAAGCGTATGTCTATATCGATCGACGCGGGCGCGCGCGGGCGCGGGTTCGAGTCCCGGACGCCGCCGGTACTTTTCCGTCTTCTGCCATTGTCCTGGTGTGCGACTCGTTGGGCTTGTTGTGGGGCTGTTTGACCTCCCAGACTCACAGCGCGGGGCCGCAGTCATCGCCCCGGTCGCCGAAAAGTGAAACCGCCAAACCAGAAACCTCGACGCCGTCCCCATCCTCCACTCCAATTGGCCGGTGTGGGTCCTTGCCCTGGCCGCCGTACTCACGCGCACCGCCCTGTCCGACAACTTTATGGGTCCCGAGAGGACTCGGCCGCCCATTCGTACGGATGTAGGTTGGAATTGCAATCGAAGGACTCCCCCCCCCCTCTCCACCCGCGCGCACTGGATATACGTTCATGCTTAGGCACGCCGCATGTCCGGTGTAGGTACTCTAGGTTGCGCAGGTTATGGACTTGTGTGGTGCTATCTATCGGCCGCGCCATCGGCCTTGGCAGCCCTAGTGCATTCGTGATTTGAACCTCCTTTAGCCTGTAGTGTTTTGCCGCCGGCCGCTCGCCGAGGCCGTGCTGGCCGTGCTGGCCGTGCTGGCCGTGCTGCAGCAGGGGTGGCACGAAGGCGAGCGCGGACTTTGGCACTCTAGAGACGACCGCCTGACTTCATTCTGTCGCGGCTCCCTGCTGCAGTGCTTTCGTCGTTCCGTCTCTCTCGCACCTGCGCGGCTCGCGCCGTGAGTGCGAGAGAGACGGAGCGACCTTACAATGCACTGTCCCGAATGAGCTGGCACGGTGCCAGGCAGGGTGGTGGGGTGGTCGGGCACGCCGGACCGGCTTGACAGTGGCTGACACAGGGGGTCACCCTGGTCACCCCGGTGAGCTGGAGCACGATAACTGCACCAATCAACCGCATGCAGATGTCCAGTGCAGTGGGCTGTACGTCATTCGTCACTCAGCCTATCGCCGGCTGACCCCCGGTAGCCCCGGGGACCGCGGCGGACCGCGGAGGACCCAGCCCCACGACCCAGCGGCGAAAACAAAGTCACGTTTCAAATGAAATCATTCCCAAATTATTACCCAAAAAAATAATTGAATAATTATAGACAAAAGTCAATTTTTTTTTTGCAATTTTTACTTTAGGCACGGAAAGTTATAAAAACCTTTTCGTGAAAAAAGTTTTGTTTCGATAGTTTTTTTTCTTCTTCTCAAGGTCACGGAAAGTCTTATCAGCCGTGCCCCCACGAAAGCGTGGAAGTAATGTTCTCCTCGCCCAATCCGTTTCCGCGGCGTCCCGCGGCGTCCCCAGCGTGCCGATCGTGACAATTGCGCGACTGGCGGCTGGCACACGGTAAGTCGCGCGCGGCGTGCCTCCGGCTCCTGCACGGCTCCAGGCGGGACTCCAGGACTCCAGGCCGCGCCAGCCTTTCGTTATCTCGAGGCACGGCGCGCGGCACGCCGCGGGGCCGCGGCATCGTCGGCAGGCAGGCCATTCCGGTCTGGCCGCGCGCACACTGTGCACGCCGTGCACTCGGCTCCACGTCTTTAACGTCCTTATTAGATGAACCTGACACCGGCGCGGTGGTGCTCGCTGCACCTGTTGTCTTGCCTTGTCGCCGAGGCGTTCACTCTCTCGTCCCCCAGCCGTAGTGCCGGCCGTGCCGGCCGTGCCCCAGCCTTGGACTTGGTGGAAACACGGGCAGCCTCGACCACACACACAACAGCAGCGCACTTAAAAACAAAATCGGCAGCCGTCCGCGAAAAACGGCTCGGAATAAAAATCCAATCGCGCGGAGAAGGAGGCGCGTCGTCGGCGCGGTTACGTGTGGTCCCGACGCACAGTGGGCCAGAAGACCGGTGGAGGCGGACAAAACTCCAGACGCGTTCTGAGCTCCAGAGTCGTTAAATGGGACTCGAACCGAGCGTGTGACCCCACCAATGGATTGCTCTTCGAACGAGGAATCCATTGGTGGGGTCACACGTTCGGTTCGAGTCCCATTTAGCGACTCTGGAGCTCAAAACGCGTCTGGAGTTTTGCCCGCCTCTACCGGTCTTCTGGCCCACTGTGCGACGTCCCGACAGCGCCGTGGTCGTGCCAGAGGCCCGGCACTGCCATTCCGAATACGGTCGCTCCGTCTCTCTCTCCCCCGCGCAACGCCCCACGAGTGCGAGAGAGACGGTAGGCTCGGCGCCAGCCATGCAGTCGTGCCTCCGCACTTCGCCACTGTCTCGCACCGCAACCCGTCCTGCGTTGATAGTGGCTCCCGGAGTCTCTTTTTAGGCGCAGGTTGTCACCAATTGCTTTTTTTCTGTCCCAGGCGTACTCCTGGTTGCCGCCCTGCTCTGCGCGTCCGCGGCGCACGCCAAGAGGCCCCATATCGTCGTCATCCTAGCCGACGACCTGGTAAGTCGATGAGATCTTGAGAGCCACCCTCGGCGAAAAAGTGAAAAAATTATTCTTTGGTATTTGAACCCGTGACTTCCCTGCTTCCAGGGCTGGAATGACGTGAGCTTCCACGGCTCGGACCAGATCCCGACGCCCAACATCGACGCGCTGGCCTACAACGGCGTGATCTTGAACCAGCACTACGTGCCCGCGCTGTGCACGCCGTCCCGGGCCGCCCTCATGACGGGGAAATACCCCACCCACACCGGTAGGTCCACAACGGCGTGCACACACAGTGGCCCAGAAGACCGGTGGAGGCGGACAAAATCTCGGGCGCGTTTTGAGCTCCAGAGTCGCTGAACAGGGCTCGACCGAGCGTGATGTGATCCCACCAATGGATTGCTCACCGAACGAGGAATCCATTGGTGGGGTCACACGTTCGTCTCGAGTCCCATTTAGGGACTCTGGAGCTCAAAACGCGTCTAGAGTTTTGTCCGCCTCCACCGGTCTTCTGGCCCACTGTGGCACACCACCCTCATGGACGGGGAAATACCCCACGCACAGCGATGCGTCCACACCACATCGGCGCTGCTCGCGGGAAAGGGCCCCGGGTCCAGTTATTCTGGTCCAGGGAAGTCCAGATGCGTTCGGGTCTGGGCCAGCCTGCCTGCGCCAGCCTGGGCGCCGCCGCTCCGTCACTGGGGGTCCCGTCCCGCGAGCGTCCGCGTGCGTCCGGACCAGTTCGCCTCTGGCGGCGCCCAGCCCCGCGGCACCTCGCGGCGTGACGTCACGACGGGCCTTACCGGCCTCCTGCGTGTGTGCGACGCGTTCTAGAAAGCGGCGGACGGGTCACCAACGCCATCGTAGCGACGCAGGGGACCCCGCACATCGGAAAGAGAGAGAGAGAGAGAGAGAGAGAGAGAGAGAGAGAGAGAGAGAGAGAGAGAGAGAGAGAGAGAGAGAGAGAGAGAGAGAGAGAGAGAGAGAGAGAGAGAGCGGCGACACGACTTCTCATTGAATCGCACGGCCTGCAGGGGCCGCGGTTTGTTTTGGAGGATCATGGCGCGTCCTGCTCAGACCTTGAAGGGGTCTTGAAGGCGGCCGGGTCGCAGAGGACGCGCGTGCGCCGGAAGCGGTCCGGGCGTGGCGCCTGCAATTAGGCCCGGCGCGTCACGAGAGCACCGGCAGGCTGTCTCTCTCGCACCCGCACGGGACGCCGCAAGAGTGCGAGAGAGACAGACTGACGCCGGGTGGGTAGGCAGTCCCGAACACAGGTCCGCCGGGCGGGCCGGCGTGTCGCCGTCCCACGGGGTCTGTGGCCCGCGCGGCATAGCGCAGCCGGCGCAGCCCCGCCCCGCATATCTTGCGGAGCAGGTTTCGGATGCTCTGCCTAATCAATGAGCGAAAAAAAAGAGAAAAGATGACGATGACGGTCGGAAACTGGAATTTGCAGATCGTGCTGCTCTATTACTCTTGGTTAATGGCTCAAACGCGCGGCAGCAGTTTGAGACAACAGGCGTCGGGAGAGGCGCGCCTCCTCACTTCGGTTCCGATCAGCTTCTAGCCGATTTGCGACTTTTACTGCTTTCGGCGGGGAACTGTGTGGAAGCGGCCTTTAAAAAGTAGTAGCCTAGATTTATTGTTTTTCTCCTTTGAAACCTATTTCGTCCCTCACCACGCCCTGCGGCGAAACTGATTGACAATCTGACTGAGTGTCTGAGTGATGTCAGACCAGTGTCTGACTAGTTAACCAACTGCCTGACTGACTCTGGAACTGTCAGCTGGCATTGTAGCCCTCGTGCGGCCAAGAGCTCGCCCCGGAGGCGCATAGGACCATGGGACACACCCACGGCGGGTGCCCCTTGATGACGCGGACGACGGGGGTGTGGCTCTCCTCGCTGCACGGCACTGCAAGGCACGGCACTGCAAGGCATGGCACTGTGGGGCGTGGCCGTAGAGCTTGGCTCGGCTCCACGCCGTACGTACAGTTTTTACTCCGCGACCGGTCACGCCGGCCCAGAGCGTGCTCAGTCTAAACACTACTAAACGACCACTCTATGAATAAACATTCCAGTCGTTGATAAGACCGGCGGCATCGGGACTCGAACCGGCGCCGCGCACCGCGATGAAACTCGTGGGAAAGGAGTGATTGCCGTGCGCGGCGCGGCGGCTCAGCAGACCGATTCCGATGCGTTCACGCCTCACGCCCTCGACGGAGACAGATCGACGGTCGGCACTTCAGCCTGCAGGCACACTCGCACACTGAAACACGAGAGAAAAACAATCCCAAGATGAGACCCAGTGACCCGTAACGCAGTGTCACTCGCCCGGGCCCGGCGCCTCGGCGCCTCGGCGCGCCACTCGAAAAACCAGTCGCTTGCAAATCCGGTCTTCGGGGTGTCTGTCCTGACGCGGCGTGGTTCCTGTCCTGTCCCGCAGGCATGCAGCACATCGTGATCCTGGAGCCCGAGCCCTGGGGACTTCCCCTGGAGGAGAAGCTGCTCCCGGAGTACCTGTCCGAGCTGGGCTACCGCACCCACGCCGTCGGCAAGTGGCACCTCGGCTACCACCGGCGCGAGTACACGCCGACGCACCGCGGCTTCGACTCGCACTTCGGCTACTGGAACGGCTTCCAGGACTACTTCGACCACACCGTCAAGGCCACGGTGAGTGAGGGGCGTGGACCTCGAGGGCCGGCAGTGCGCTGACCGGGCTGGACCGCGATTCAGTCTGCAAGGAACCGGAAAGGAGGCGAGACGGCTTCCGCGTTGTTGCTTTGGCGGTCCGCCTCAGGCGGCATGCCGGCGGGACGCACAGCGCGCAACGCCCGCACTCAACGGCCGATTTGCTATTCCGGTTCCAGTTCGGCGCCGCCATGAGCGGCTACGACATGCGGCGCAACATGAGCGTGGCCTGGGACGCGGCGGGCCGCTACTCCACGGACCTGTTCACGGAGGAGGCCGTGCGCCTGGTGCGCGACCACCCCAAGGACTCGCCCCTGTTCCTGTACCTGGCGCACCTGGCGCCGCACACTGGCAACCGGGACAACCCCTTCCAGGCCCTCGACGAGGACGTCGCCCACTTCGGCCACATCGCGGACCCCGAGCGCCGCGTGTACGCCGGTGAGTCCCACGCCGAGGTGTTCCCACTCGCTTTTGGCAGTGGAGGGGCAGTGTTGCTGATCGATGCTTGTGATTCGCCAGCCATGATCCGCCGCCTGGACCAGGGCGTCGGCGAGGTGGTGGCGGCGCTGCGGGAACGAGACATGCTGCAGGACTCCATCATCCTCTTCATGTCGGACAACGGCGCGCCCACGTTCGGCGTGCACTCTAACCGGGGCTCCAACTTCCCGCTCAGAGGGGTGAGTACCGCGCCAAGTCTGTCTCTCTCGCACTCATGTGGCGGTTCGTGCGGGCGAGGCAGAAGGCTGTGCTTCCCGTCCTCATGGCCATCTCCGCCTTGCAGATGAAGGAGTCCCCCTGGGAGGGCGGCGTCCGCGGTGTGGCCGCGCTCTGGAGTCCGCTGCTGGACAAGCCGGGCCGCGTCTCCGGCGCGCTCATGCACGTGTCGGACTGGCTGCCCACGCTCCTCAGCGCCGCCGGTAGGTCTCCCGTCACTCCGCCTGGAGTTTGAACCTTGAACCCCGAAACGGCGATGGTAGAAACCGAGTGGATGTTGCACTTGTTGCAGGCGCCAACGCCAGCTCCCTGCCGCTGCTGGACGGCGTGGACCAGTGGGCCGCCCTGAGCCGCGGAGCGCCCACGCGGCGCCTCGAGGTGCTGCACAACATCGACGACATCGTCAAGTACGCGGCGCTGCGCCGCGGCGACTGGAAATACGTCACCGGTGAGTGGGCACCTTCGGCACCGTCCAACAGTGGATTTGCCAGAAGACCGGTGGAGGCGGTCAAAACTCCAGACGCGTTTTGAGCTCCAGAGTCGCTAAATGGGACTCGAACCGATCGTGTGACCCTACCAATGGATTGCCCTTCGAACGAGGAATCCATTGATGGGGTCACACCCTCGGTTCGAGTCCTGTTTAGCGACTCTGGAGCTCAAAACGGGCTAGAGTTTAGGCCGCCCCCGCCGGTCTTCTGACCTATTCTGACCCACTGCGCGGATCTCGGTAGCCTTCAGTTAATGTCGGAAAACTGAGCGTGTTTTCGCTGCGTGTGCCGCAGGATCGACGCAGGACGGCGTCGCGGACCACTGGTTCGGCGAGAAGGGCCGGGACGCCGCCAACCCGCCGTACCCCCTGGACGCCGTGCTGCACTCCAAGACGGGCGTCGCCCTGGCCGGCCTGGGGGCGACACTGCAGATCAAGGGCACAGGTAGGGTGTTGTTGCTCTAGATTTGAAAGTGGCTTTTATGGAAGCATGTTGCTGAAATCGATTGTGATTTGTTCCAGCGCCCGAAGGGTACCAGCCGCTGTCCGCGTCCACCGCGCTCCGCCTTCGCGCCGAGGCCGAGGTGCAGTGCCCCGACCTGGCCGACAAGGAGGCCGTGGCCTGCAACCCCATGGAGGCCCCCTGCCTCTTCAACATCCGCGCCGACCCCTGCGAGAGAGTGAACCTGGCGGCCGCCCGCCCCCAGGTGCTGCAGAGCCTGGAGGAGGCCCTGGGCCGCTACCGCCGCACCATGCTGCCGCCGCGCAACGTGCCCACGGACCCGCTGGCCGACCCGGCGCACTGGAACGGCACCTGGACCAACTGGTGCTCGGAGCAGGACGACGTGGACCTCGGCGCGCTGGGGGAGCGCGACGACGACGGCAGGGCCGTGGCGCCGCTGTTCGCGGCCACGCCGGGCCTCGGCGTCTCCACCTTCACGGCCATGTCGCTGGCCACCGTGGCCGCAGTGCTGGCCGCCAGCCTCGCCAACCCCTCCGCCTTCACGGCCTTCACGGCCGCGTCGCTCGCGCCCTGGGTGCAGCGCCTTAAGGCGCAGCCCGCGCAGCCCCAGTAGAGGCCGGCGCCGTCCCGTCTCTCCCGTTGACGTCAACTGGCCACTTTTCGGCGAGCAAAAAGGCCGCGGTGACGTACGTCATAACGTTGTTGAACTAGAACGCGCGCGTACTCCGGCTGGAGTCGCGGACCACGCCTGGAGTGCTTGCCGCCTTCGACTTTGCTGCGACACGGCGGGGCGGCCTGGCTCGCTGGCCGAAATTGGCTTTTCGGGCAAGTTGAAGCTGCCGCCTCGGTGTCGGTGCGCATGGGGTGTCTCGTCTGTGATGCTAGATATAAGGTCTGTGATATGTTTCATGTGGAGTCGTATTGTAATAGTATTAGCCATCTCCGGTCATCAAGGGCGTAAATTATTGAGAGTTTCATTGATTGTTAATTAATTCATTTGAGGGAGGATTATATTACACTTCTGACGAAAAATATATTGTATTCTTGTAGGATTTTTTTAAAAAAGGAAAAATAACTAGGATAAGTTTTTGATTGTTTATTTAACGGAAAAGACGAATGCAGTATATAAAAATAAACAAATACTTCTGAGTAAGCATGATATTGGTGCTATGGCATAGTGAATAAATAACGTGATCTCATGACTTGAACTTTCTTCATTTCCTTCTTTTGTTGGGCATTTCACACAAAGCCGTCTTCACACAACGCAATTGCCCCGGGTCAGTTCTAGAGTCAAGTTCAAGGTTCAATCCTCGCTTCACTAGTCAAGCGCCTGAAAGCCAGGCAAAGTGCGACGTTGATGCACGATGGGTTGCCTACCGTCCAGGCGCTCCATTGCCCGTCTAGCGCGTCGCAGCCAGTCAGCGCCCGCGTGCACACGCCAGCCAATTGTCGCGTCGCAAACGCCCAACGCCCCCGAGTGACTCCGATGAGGCGTGTCTTCTGTCACTCTCGCGCCATTAAAAGGCGTCCCTCATAGGATTGCGAGAGAGACAAAGCGACGAAAAGACTGCAAAATCTTGCGTTGAAACTCGTAGGAGCGTTTGCAAACATTCAAACAGTTCACGTGGAACATGGTTCCTCTCTCCCTCGTCGTCTGCTGCAGGAGGAGAGGAGAGGGAGGGACTTGGGGACGGAGGGGAAGTCGGGGAAGTCGGGGAAGTGCAGGGGAAGGTGGGGGAAGGGGGTGGGGCGGACGACCGGCCGTCGCTGTGCTGCGACAGTCTCTTACCTCGACGCTCCGGCCGGTCCACCACACGTGTTTTGACAGCTCGTGTCGGAACTTGGAGGGGACTGGGGGTGCGTTTGACGGTGTGTCAGTCAGTCTGCCAAGAACATCCTCATTCATCGACGGTCATCGGGCTTCGACGATCGAGGAACCACTCCACTGCATCATCCTCGTGCTCCTTTTGACTGTCCGCCCTGCCTGCCGTCGCAAGGCATGAACAACGCATCATGAGTCTTCGCGAGATGAACTTCAAGGGAGCCTGGCTCTTGGTGAGTAATGAGAAGCGTGTTTCCGTGTGCGTGTGTGTAAGATTGTGCGTTTGTGTGCGCGTGTTGGTGTGTCGGCGAAACGCGAGCCGCTGATAGTGGAGTGGTGACCATGCTGCTTTGTTTACGTCCCTGCCAGTTGATGCTGGCGCTGTGCGCGCTGTGCTTGGGAGTCGGCGCACAGACCCTGCAAGACGTCCTGGAGGTCTCCCCCACCTCCCCCGCGAATCCCAGCTCCAATGAGGACCGAGCGAGCCAACAGGAGATCCAGGACCAGTTGGTCGATGGGAAGAGGAGGCTGGCCCAAACCATGCTGAGCAACGATCTTCAGGATAGGGGTGAGTGTCTGTGGTCACGTACTGCTTGTAATTGGTGTGTCTGATCCCTTTTGATCTGACTGCCCCGACACCGGTCAGGATTCTCAGTTTTGCTGTTCTTTGTGTACAGAACATGTCAGTGGGAAGCTCTCCTTCAAGTGGAAACTGGGAACGATTAAAGGAACTGCAGCATCAACTTTCCGTTCCTTCAACCAAAGCTTTATTTTGGCGGGTAAAGTTCTTTACCGCCTGGAGGGTGGACCTGAACCAAGTAAATACATCACTAGACCAGTTGCCGAGTTTCCAGACTTCTTGGGAGATGTTGCATTTGTGGAGGTAAGTTTCTATTATCTTAGTCGCAGTTGTGGAAATGATTTTGATGGACCTTTTCGTTACAGAGTGTGGAATGGGACGGCCTGCTGTTACTTTTGGCTGCATATGATCAAGGACTTCTGCAAGTTTTCACGGTGGATCCGAACAACAATGTTATTCTGCGCCAATCCATTGATGTGACAGGAATTCCCTCGGATGCAGAGTTTTTTATGCAGGATGACACCTTGTTTTGTGCAGTTACCGCTAAGAAGGGGTCATCTCTTGTACCTTTTCGGTATGTGAGCCTTTATTAAGTGAATGATTGACACAACAATTTGTGTAAACTTGACTCATTTTTCAGTGTTTACCGCTGGACTGGAACACATTTGGATCAAGAACCATTTGAACATCTTGAGATTGAAGCCACTGCTGTGTCAACATTCCCTTTCCGTGAATCTGTCATTATAGTGGTTGCTCTTGGTGATGCAGGAAGCAGGAAGGTAAGCTGTCCAACTCAAACTATGCTATTGTGTACCTATCAGTTACTTACATTAACTTCCATGATTTACTTTTTTTTTTCAGGCAGGACTGGTTGTTTTTGAACGGAAAGGATCTAGGATTGCCATGGTCGATTTTTTTTCTATTGCTGCCCCATTTGCACTGCAGCATTTTACTTTTAAAGCTGAGAACTATGTACTTGTTGCCTCTGCTCAAGGTCCCAATGTCATTTGTTGGTGGGATGGTAAGTCTTTTTATTTATGTGTTAAATGTATAAATCAGACTCATCATATCCCTCCTTCCATTTTTCTGGTACTCAGGCACTCAGATGATAAAGTGGAGCGAGTTCCAAACTGACGGGAATGTGCATTCTATTGGTATTGGATATGTTCGTGGAGAAACTCTGATTCTTCTAGCACAACAGGTAATTGGTAATAACTTCATTTGTGAGATCTTATGTCTTCACTGTTTTTTCCTGATTTTTGTTTTCTTTTCCCTTTTAGACTAAGATTAAGATTTACCGGCCAACTGCCAGTACTCTTGAATTGGTGAATGTTCAAGAATTTCCTACGGCTGTGCAGAGTGGTTCTCTCTACGTCCACGATGATTCCATTGCTTTACTTGCTATCACGGAGTCCCCTGGAACTTTTACAACATATATTTTAGAATTGCATCTGACTTTCCAGCCTGCCCCTGTCGGCCATCGTCGGTTACCAAGGCATCCCTTGCTTGAGTGTTTCTCAAATCTAGAGGGTGGTATCAAAGCTAGGGGACAAATGGTTGCAAACATAGTTGCCCAGCGGCGGAACCTTTTGCACAGAGGCACTCGTGGTCAGTTCTTGGGCAAGATTATCGTCAAGAAAGTATGCAGTGTTCCAATGCTCAGTCATTTTCAATTATCTTTGTCATCGCCTTGTTTTTATTGACACTCTCTGTTTCAGCTTGTTCCGAAGAATGCTCATGTTCATCAAGTCACTTTCACAACACCAATCAAGAAACCGTCTATGGCAGCCCACAAATTACGAAATGAAATTGCCTCATCTGTGGAAACTGTCCAGAAACTTGTCAAGAGCATGGGAAATGTTGTATTCAAATCCAAGCCTTCATCTCTGAGTGGACGACTGATCACTGATAACTTGAAGATTCACAGTGCTACCATGGATTCAGTCGTCATCTCTAACTTGAATGGAGAGAACTTTGATCCAAACAATATTTTGATGCACAATAGAAATCAGAAGTTGTCTGGAATGGTCTCTGCTAACTTGATAACTACTGACACTCTTAATGTGGGTTCTTTGAACAGTGTGAACATTAAAGGTATGTGAGCAATGAAGTCAATCATTTTGCTTCAACTTGAAACTCTTAACTTTTATTCTTTTCTTTCCAGATCTATTGACTCTACAAGGAGATCAAGTGGTTACTGGTTTGGAGAAAATTTACAATGTGAAGGCTAACAAAGTTGTTATCAACTCCCAGAGGCCTATTAATGGCATACCATTGAAACGGATTGTTACATCACAGATGCCAGGCACTGTATCAGTTGCTGGAACTAAAACTTTTGCCGAACTAAATTTACAGCAGCTGGCTATTAATCTCTTAAACAATGTGAGTATTTAAGTTAATCTTGTTTAATTCAAATAGCATAGGGCTTACATATTTTTTTCTGTAGGTCAATTTTACCAACTGGATAAACAGTCTACAGCCACCAGTTCCTGCGAATCCTACACCAAGTCCTCCCTCTGGACCCTCTGGTACCAAGAGTACTTTCAACGGTGATCTCAAAATTCAAGATTTGACTGTCGAAGGGAATATTAATGGTGTTCCGATCAATGATCTCCTGTCTTCTCTGTTTTTGAAGGGGCTGAATCAGAATGTTACCGGCAAGTAAACTCTCTTCACTTGCCTGTTTCCGTATTCTTTCCTTTTTAATTATTTCCTTTTCGTTTCTCAGGTGACATCAGATACTTGTCCAAGGTGGTGGTTGATGAATTTGAAGCATCCAGGATTAATGGAGTACCAGTTTCTTCATTGCTGACACTCACCACTGATCAAGTAATCAGTGGCTCACTGGCAGTTGAGTCCATCAGTGTCCCCGACCTGTACACTGATAGTGTCAATGGCCTGAAACTGAGCAAGGATGCTGCTTATGTTAACTCAGAATTTGCTATCTCAAGTAAGTTTTGTCATTTTTTTACGTTAAAAATAAATCATGCTCAATTTATTTTTTCTATTCCTGTGTTGCAGCGCCTGTCAGTTTTGACAGACTCCAAACACACGATTTGCTTCTTCCACCCAACGCCAATATTTCTGGTATACCTGTTGGCAGTCGTTTGTTGAATCAGCCCAAAATAGTTTATGAAGGAAGTGTGAGAGTAAAAGGAACCCTAAAGGTTTGATGAACATAATTTTTATGTGTAATTCTAAGTTGAACCTTTTCTAATTCAGTTTTTTCCCTAGCTCTCTGATGTTAACTTAGAACATGCCAAAGTTCTATTAAGTGGACAATCTGTGAACTACAAGGATGTTCACATCAACTATTGGACCCGTCACACTCCCCAGGTACCTATTTTTCTCAGCATTTTTTCTTAAAATCTTGTGTAATGAGTAGTTTTTAAAATATTTTTTCTTATTCTTTTCTTATATTTCTTGATTTAGGAAATTCCTTACTCATTGCATGCGCCAAGTGGTCTTAATGTAAAGACATTCAATATCAAGACTATCAATAATATTCCTTTAGATAACTATGTTGATCTGTCAACAACTAGTGCATTGCAAGGCACTTGGCATTTTCCTTCTGCTACGATTTACGGGGACTTGAAGCATGGGCTGTCAGCATCACAGTCACCTGTAGTACTGAGGGATTTAGCATCTATATTGTGAAAACAACTGGCGAGTATACAATCTCTGGGACCAAGGTAAGCAGCTGCATACTCATTTATTTCTTAATTTTGATTTTAGAAATTAAAAATTTTTATTGCCCTTTGCAGATCTTTTTAGGTGGTCTTACAACTAGTCACTTGCTCTCTGATTACCTGGATGCCAAGAAGGTTTCTGATGTATTTGAGAAATCAGAAAGCCAAGGTAGTTTTGCTTCAGCAAGGTTGTAGCAAAATTTAAAATCCGATTTTACATGTGCCAAACTAATACAATTTGTGCTTTCAGGGTCAGTATATGAAGAAATTTGGGTTGGAGGTGATCTCACTATCAAGTCCAATCTTCATGTTGGCACTGTAAATGGATTAAATCTGTGCGATCGCTTGTCTCAAGCTCTCCTGCTTGATCAAGGTGGTCGCATTCCTGCTGCAACTATATCTGCAGTTTCTGGTAAGTTCAAGGACCTAGAATGATAGTATCATATGGATTGGTGTTGCCATGTTGTTCTGTTCCAGCATCAAATATTGATGTGAAGACATTCAACGGCGTGCCATTTAATGTTATTTATGGAAGTGGAAGTGGAGGTACTATTCCAAGAGTTGGGAAGATAACAATTCGGGGTGATGTAAGGGTTCCTGCATTCATAAATGTCATGGGCGTCAATGAGAAGTTACTGAGCCCTGACTACTTATCAAGGGTAAGTTTTGTCTTTATGGAATGTTTACATTTTGCTGCCAGTTTGTCATGCTCAATCAACTATTATTATTAGGTTGTCGATAAGACAAGAACTGGGGCTATTCGAGGCAAGAAAACTTTTGCTTCTCAGCTCATTGTGCATGGTGGATTTTCAGCTCTGGATTATAATGGCATTAGGCTTGAAGATATTTTTGAAAATATGTTGTCTAAGACTCGAAACCAAACTATTACTTCGCCAATCTGGATGAAAGAAATTATTGCAAGTAAGGTCACATCCTATTACCTTGTTAACTTTTTAAATCTCACCTTATATACTTAACTTCATTTATTATTTTTGTTTATTTTTTCAGATGAGCTGAAGGCAACCATTGTGAATAATATTGAAGTTGACAATCTTTTGAGTTCCGATTTAATGAGCCGTCAAACAGTCGAGGGGAACTTGCTCTTCACAAACGATCTGGATGTGTTTGGTCATTTGACTTTTGGATCTTTTGAAAAAGGCTGTGACTTAAAACTGGTAAATTGCTAGTTCTTGTTTCTGTTTCTTTTGTGTTGAAACCAACTGACCAGATTTTTAAATTTCTAGGTGTCAGAACGTTTGAAGGTTTTAGATGGAAGACATTGGGCTTCATTGACAGTTGAGGGTAGTCTGAAATGGGAACGTAGTTTGCCATTGAGAGTTTTTGGTCTTGGTTATTACCTCCAATCTGCTGTCACGACAAATGATGATCAAGTTATTTCTGGTGAAGTGTCTTTTGAAAGTCCAGTCCTGGTCAACAACTTCAATTCCCAACGAGATATCAATGATGTTGCTATTTCATATATTTTAAGAGACTCCCTTCGGAAGACATTGCCAGATCAGGTAACGGGTGTTTAGCATATTAGTGATTCTTACCATACTGTTTTGCTTGCTGCATTAATGTTTTTTTCTCAGGTTATTCATGGTCACAAAGTTTTCCGGAGCAAACTTCAAGCTAATTCCATGCATGTTAAGGACAATGTTGTTGCTAAAACTGTTGCTGGAGTGCAAATATCTGTGTTGAACAGCTCACTTGTTCGAGTTGATGGCAACCAAAATGTTGCTGGCAAGAAACGCTTCCTCCAAGGTTTCTCTGCTGATCTTTTGAAGGTTGCTGGTAGGTGAATGTACATCATAACTGCAGCAACAAAAACATACTGTTGATTAACACCGAACTCTTACTCTTTGTTTTAGGAACTGTTAATGGGCTTGTGACCACTCAAGTAGCTGCTTATGATGCACCGCTCTTGCCTCCAATTCATTTTGTTGGTCCACTTGACATCCTTGGCAATCTAAAGTTTGAGAGGGCAAATGATTTTAATCTTGATGAGCTTCTCTTGAATAGAGTCACACTAGACAGCCCTCAACAGCTGGAAGGGCACATCACTTTTACTCGAGACCTGAATGTGGAAGGTAAGCAATAAAATTTTCACTGATCTAAAGTGCATTACAATGCAAGTTTTAACATTACTCAATTTTCTAGGAGACATGGTTGCCCCCAAAATAAACAATTTGGACGTTGCTGATTTAGTTCAGCGTGACAGCATTAATGAACAAGTGATTGGTGGTGTAAAGCATTTTGCCAAAGAATTGCGAGTAGATGGACCAGTAGAAGTTGATTACTTTGAAGGCCTTGAATTAAGACCAACATATGCTGCTGCTTTATTCAGAGATGAAAATGCTACAATCTATGGCGACTTGGTTTGTAATTGAAACTAATTGCCTTTTTAAAAATAAACTTTAAGATGTCCTTTTATAATTTGTTTTTGTTTTCAAGGTATTCGGCAACTATGTTGACATGGATGCTAACTTGGATGTTGATAGTACTGTTAATGCTGTTGAAATGGCAAGCTTGGCTGTAGCTCTTCGTCGCACCACATCTCGCAGCCTAGCTCAAGTTTATTCTATTGCTCGCACCATCAATGAAACCAACATTATGCTTAAAGGTAAATTTATCTACTCTTAACATCTCAACATTTTGAAAGCTAAAATTAATTTTTAACATTTGCATTTCAGCTCGAGGTGACCTTTCTCAGATGTTGTATTTGGAGCATGTCCCAAATGTACCTGTATCATTTACCAACACACTCAGAGTTGTGGCTGTGGATGTTGGGTACAACGAAACTTATTTGGACATCTATGGTTGGGCCGCTCCTAGGCTCTGCGGTTTGCCAGATGCATGTGCCTGTCCTGCTCAGTACTCAATTAATGTTAACAATGATGGAGTAGAGCACATGATGTGGAATACCGGAATCAGGCACAATGCTTCTGAACGTGCATTCACCTTCCATCTCAATGACCCATCTGTCACTGTTGTTGTAAAAACAAATACTGTCAGTTCCTCTACTCGGTAAGATAGTGTTGCAACTTTCTACTTTTTAAACTTTTGTATCCTGAATTATTTTGTAATGGTTATATCTCTCAGGTGCCGTCGGCATGGTATTGATCGATTGGATGAAGTTACGATGCTGACCTGGGCTGAACTGGATCCTACCAAAGATTCGAAGGAGATCACCTTGCATATTGAACCCACTCCTATCCTCGGCTACATCACTGACGTGAAATTAATTCAATCACACAATCGTATTTATTTAGTTCTTGGCATTGGGTACAATGCTGATCTTGGTAAGTTGTTTTCCTACAGTTATTTTCTCTGCCTCATTCTATCTATTTAACATCCTATGTCCTGTTCCAGATACCACTGATATTAACAGTGTGATAGTACGGATAGATCATGTTTCTGGGAAAGCAATGATAGTGACTGAATTTCCAACTCACGGGTTATCAGCACTTGATGTCTTCTCCACTAACAAAGGCCCTCACATAGTTGTTGGCAACTCCTATGACACTGCAAAGCAATCATCACAGGTCTATCTTAATGTTTATAGATTTGACCCTAAAACTGAGCAGGTACGTCTAGTTCTTCACTGCTAAATTGTATAGTTTTCAAGTGATGGTTAACATTTTTTACGTTTTACAGCTCGACTTGGTGAAAAACATTCCCAGTGATGGAGTGGTAGCAGTATCCAGTGTAGTTCAAGGGGGTGACAGTCTGATTGTTGTAGCACAGAAGCAACTCTATGCACCAGTAATGGTTTTAAAGTATGATTCAGCGCATGATGACTATCATTTCCTGCAACAGTTGAACCTGAACACCATTCCCACTGGTCTAGGAGTGTTCTATGTCGGCCTTCCTGGAGAGAGCGATGCTTTCTTAGGAGTATCCACTGAGGATGATCTATTTTATCTCTACCAATTTTGCCACATAGAGGTAGTTTTCATTCTAATGTTTGGGGTGGGATCTTGGTCTCTATGAATTTCACCTGATATTCTTTTTTTTTTTTTCTGAAACAGGGATTCAAACTTGTTATGAAACTGGAGCTGAAGGGAGTCCAAGGATTTACGAGCTTTTCAATTGGATCAAGACAGTACCTGCTTTTCACATCTTCCCTTGCTCCCTCTGTTTTTGAGATTGTTAAACAATCGTCTTAAGTGTAACAAACTAATTTATTTAATCAAATGTTAATACCTCTAGTCGTTCAAATTTTATGTATGTTATTTTTGTTAAAGTTTCAATAAAATGTTGCCACAGCCAGTTATTTTCTCTCAATGACTAAAACTCCAAGCCCAATACCTGATTTCATTGGACACCATATAAACAGCGCTAGGGCGCTGCTCTTTCTTGGTCTGAGATGCCTGAATTTGTTTGAATCTGGCGGGCAGTCTAGGACTCGGTCACGTGAGCCCCGCCCACCGAAGCCAGCGAGGCGAGAGGAGGGGAGGCTGCCGCCAGCGCGCTGGGCTGGGACTGGACGGACTCAGTGCATACCGAGCGGGGGAGGAGCGGAGCGCGGTTGCTGTCGGTGCCTGGCTGTATTGATCCAGGAACATGGCAGCGTCCACAGCATCTTTCGCCCAGCTGTTCAGGCTGCAGAGTCCTCTGCGAGCAGGTGAGAGTTCAGTGCTTTGACGGCCGACACCTCGCCCGTTCGACCCGCAGTCGCCTCGCCACTGTCTGAACGGGGCGATGGGGGTGCGCCCTTCCGCCCGCAGCGCGCAGCCCCCGCCTACTGACGGATACGCGTTCCTCGGTACTCCGGACAGCAACAGTTAAGACGCAGTTCAGGCGGTACCACAGTGCCACTGTGTGGGCGCAAAGGCTGCTTCGACAGTGGGTCACTGAAGCTAGCCAGCAAGCCGCGGCGGCAAACTCGTAGCGTTGTTGCTCTCGAGGTAAAAGCGCGCGCTGGGGGAGGCGGGAGGCCCTGGTAGGGTCAGGGGCTCAGCCACTTCGGCAGGAAGCAACTGATTAGAAGCTCTGCCATTGGCTGGCACGGTGACACGGTGGGTGAGCCACGGCCCCTGATCCGTCGCGCCGGTACCACTCCATGTAGACCGCCGTTGTCCTTGACATTGCCTAGGCCCGCCTGGCACCTCCTGTAGGCGTAGTCCTGGAGCAAGCTGGAGAGTGCCCCTCCTCCCCGCCCCCTCATAACAGGCCTGGCGGGTCCGGCCGGCCGCCCGGACGTCCCGGACCGGCCAGACGCGCAGCGCGCGGAGCCCATTTCCATGGCGACCGTTCAAGTTCAAGTACAACAACAACATCGGGCCTAGTTAAGTGATGTCAAGTGGAGCCTGAAGCGGACCGGCCAGCCCGTCTCGGACATTAAGCAATTGAAGCCCCCTCCGCTCTGCCCCGAGAGCCCCGCGGAGAGCCCCGCGATGACGCGGGGATGGAGTCCACCGCCCGCCCTCCAGCCGCTACGCCACCTCGAGCGCACCTTGACCTTGACCCTCATGTCGTTCTGCAGGATGCCGCTCCCTGCACATGCTCGCTGGCGAGCCCCAGGGCCCCGTGGTGAAGACCGAGATCCCCGGGCCGCGCTCCAAGGAGCTCCTCGGCGAGCTGTCCTCCATCCAGGTTGGTACACAGTTACACAGTGCAGTGACAGTGACGGGGAGTGGAGGGAAGTCCACGCCACCGCAGTACCGCGCCAGTACGGCGTGAACTTCGGCCTGGGCCTAACGCGCAGCGCGCAGGGCCTCGTTGGCGACAGTTTAGGCACAAAGTGGCCCTGGCGCTGGGCCCGCTGGGCCCGCCAGGCCCGAGGCCCGCAAGGCGCTACTTGAATCCGCCACACGTTGTTGACTCGGTGCGGCTGTTACGGGGCCCTTAGCGCCGCTTTGCGTGATAAGGAGCCGTAATCAGCCGAGGCTCTCGTGGAATAGCACGCGGCGTGTTCAACTTTTTTGACACCTTCCCGCGAGCGATAACAACAACCAAAATAAAGCACTTCACCCATTTCGGTAACCGTGGGCGTGGATCCCCTGGTTTCCGTACGCCCCAGTTGGCGGCCGCGACTTTCTGTCCGCGCGCAAGCTGCAAGTTATCGACGGGCAGGTGCAGCGGGGACCCGCGGGGACGGCAACTGAAACGCCAGCAGTGCGCTCGAGCGCCTGGCAGGTAGGCCACCCACCCGCCCCGCAACACTCCGCTGTGGAGACGGTGGCCTACCTCGCCCCTGCGACTAAGACAGCGACGCTATAGCGAGGAGGACGCTATGTTGTTTGGTTTCAGCAATCAGGCTCCGTGCAGCTCTTCGCTGACTATGAGCGCTCGCTGGGGAACTACCTCGTGGACGCGGACGGCAACTGCATGCTGGACGTGTACACCCAGATCTCCTCCATGCCCCTCGGCTACAACCACCCCGACCTGCTGCGAGTGCTGGACAACCCCTACAACGTGGTACGTGTTGCTCTCCATTTCGCCGGGCTGCGTCCCGCAGAGAGGCAGAACACGATCGGTACGCGTCTTTGTCGCCTTTGCTTCCAGAAAACGATGGTGAACCGGCCGGCGCTGGGCGTGTTCCCAGGACAGGACTGGCCCAAGCGGCTCAACAAGATCCTGACCCAGGTGGCGCCCCCGGGGCTGACCCAGCTCACCACCATGATGTGCGGCTCGTGCTCCAACGAGAACGCCTACAAGAACATGTTCATGCGCTACCGCCGGCAGCAGCGCGGCGAGGACGTGGGCTTCACCAAGGAGGAGATGGAGTCCTGCATGATCAACCAGGCGCCCGGCTCGCCCAACCTGTCCATCCTGTCCTTCCAGGGCGCCTTCCACGGCCGCACCATGGGCGTGCTGTCCACCACGCACTCCAAGGTCAGGCCACCAGGCCAAGCACCAACCTCATCATTCGTCCTCCATTTCTCTCCAATGCATTTCAATTCTCTCTCCAGGCCATCCACAAGCTGGACGTGCCGGCGTTCGACTGGCCCATCGCGCGCTTCCCGGTCTACAAGTACCCGCTGGAGGAGAACGAGCGCGAGAACGCGGAGGAGGACAAGCGGTGCCTGGCCATGGTGGACGACTTGTTCGAGCAGTGGAAGAAGAAGGGGTGCGACGTGGCGGGCATCACGGTGGAGCCCATCCAGGCCGAGGGCGGCGACAACCCCGGCTCCCCTGCCTTCTTCCAGGGCCTGCAGCGCATCGCGCACAAGGTGACATAGCTACGCCATGGCCTGGCCTGTTTTGTGGCGGACTCCGTGCACTCCGTGACAACGACGTGCTTGTCCTTGCGCAGCACGGCGCGGCCCTGCTCATCGACGAGGTGCAGACGGGCGGCGGTCCGACGGGCAAGTTCTGGTGCCACGAGCACTTCGACCTGCCCACCGCGCCCGACGTCGTCACCTTCTCCAAGAAGATGCTGATGGGCGGCTACTTCCACAAGCCCGACCTAACGTGAGTAGAGTAGCTGCAGCTCTGTCTCTCTCGCACCCTTACGCCGCACTGGCCACGCCGCCACGCCCCGCGAGAGCGAGAGAGACGCGGCCTGAATCTGCATACCGCCCGGACCAGTGCCCCCGACTCATTACCCAGGCCGCGGTGCAATTGATCAAGTTGATGCTGCCAATTGATCGGAGCGGGCTAGAGCGGACCGGCCCCTGTAGACTGACTCCGAGAGTCGCTTTCGTTGCTCTGTCTCTCTCGTGCCAATACGGGACGCCCCATGAGTGCGAGAGGGACAGCGCGACAAAAACGACGCTCGGAATCAGTGTGCTGTCCGCGGACGCGAGCAAGCTTTATTTGAGAGGCTCGCACTCACTCGGTTCGGTTGGGTTCGCAGGCCCAACTTGCCGTACCGCGTGTTCAACACGTGGATGGGCGACCCGGGCAAGCTGCTGCTGCTGCAGGAGGTCCTCAAGGTGGTGCGCCGCGACGAGCTGCTGAGCGTGGTGCGCGCCGCGGGCGACGTCCTCTACAAGGGCCTCCGCAGCCTGGAGAAGGAGTTCCCCAACCTGCTGTCCGCGACCCGCGGCCGGGGCACGTTCCTGGCCGTGGACGCGCCCAGCGGCAAGGTCCGCGACGACCTGGTGGCGCGACTCCGAGCCAAAGGTAGGTGGTTCGACTCCCGCCGCGGTCCGCGCGTTTTGTCGCCCTGCCTTTGCTCATCGTGGCTCCTCCCCGTGCGACAGGTGTGCAGTCCGGCGGCTGCGGCGAGCAGAGCATCCGACTTCGGCCCGCCCTCATCTTCCAAGAGCAGCACGCGCACATATTCTTGGACATCTTCCGCCAGGTCCTCAAGGAAACCAACTAACGGGATGAGATTCTTACACCTTTTGTGAATATCAGAGACAATTTGTCATAAAATTATAATTTATTAAGCATTGATACATGCAACTAAATCAGGTATGAGAATTTATGCCACCCAAGTGGCAGGTAAAATAGCTTTATAAAATAAAAGACATCACCTTCAAGCAAAAAGTACGTACTCATAAATGATTTACCTCTCATTTAAAGAGTTATCAAAATAAAAACAAAAAACAAGAGATGTAAAAATACATTTCTATTAAGAGAGGATAATTGTGTGCCATTCATGAAAAATATTATTAGAGGCCACTTTCAATACGACAGTCCTGATTTCACTCTAGAGAAGTGATGAAAGAAGCGACAGTTTTCACTAGAATTGTGAGCAACCGTGATATTGAATCAATGTCTTCCATTGCATGATACTTTAAACAATGTAAATAATGTCTTCCAAAACTTATTTGTAGAATGTTACACAAATGACATGAGATTGCATACCAATAAATACGTGTGTGATAAAATGAAATGGCATTTTGATGTACACAATTGGTATTCCTAAGACCATTACTCATCATCCTCATCATCACCCTCTAGCACAATGTTGTTTGCCTGCAAAAATTTTTTTAAAAAATTACAGGATCATATGAAGTTACATGCATAAATTATCACATGATAAATGTTGCTACTTATACCAATACTCGGATAAAATCTACACTTACCCACAAAAAGCGTTTTGTAAAATTTGCAGAAAGACCCTGAATATTTTTAAGATCTTTGAAACTTCTGATAGGTCCATGTAGCAATCTAAAAATGGTATAATCAAATTAATAAACTCAGTATTGCGACTAATATCAACATCTGAAAGATTTCATAGTAAAAGTGTGACAACAAACCTATGATTGCTGATGACGACTGCCGTTTTTGGACCAATCGTTGGTAAAGATTGAAGCTTCTTTAAGTCACCTAATTTTAAAATATCAAGAACCAGATCATTCAGATTTTTCTGAGCCACTTCTGCAAAACAGAAAGAAACAAGGAGGAAATTAAAGTTCTTGGATTACTTGCAATGTTTGTCAGATAAATAAATTTATACTGGGTCCTACCAGGGGTTGCGTTGGGTAATATGGATAGTCTTGTACTCATACGAGCTGCTTTTTTGGTAACTTTTGGTTTCCTTGCATTCAGCAAGGATTTATCCATCTTTGGACTTTCTGTATACACAGGACGTGGTACCACTGATAGTCTAGTGCTACGTCGCACAGGGACACGTGTCTCAGAAGTGTCCAAACACACATTTCTATTTCCTGTTGTCTGTTCCAACTGCTGTGATTGCTGTGGTGGTTTAGCTGTCTCTGAAGCCTCTGAAAAACCAGCACCAACCAATGAAATTCTCACACTTCTGCGTATTGAGTCCAGAGATGGAATCTTGAAATCATCGGAGTCAGGTTGAAGTTGAACATGGTTTGTATGATTTGGAGATGAAGATACAATAGTTGCATCTGCTTCATGGTTAAAGAATGATGAATTGTCCACTTGCGTATTGGCCAATCGGGTAGATCTTCTTGGTTTCTTAGTAGGCGAAGGTCCATCTTGTCTCTGAAAAAATTGCTGTTGCTACAAATTGCTACGAAGATAAATAATAAATAATTATGAAAACAAAAGCTTACATGTGTCTGACTTAAGAAGGTGCTATGAGATTTTAGTTCTTCTCTAATTACGTCAGCAATTATAGAGCGCAGCCAAGTTTCATTTTCAGAACTGCAACAGTAATTTCATACAGTAAAAACGGCTACTTTGACAATGATAATTTTAGATGTTTGAGAATGAAGCTCTAAGTTTTAACATTTTTGGCTTACCTTGGAACAATATTTGTTTGATTCACCTCTTCTTGATTCTTTACTCTACAACAGACACAGAAGCCAACAGCTTAGAAACATACAAGTGCAAAAATTTAATGTTAAAGAAAAATCACATTAAACAACATACTGGGTAGCATTATCAACCACAGTTGAAGTAGAGATGTCTAATGCATCCCACTCTGATGAGCTCCTTCTTTTGGCTGCATCATTTCGTTTTGGAATTGGAGTAGGCTCAGCAAAAAGTGGTTTAGCTGTGTTTTGAAAAGGTGTTGATGTGGGCCAAAATTGTTTGGTCATTCCTCGCACATGTGGTGTCCTGTTAAGTAAAGTATTTACAAAAATTTGGTAAGGAAAGCTTAAAAATCATGTTTAAAACACCGCACTTTCTAATCAATTAGTACCTCGGGGAGTCAATTGTTTTGTTTAAAGGACGAAGTATAGGACGTTGCTGTTTGCCTTGACGTCCTGGAGTATCAATTGTTGTATTAACTCTCTTCTTGTAGCTACCTGGTAGTTTAAAAGGTGTTGTAATTGGTGGGCGCTGAAATCAAATTAGTTAGATGATAATAGGGCTAAACTGAACAACCCAATATCTTATAATTGAAATTAACTTACTGGTTTAATAACTTGTCCAGCTTCAGGATTGCATTTGATATTTCCAACTCTACTTGCGAACTGCAGAGAGTTTAATGTCATTGCTGTGTCAACCTCAAGTGGACTAATGCAAGCAATCAGTACAAGGAAGTTCTGAGGACTAAGAGTATCTGTTGAGAGATAAGAAAAACAGATTCATATGAAACGGAGAAACAAAAATACCAGTAACTTGCTGTAGGTAATGACAATTACAACTGAGTATTATTATTATTACCTTTAAGAATAGAAGTTAGAACAGAATTCCGATATGGAATGTGATCTTGGCCGGGGGACGACAATGCAGACATTACAATGCCCAGCTGTAGAAGACCCTTGTTTATCATCAAGCCTTCTCTCTTTGTGTTCCCTGACATGTCAGAGACACATTCACAGCCAGCTAAGTCAACCAGGTATAATTTGGAAGTAAACTTTCCCTCGCTTAATTTTTTGAAAATTAAAAAAAAGACAACAAAAAGCAAAGTTACAAAAAAATAACAAACTATCTAAACTCGAAGGGATTTCTTCACCTCTCAAGGAGATAATGATAACATTCTTACGTTGTTTCCTTAGTGTAGTGAATTGTAAATACAGCATGCGACCGGGAACTATGCAAGTTGGCATTGGTGGCACCAACATGCCTGTTGCCCAGGCCTTTCTCCATGACAGCCAAAGCGCTGTCCACATCCCTGACACTGATTAAGCTTAGTCCTTTGGGTTTGAAATCTAAAATAAAGACAGAAAGCAAATTACCAATATCAAAATATAATCCTAAAGGTAAAAATTTATAGAGGAGGCTGCCAATAAATACTGTGTTTACCAATGACAGGCAGTTTCCTCTTCCCTGAGGATAACAGGTCTAAGACTTCTTCTTTATAAATTTCAAGAAAGCTTACGTGTACCTCAAAATCTGTGCTGCTGACAAAAATTTTTTGGAGAGCATTGTGGACAACACCTGCACTGGCAGCCTGAAACATAAAGAAACACAGTTTTCAAACTGAAAAAAGATACAAAAAAAAAATCTGGACTGAAAACTTTAGATTCAGCAATAGTTAGGATGAAAGCGGGAATTCACCTTAACTTCTGTCCCCATGGTGAATGTTTTTCCACTGCCAGTCTGTCCGTACGCCATAACACAGGCGTTGAAGCCCAGCATTACTTTGTTAATAACTGGCTCCACCAATTCTTCAAAAATATGGTTTTGCGTTGCTTCTCCAGAATAGACATGATTAAGTGTGAATGCTCGTTCATTGGAAACAATCACCTGTTTGATGGCAGACAACACCATTACATTTCAAAGTCATAGGGGTTATAAAAGCATCTTACTGAAATAAACAATATTCTGAATATACTTGTTTTGAGTCAGGTGTGATGGTGATTGCATGGTTTTGCCCACTCAACTCTTCGGCTGTTGTCATAGGTCGACAGCGTACAGCAGCAACCACAGCCTCCATCTTAAACAAAAAATTTAAATAAATGAAAAATCTTGAATAACGATAAACTAAGGAAAATTTTGGTTTGTTTTGGGCCTACTTGATAGGTTGTCTGTATCCAAACACACAGAAAGTTAAGCTTTCCAACAAATATATGTGGTTAGTATCCTTTGGTTACACTAGCACAAGCAAATGACATCTTCGTAGTTAGGCACATTTGAACTGTGTGATCATGCCACTCAATGGCTTATTACAATCAAAACATTTGCTTGGATCGGCCTGTCTGCAATCTGTTTTGTAACTGTACTGTACAGTAACTGTAAACAAATTCAAATTCAAATCTTCAAGTGTTTTCTGTGTCTGACCAACCTACAAATCTTAATCTTTTCACGCAGCAGTCAAGCTTACTGGTTCGGTTTTCGGAGGAAAAGTAAAAATAATCTGTAATAATGAGTAAGTTTTATCATATATTTTCATTGAAACAAATGGTAAATGGTGCTTGATCGTTCTTCCACAAAATAGCTGGTGTTGGTATTAGCGACACGTCGTCTGCACAACGCGGCGAAAACAAACATCTAACAGTTGACTGCCGATGTTCTTATCTATCTAGTCGACACCACCAGCAAGAACACATTTTCCTACTTGCCGGTGTTTATTTTTATGTCATGCAACAATGGTGAGTTTTTAAGATTGTTCATAGTGCTCCGTCAACTCGCCAAAACGGCGTCTATGATGAGTTGATTTTCCTACTGAGAATGGGCTAAGTCTGGGAGTATTCCCCAAACATGCTGTACTTGTGGGTTCATTTCAGTTTTTACTAAAGGTTAATCACTTGCGGTTTTCTATTTCAGAGCCACCAATAAGTAGCTTTGAAGGAAATAAATTATCATGTCCTCTGGAAGTTCAGGTATGTATTGCTGATTCTCTTGTTCAAATTTTAATGTTTTCACTTCATGATACCGTTTTGAAACCAGATGGCAATGGCTCTCTTCGGAGATCAAAACGCAATCAGAAGATGGAGCCCGAATATGAACCATTTGACAATCCAGAGCTGACACTTAAGAAGGCAACACCAAAGAGAGTGACACCGAAGACGGCGACACTGAAGAAGCATGATCGAGGAACTGCCAGAGTGGGAAGTGACTTGAATGGCCACACTAAAAGGAAACAAGAATTGGAATCGGAAAGACACATGAGAAGGCATATCAGTCCCTTAATTGGATTTGAACATTTAGATAACCAAGCTAATGGACAAACTGATACGCCAAAAATTAGGGATGGTTCCATAGAAAATACCTATACATCGTCAAAGCGTCCTTTCACTGAGTCAGAGACTCTGAGGAATAATCGTCAAACTAGATCTTCAAATTCCAAACCAAACTTAATTGCATTCTTAACTCCAGTATTCTTACTCTCTCTGTACGTCTTGATTTGTATGTTTTCAAAGGGAGATACAAGTCATAACTTGAAAAGTTTGTTTCCTCAGCAGTCTGATAGGCTTTGGGGTTTTGTATCCCATGGCATGGATGACTCAAATCCCTTTGTCTTGCTACTAGTTCACAGTGGTCAGCCTGAGTTGGCTAACTGCCTTGGAAGGCACATTGCAAAAAAGGTTGTCTGGGGAAGGACTAAACAATCCACAGATCCGATAATTGTGGAGGGAAGAAATGAACATTCTAATCTGCTACTAACTCTTAAGCCACAAATGGAGAAACATCATGCTCTCGTTCTACAGAATATTGAATATTTGGATGGAGATGTGGCTAATAAGCTTCACTTCATTCTTGATACATATGAGCCTTGGATTCCAGGCGGTGTCTATGTACTCACATTGCATGTACCCAATATTAAGGATAATTTGAGCGAAAGTTTCAGCACTATTCGAACATTCTTACAAAAGAAATGGCGTTTAAATGATGATGTCTTAGACCCTTTAATTGCTAGAATATGTAATTTCGAATATGTTGTCAAGAATGACTTAAATCCATGCAAGTAAAACTTGTAAGTCCTGAACATTTTAGTGCAATGAAATAAATCTAATTCCAACGTTTCGATACGTTTTTAACACTGTGTTTGTTGTGAAACACGTATGGTTATTGTGGCCGTGTGTTTCCCCAACTATCCTGATTTAAACGCTTCCGCCAAAATTCAATCTCAACAGGTGTGCATTGGCTTTTCAGAATGACCCATTTTATACATCATACTTTTTGAAAGATAATGGGGAAATTTAAGTAATTAAGAGCTTTTATTCGAAAATTCTCTGTTTTTTACTCTTACCTTGAAAGTAATTCGAATTATGGGTGCCTCACAAGCTGAAAATCTGCGTGATAAGGTTGGCAATCCTTTTCCAGCCTTCATGTGTTTAGGGTGTGTTGTTTTGTTATTGTTGTTGTTGTTGTTGCTGCCTTGTATATTCAAGTTTTGGGCGTGAACCCCAACATCCGAGTTTTGTTTCCAGCGTTTCAGCAAAATCCTTTCGTACTTGACATTCTTGAGATTTTATTTCTCTTTAAAATGACATGTTCTCGCAAATATTTTTTGCTCTTTATCGCAAGCTTACTATATTTTGACATTTGTAAGTACCTCTTAACCCTACAAAGTTAACACCTCATTGCAAATTTAGTTCTCTCTTTCCCCTCCCGTTTGATATTGACTTTTTTTACGCACTTATCATCTGCTCCTCCAATACTGCTTCTAAAACTCATTCTAAAGCAAAGTTCTTTGTTTAACATTGCCCTAATTTTTGTTCCAGGTAATGGATTGGAATGTTATGTTTGTGACAAACAGAAGGGAAACGATGAAAAATGCATGAAGACTATCAAAGTTTGTGAACATGGTGATGATATGTGCCTTACCGACATCCGTTGGGGAAGTAAGTATCAATGAGATGTCTTGCAGCATAGCATGGTAGCTAAACAATTTTTTGTTTATTCCTCATTAATTGTTCACAGGTACACCATATTGGGAGCTTGGCGCGCCAAAACAGTATTATGTTTCTAAAAGATGTGCCACTAAACAAGAATGTGACCGTGAACATAGAGAGCGGATGCCATATTGTACTTATGTGTGGTATCTTGATTGGAAGTGTTCAGACTGTTGCTCTGGAGATCGCTGCAACTACTATGTCATAGTAAGAAAACACGCTTTGTATTTTCCAGTTAAGGTATGTGTGTTACCTATTGTTTAAAACCTTTCTCTTTTTTATTTATTTTGCAGTTGAGTGGCAGCATTGCTAAGGCTAGTGCAATGGTTTTATCAGCAAGCCTTGCAGCTGTTTTTGCCGCAAGCAGGTGGATTCTTGGGTGACCTCTATATAGGATACTCTTAATTACAAACCAAGAAATTTTCAGTCTGAGCACTGAGTGTTTTGATAACCTCATTCTGTGGTGTAATTAGTTTATCTTGCAACACAATTGAAGACTTTTCCCTCATGAGATTGAAATCCAGATATTGTCTTGTTCCCATAATATTTTTTTGTTTATGAAGTAGTGTTTTATCTAACTTGAAGAATTACTTTTGTATGTGACCTGCCTCTTTCCTTGGTTTTGAACTATTGGCATTATGAGAAGAGAAGTTACTGGTTAATTTTCTCTATCCTGGGGAGGTCTTTTGATCTCATCGTTTTACTTCTGTGTATGCATGAAACCTTTGTTTTATTGTATCGATCTGTCTTTTTCCCACTCTAATAATTTATGTTGTCAACTCGTCCCTGCTGACTTAATTATTAGTTTATGGAGCAATGTATGTTCCATAGCAACATTCCTGTTTTTTTTTTTTTTACATCAGTCTAGTTTTTGTGATGGCATCTTGTGTGATCAGTTTAAAAATGCTGATATGGTATTGCTGGTTGTAGCTCTTACAGAACTGCATTGTCAATGGATGTTTACAAGTTTGTTTCGTTAAATTTATCGATCTGTGTTAATGAATGAACCTTAAAGAATCTACTTTAAATGTATGTGTTGTGATGTACATTTTGGACTTATATTTTGTACTTTTAATTTTGTATTTTTACTCGGGGCACAATAGGGCACAGCTAGTGTCCCGTCCATTTTAAAAATATTGTTATAGTTTGTATTGTTACTCGGGGCACAACTCTGCATATGCATAGCTAACATTCCGTCCATTTTAGAAATGTTGTTTTTCATAGGGTTACCATTTGTGCCTTGCCTACATTGCAATGTAGAATTTCTATTTCTATAAGTTTCAAATATACATTTTTTATGATCTGAACATGTGAGTTTTTATTTAATAGTGACATGTGTAAGGAGACTTGTGACCCCCCCTTCCCCATGACGCTGCTCTAGGCCGGGTTCCAGGTTCCAGGGGCCTGCCGTCAGAGGTCGCTGCGAAGGAAAACGGGTGGAGTTCTTGTGGGAGAGGTCAGAGAAACAAAATTATACTGTCTGATATTAATTTTATTTCTATATATAAGTGTACAAACAATCATACATGGTTTTACATGGTTTTTATTTACCTTCTATGTATATTCACAGTAAAGTTCCTTTTTACAATTTGGTTTTTGACTATCACAAGCAAGATTACTCAAAATTTGCTTGCATGATGTATAGTTTATTCACATTTTTCGGTGATATCTTTACATGTTTAGGGCTTCTGATGATTTCGAGCAGCCCCCTTTTTGCATTGAAATGGTGTTTAGGTCATTGCAAATTTTTCCTGTGATGTTTTGATTTGGGCTATTCTTTAAGTTTCATTAAGAAATAAAATTCTTAGCCAATTTTACTTCACAACATATTAGGTTGGAAATGTCAGAGAATATTGGTAGTAGCGGACCAAGTGCTTGTTTGGTATTGAATCTTAACTTTTTTTTTGTTGCTTAATAATATTGCATGGAGAACTTAAGTTACTTTTATCCTTCAGTAGGTTCAAGTTTTAAGACTTACTCAAAAGTGGTGGGGTAGCTGTAGTAGTATGAATAATTAGCCAAGGAACTAACGAGTTGCTCAGGAGAGACAAGCTTATCATGATGCATTAAAATACAGACGTTTAGCAAACAAGAACATAAAATAAACTGGATTTTACACAATAATGGCAGTTTAGAACTGCTAGGATATTCTTAGTTTCAGCACTACATCACAATTCTTACACAAGACTGGTCTGGGTAATTTATCCAATCTATCTAAAACTGCGCACATCTCAGAGAATTGTCAAAGCTGCTTTAAAATACAAGACGCATTTAGATTTATCAAAGGAGTGAAATGAAAAGTACATATTTGTTCTATGGTTACAAAAAATAAAACCATTTATCCTAACACTCGTATTTGGAAAAGGAAAGATGAAAATGTACAGTAAAATTCTGCAGGAGCTACACTTTATATTGTCTACACAATGAAACGGAAAGAAAGGTGTGCTACCATTTTTTTTTGTGCTTTTTGAATAGGAAATAGACAAAATCGGATGTCTATGGTGTCAATCCAAAGACACCCCTCAAACATTATGATATTTTCTTTTCCCCCTTTGCAACTCTTGTGTAGACGTATGTGAATTACATGAATTGGTGGCTTCTTGGCTTCAATTGTCTAATTATTTTTGGCAAAGGTTCAGCCTTTTGCTTGGCAACGATAAAATGACATGCTTTGAAGCGACAAAACCAGTAGAGGTGAAGTAGAAACACCTATTAAAAACGGTCTAATTCAAAAAGAGATTCCTATGGTAAATGCATCAACTTTTCTCCAGTAGTCATGGCAATGTATGGCGAGTGGTAAAAAAAAAAGAAGAAGTAAAAGGTCAACTCATGCCTTTGTGATGATGGTGTGCAATTCTAACACTAAGTTATTCCACTAGGTGAGTGAGTGGAATATTCTCTGAAAAGAGCCAGCTTTACTGTAGTTCATCCAGTTCAATAGAAAAAATAAATTAAGATTGGACCTCATACGACTAGCAATGTTATCAAGAGTGGATCTCAATCTACACATGAAGTGTGTATTTGCATGAGACCAAAGCGACAACAACAACAACAACAAACACAATAAGAGACTATGCAATAACATAGTGCGCAAGTTAAATCACTAGTGTGTAAAATGGTACGAACTCTATACAACATTGCACTCAGCTATTAGTGCTGCTTGCTTCGTTTTCCATCTGTTCATCCAAGTCACACCCCACCTATACATCTTTCAGTGCTTTCAGCTATTATGTTCTTAAATCGTCAGCACCCTACATACTTTATAATTTTTATACCCTCTTAAATTACAGTAATATACAATAAATATAGAAGCTAGAGGGCATATTCAAATTTAACAATACATGGACATATACTAGTTTTCAGAATCCTGCCCACAGGTTGAAAATGGTGTAGAACAATAATTCACTTGCTAGCAGTAAGTGATAGAACTTCACCAGCCAGCCTATGGCCAAAATTATGGATTTCAAAGGAGGTATTTTGCACCCTTGAGCCAGAAGCAAATGAGGTCAACTCAAGCCCAAGAATACTTTTCCGGTATTGAAGGAAACTAGATGATGTCTACAATACATACACAATCGTACAAGAACAACATTTCAAATATTAGTAAATTTACATATACCAAACAGTGGTAACTTTCAATTCAAGTAAATGAACCTTTTATTTTGGGTCTTTCCAAAGTTTGGGGAGAGATATCAGATAAAACTATGAAACTGAATAAAATTTAAAGCATCTGTAGTGAGGACTAAAAGAAAGGAGCCCAAGAAAACATTAACTAGAATGCGCATGGCAATTTAAATGGCGAACTAAAACCTCCAGTCTTCAACTTAAAGAAAAAAAAAGTTCTCCAAACAATACGCCTAAATTTGTGGAGTTCAATAAACATTTACGTATAATGTATAGGCACTTTAACCCATGATGCCAGATACTATGGACAGCAGGTCAAGAATCCCAATTTGGAAATTTAACATACTGTACAGTACATATGCCACATGATTAGTGTAAAGACAAGACCATAACGATATCACAGTAACTAATGGCTTTATACATCAAAGATAAATACTCTGTTTATCTCTGCTTGGAATACCATGCATAGCCCTGGCATCATGGTATGAAAAGTGAGAACTGATGACATTTAATGCACTTATATATTTTGCTTCTCTCTTGTTTTTATTTCAGGTGCATTGGGGATGAAGGCAAACTACTGTAGTACTTCTTTCACCTTCAATGGCTCTTGCAACATCTCACTGTCACAGTTATGCCTTTGTCTTATCATACATTATGTACAAAAATAAATACATAGAGTACTAGACAGATTTGCTTCACACCACCATACATTCTTCAAGGTCTAACAGAACTCAAGTGTCATCATCATATACACCATAAGTCTTCTATCTAAAGCATACTGGTTCTTATTTTCGCTCTTTTAAAAACTCACTGTCTTCCCTTTGCTTTGATTCCCTCACTCTATGCACAGCACAATCCATCAAAGTAGGAGCACAGTGGCAAAAGAAAATAATGCAGTACAAGTAAATTCATTAATTTCTTCAAAGTTCATTGTTTCTTTCTGAATCATAACACTAAAAAAAAAAATCTTAGTCCATTTTGTTACAGTGTATACATGCCACCAAGTCGTTGCAGCCTCGCGTTGACTAAAAGAGAGGTGTTTGCAACGACAGGGCGAGGGGGAGGGGGAAGGGGAAGCCTCGCTGAATGTCAACTCGCCTGCGGAGCAGGGCCAAACGTCACACCGTTCAAACCGTCTGTGTTCTTACGGAAAGCTTCAGAAGTAAAAAGGAAAGTATAACACACACACACACGCACAATACAATATTTTCACGACCCTAGTATTTTAAAAATACAAAACCTTTCTCATGAAATAAAGTGAAGTTTCCCTTAAGACCACAGAGACTGCGTGTTTGGCAGTGTGGTCGGCACATCAGTCGAGGCATTGGTCACAGCACAGTGGACGACGCCCCCGCGCGGGCATGGAGGGGTTCTCCAAGGCGACGGCGAGGGGCGTTGTGGGGGGAAGGGGGGGGGGACCTATCACAGTGGCGTTGCGCCCACAGGGGCACACAGGGGGCCCGTGGCCGACGGGGCCTCGAGGGTCTCGCCGAGGGCGTTCATCTGAGGACGAGCAGGGCGGCGACGACGCCCAGCACGGCGGCGGCGCTGGTCGTCCGGACGGCGGCGCTGTTGAGGCGCGACTGCTCCTGCGCGCCGATGGGGTTCAGACTGTTGCCCATGTCGTCCGCCATGACGGCGTTGTCGCGCGCGTCGTCCGAGATGGTCTCGTTGTCGTCGTCGTCGTCCTCGTCGCCGGGCCGCTTCTTGCGGTGCGGCCGCTGCCTGCGTCGGTGGCACGACGGCTCGGGCCGCCACGCCCTCGTGATGTTGGGGTAGGTCGCCTCCGTGTCCTCAGTGCCCTGCGAACAAAACGCCAATGAAATACATTAGGACGCCGCTCCTCTGTTCCATCCACCAAAAATTTGAAACGGCCCAAATTGGAGTATGATGTGCTGGAGCACACCCTCGACCCTGTATATGACTGTACTGTATGTGTCGCTGCCAATAAAGCCTGAAGGTAGGCAACAAAACAGTTCAATCCGCCTGTAAGTCGGCAAAACGTGCGACATGGACCCGCCGCCCAAATGCAAATCCCGGGTACGCGCCTAGCGGCGCCACTCGGCCACGCCACTGCTACGCTACGCCGGGCCGGACTGGCAGGCAGGCAGACAGGTGGAAAATTGGGAGCGTGGAAAAGGGGGGAAAGAAAAGCGAAGAGCGCACGACACAGCGCCAGGGGAGATTAACGCGTAAACAGGAAAAGCGGAAAGGGGCAGCCAAGCCAATGGCGGCAGCCACGGCCATGCCACAAGCGAAGCACAATGCAGCCGAAATGCTCCATCGGACACGACAGTAACGAAAATAAAAATAAAGATTGGTGAGAATTTATTTTTTGGAGGGGGGGGTCTCTGCGATAAAGCAAACACGCCACACGAAGGTCGGGCGGAATTTGTCCTCGGCGGAAATAAATAAGGGGAGCGTTTTACTGGAACACGTCAAGACCTTAGCAATCGCCCCGCCCCGCCCCGCCCCGCCAGCCCGTCCCCGGGGGCGAGGCCCCGCCCCAGGGCCCCGGTGCAGGTTAGCATTTCCAGGTTCGGCTTTCATTCTGCAAATTGTTATTAGGCGTTCCCTTTTTGGAGCAAAGCCAGCTGGGCTGGTCTCGTCTTGGGATCGACGGGGCCGGGGCGGGGCGGGGCGGGGCTGGCCGGGCTTGCCATGTTGTTGTGGGGTCACAGAGTGGCATCAACCCTTCCCAGTGGCGGTGGCCCGGGTACAAGACGCACAAAAATCGAGCGGAAACTCTGGGGAACCCTGCGGAGCCCGTGCCAACATCCAGTCGCAAGTTAATCATCCAATGTGATGTAAGGGTGTTCCCGAATTTCAGGGCTGAGCTGCTACGAGCGCTCTGCCAGACCTGCCTTCGAACCCTGCCGTCGTGGACGCGGTGCACAGTGGGCCAGAAGACCGACGCGTTTCGAGCTCCAGACTCGCTCAACAGGGCTCGAATGGAGCGTGTGACCCCACCTATGGATTCCTCGTTCGGAGAGAAATCCATTGGTGGGGTCACACGTTCGGTTCGAGGCCAATTTAGCGCAAACGCGTCTAGAGTTTTGACCGCCTCCACCGGTCTTCTGGCAAATCCACTGCGCTGCGTGCTGTGCACCACCAATACGTACCGGTAGCAGCACCGGCTTCTTGGCCCAGCACAGGGGCTTGAAGGAGCCCTTCCGCGTGGCGTCCTGGAAGGAGCCGAAGTGCTTCTCCCAGTCGTACGTCACCAGCCGCGTCTCCAGCGTCATGTCGCGGAGCTCCTCGGGCAGCTTGATCTTGACGGGCGAAGAGTTCCTGCAACCAGACGAAAACAACGATAAGTTCCACTTTGCGAGGTTGGCCACCGTCCAGGAAAATAAAAACCTCTCAGAGGAAAGGGCGAACATGGGAAGCGAAAACGGATCGAAAATGTTGACCAAGTCCGTTCAAGTCCGCCGGCCGAAATTAGTGAGAACGAAAGTGCGCGTTCCGCGCACTGCACTGCATCATGCGCAGAGGGACGGGGAGGGCCGGGGGAGCTCCGCGTTGTCCTTGTCTCGCCCTGCTTCGCCCCGCCTAGCCCCGCCCCGTGTCCTCCATTCAAACCGCCCGCCAAAATGTCACTTTCTAATCAACGAGCGACGTCGTCGGCGAGGGAGGGCCGCCGTCTTCCGCCCCCCCCCCTTTTCCTTCCTCCTCCGGACGACCATTAATAACGATGCTGTTTGACCGAGGCGTTTGACATTCAAACATGGCGGGGGTGGGGCAGAAAGCAATTTGTCCTTATTAGGGCTCCACGCTGGAAGTGGGGCAGTCGAATGCTGCCCATCCATTTTCGCACTGACGCGCCGCAATCCTAGTTTCTTTTTTGGTGCGTTCCATGGAGCGGGCGAGAATCGACGAAATTGAAGGTATTTTGCGTGCGAGGGTTGAATGGAACCCAACCTAAAGCAGCATAACCTCGCCTAAGCGTGCCGCGTCACTCCGCGAAACGTGTGCCGAGGGCGAAACTCGTTTCCGCCCTTTCGAAACATTGACAGCGAGGGAAAAAGAGAGAGAAAGAGGTCTTCCAGGAAGAAAAGACCCCCCCGGGTGCCGGCGTGCCGGTGGCCGCGTCGGGGCCGCGTAAAAACTGCAACTACTCGCCGCGCTGCCCCGCGCTGCCCCGCGCCCTCTAATCGCGACGCGACCCTCTCGAGCCGAAAAGCGGGAAAGCGGGGTGGAAGTGACTATAATTTTTGGCGCCAGACACTCCAGACACCCGCGGGCCGCGGCGAGGCGTGGCGGGCAGGGCGAGTGCGGAAGCGCCGCGTCTGTCCGCCACTCGGCCACTCCGCCACGAGCGGAACAACTTAAACCGCCATTTATGAGCGAGAATTTCTCGGCAACGCTCGTTCCGAGCTGCGTCCGAACACCGCACAGTGGGCCAGAAGACCGGTGGAGGCGGTCAAAATCCCGAACGCGTTTTGAGTTCCAGAGTCACTAAATGGGGCTCGAACCGAGCGTGTGACCCCGCCAAAGGATTGCTCTCCGAACGAGGAATCCATTGGTGGGGTCACACGTTCGGTTCGAGTCCTACTTAGCGACTCTGGAGCTCAAAACGCGGCTAGAGTTCTGGCCGCCTCCACCGGCCTTCTGGCCCACTGTGCGCTCGCCGCGGAGGCCGTGAGGGGCGGGCCGACGGGGAGGTGCTCGTTCCGGACGCGGCCCTCACTGGCGCCGGCGCGGCGCAAGGGCGGGAAAAAGCGCGCCAAAGAGTTGGGAGGGCGAAGGCGAAGGGCTGCCCGTATTAAAGTTGGCGGGAAAATGGGCAAATGCAAACGCGACGTTCGAAGCTGTAATGGCGCGTAATCTGTAAGGGCTTTGCGCGCGTGTGTGTGTGTGTGTGTGTGCTGCGCCGGACGGGGATCAAGCAGTGGCATGTGGGGACGGGGATGGCACGGCGGAGGAAGAGAAGAGAGAGGGAGAGACGGAGGGAGAGAGAGGGGGCGAATTATTCAGGCGAGGCCTTGCCACGCGCTAAGCGCTTTTCCGGGGGGTTGATCCGACTCGTAGCACACGTCGCGTATTGTGCGCCACCAGAGAAGAAAAAAGTCCTCAAAGCCGTGTTGGTTTTTTCGTGTCCTTTTTTTTGCAGGTCCAGCCAGCCAGCCTTTGCAGGCCAGGCCTCTGGCCCCGCACGCGCGATCCACCTGCGGCAGTCAACCCCGAGACCGTCCTCATCCTGGTCTTCCCCGCGGCCGGGCCGAACAAGGAGAAACGCGAAACAATTGAAAGGGAATTTGTCAGCATTCCAAACAACGAGGGGGCTGAGCACACACTTGTGGTAAAGACAATTCCTCTTTTTTTGCTGTTGCGAGCAGTGTACCGAAATCGGCGGCAATGTGCCGTGCCACGGGCCACGGGCCACGGGGGTAAAACAGGGTAGTTTTGCCCCGAGTATGGGGCGGGGCGGGGCGGGCAGTGCGCCAATCTGGCCCTTCAGGACGTCGCCCTCTCTCAGCCCCCCTGCGCCTTCCCCTTGGGGGACGGGCGGCGGATTTACAAAAGAAGTTAGACACAAGTTGGAAAGTAGGCTAGCGCGGAAGAAAGGTGTGTTGGCGCCGCGAAGCGCCGGCCCTCCCCTCGCCGGATTGGAACTGGCCGCGGCGCCGCGCTCACACTTACAGACAAGGCAAATTAGTTTCTTTTCATCGAGCGAGGGGTGCCCCCCGCGTGCCCGCCCAGCTGCCCGCCCTCGTGGCGCCACTACTTTGGAGATGCCACCCGAGTTTCAATTATTCTCTTCCTGTCCCTACCCTACTTGCATTCACTGCGCGCACCGCCGCGCACTGCTCGGGGGGCCACTGCAAGGCGCCCTTCAAGGAGCCAAACCGCACTGCAGCACAATGTGCGCGCGCGCCCGTCTGTATTCGTGTGTGTGTGTGCGCGCGCGCGTGTGTGTGTGCGCGCCTGTCTGTATTCGTGTGTGTGTGTGCGCCTGTGCGTGCACACATTTGTGTGGGGGATAGTGCAGGCGCCACGCTACGCCATCGTAAAGTACGATTAGCACAGCACTCCTGCCCCTTGCGCATATGCTGCACGCATTACGTGCACTCACACACGCGCGCACGCTCGCTCATACACACACACACACACACACATACACACACTCCGGTAGGTGCATTTGCGTCCACGCAGCACGGAGGAGGGAGGGGTGGGGGGTCAAACGGTGAAGGCGCAGGCAGAGATTTTTAGGGGTCAATAAGGGCGAGCCTAGGTAGGGTAAGTAACTGCCAGGAAATCGGAGGCAACCATAACAAACAGGGGCCAGGCCACAGTCAGCCGCAGGCTCACCCACAGGCAGGCAGGCAGACAGACAGACAGACAGACAGACAGACAGACAGACAGACAGACAGGCAGACAGACAGGCAGACAGACAGAGACAAAGGCACACACGCGCGGGCGGTGGCTCTCCGCAGGGAGCAGCGGTGCGAGTGAGAATCAAACAGCGGAGCAGCCTGGCAGGTAGGCAACACGCCGCCACGGCTGCCCGGCGGGTCGGCCTACGCTGCAGGCTGTGGGGCGGACGGCGGCGGCCCACCTCCATTCCAACGGGCATGACGTGCGCACGCCACCTGCGTGGGCCGCGTGGGGGCACACCCACACCGACAGTGCCCCGAGCGCGTGCGGCGTGTCTCGGCGCGCCTCACCTGGGGGTAGTTGTCTACGCTTGCCTTGCGCAAGCCGTACCGCCAGGCGTAACACCATGCGTACAGTACATCCCGCATCGGCCGCAAAGACTCCGGCAGTGGCGCCCGGTGTGGCCTGGGCCTGCCTGCGCCCTCACGCGGCGGGGCGGCCCCCGCCTCGGCCCCCGCCTCGGCCCCCGCCGGTGTCACTGACAAGCTCAAGTTCCAAGTTGCCCGCCGCCAGGCCCAGGCCTGCGGGCTGCTCGCGAGGGGCCGGCTGCCTCTCTCGCACCCATCGGGGACCACCCGGGCCGCGCCGCGAGTGCGAGAGAGAGACCCACCCCGCTCGGCTTCCGCGCGCTGCGCCGGACAGGCCGCGAGGGGTAGTTACGCGGTGGTTAACGAGGGGAGGGGGGGGGGCTTCGTAAAAGTGAGGCGAAGGTTAGGGCGGGTCAGGAGCCCTGCAGTCATAATCGCCCCGAGACGTCGTTGTCGTCGTCGTCGTCTTGGCCCGCAGCGGCGGCCAGGAAGCATTCCCCCGAAGTGGGCGAGGTCCGACGCGAAAACGCAATTGTACACCGGAAAGCAGAGGGCCCGGCTGCGGAGGGGAGGGGTGGGGGTCTCTAACGCTTTTGAGGAAAGGGCCCGCAAAGGATATGACCAGCTCGGAGGGGGTGGGGGCGGGCCGGGGTGGTCGCCGGTCGGCGCAGCGCCCAAGTCACAACTCAGGGCAAACCGCAGGAAACAGACCTGGACCAAGATTCCGCCAGCTCTACACCGCAGGCAAAGAGGAAAGGGGGGCGGCGCGGTGCGGAGGGTCGTGGAAATGTTTGGCCAAGTCCCTGGACCTGCGGTAAATATGGACGGGCGGTGGGAATATGCGATAAACTAAGCTCCGGCGCCACGCCGCGCTATCCGCAGCCATCGCCCTCCCCCTCCCCCACCCCCCGGCCCGCTTTGATGTCCACCGCGTCCCGCCGCGTCCCCGATGCGACGGCAAACTGAGCAGCCAGGGACTCGGCCGCCGCCATGCGCGCCACGCCGCCACGCCGCGGACAGTACTCCGGACTCCGGACCGCCAGCGCCGCGATTTTGCGACCCTCCGGACTACTCCGCACTCTGGGCGCGCGGCCCGCGCGGGGTGCGGCAACTTTAAATGGAACCGTGAGGATTTCCGACTTGCTCCTGCTTCGCCTTGGCTTACTTTCGGAACCAATATGCTGAGAGGCGGGGAGGGCCAGGCAGGCATACAGTGTAGCCACCGGCCCACGGCCCCACGGCCCCACGGCCTCGCAAAATCCCGCATCCCGTAGCTATGCGCGGCGCCACCGCCACCGGGGACTGGCCGCGTTCACGTTCGCATTTGCCATCAGCCCGGTGGGACGGCAGGGACGCGGGCACTGCACTGGCAGGGGAATTTGGGGGATTTGGTAGTGCACACTGTGGGAACAGTGGGCCAGCACTCTAGACGCGTTTTGAGCTTTTGCTAAACAGGACTCGAACAGAACGTGTGACCCCACCAATGGATTCCTCGTTCGGAGAGCAATCCATTGGTGGGGTCACTCGTTTGGTTCGAGTCCCATTTAGCGACTCTGGAGCTCAAAAGGTGCCCGGGATTTTGACCGCCTCCACCGGTCTTCTGGCCCACTGTGCACTGTTGGGAATCAGCCCGCGGCTTTCGGGCCAGTGGGTTCGTGCTTCCTCGCGCGCGCTGCCGCACTGCTGGCCGTCCAGACATCCTGAAGCTCGAGGCGGTGGAGGAGCGAGGGCGCAAAGCGCAAAGCGGCACAAGCCGAGGCACAAGCCCAGCCGCGCGTCGGCGTTTCATCTTGCTCACCTCCCCGTCTCGGGGCGACCGGGACCACGGCCTTGCCTCGCCTCGCACATCCACGCCGACACCTTTCTCTCCAAACTCGCACTGCTGCCCCCCAGGGCCCAGGGCGGCGCAGGGCGGCCCCGGCCGGCACGGCGCGCCCGCAGACCAAGTCCAGCGCGGCCAACTTCCACATTCCCAGCAACAACTCGGCCGAAACAGCCGGGGAAGCCAGCGGCGGACCGACTCCGAACCGCGGCGTCTGTCTCTCTCGCACCGCGGCGGGACGCCCCGCGAGTGCGAGAGGGACGGGGCCTGCAGGGCCGCGGACACTACTCCCTCTCCAGCCTGTCGATTCCAGGCGGCTCCAGGCGGCTCCAGGCGGCTCCAGGTCCAGGCGGCTCCAGGTCCAGGCGGCTCCAGGTCCAGGCGGCGCCAGGCGGCCCTCCCGCGGGAACCACGCCGCGTCTTCCGGACTTGGAGACCAGACCGGTGAGGCACCGAGACACTTTAATCAAACTTATTAGCAGCAAGTTGTCGGGAAAACCGCAGCGCTGCGCCACTGCTATTCGCACGTCGCTATCCGCACGCTTTGCAGTGGCGTGGGCGGCCAGGTCGACCGCAGCGCCGCGCAGCACCGCGCAGCGCGGAGAGAAACAGACGGCGAACGCGTAGCCGCGTAGCCGCGCAGTCATACCGGGCCAAAGTTATGGGGGACGGACCTAGGCTCCGCTGGGCTGCGCCGAGCTGGTCCCCGAGGGGCCGGGCTGGGCCAGGCTGGGCCCGCGACGAGGACGACGAGGAGGACGAGGACGACGAGGAGGACGAGGACGACGAGGACGAGGCAGGGCGGCAGGGGGTGCGGAAAAGGAAAAATAGACGGCAGAGAACGACGCGGCGCGCACTCTGGCGGAGGAAATGAAACTTTTTGGCGCGCAAACTTTTCGAGTTTTTAAATTTGAAGCGGCCCCGATTTGCGACAAGGAGGTTAGGCAGTTTTAGGGGGAGGGCGCCTCCCCGTCCCGGCCCGGCCGTCCCGGCTCGCCAGCCTGCCGCCTCCCTCGCCTGCCGCTCTGCTGCGCGCTCAGCGTTACGGCCTGCAGAGTGTACACCGAAAAGGGGCCGGGATCAAAACTCGGGATGAGCAGGGCTCGAAAAAAAGGGCGAAAAATAAAAATAATATTAAAATGCAGCCCGGCTGGCTGGGTGGCTGGCCACGGTTCATCGCGAGGGTCGGAACGTTGTGGGGCCGCGAAGCTGCCGGCAGCCCCTCCGCAGAAAAACTTGGGCTTTCTCACCGACTCTGACCTCGCCTGTTTGGCTGGCGCGCTGGCGCGGTGGCGTGCTGGCGCGCTAGTGCCTGGCGGCGGCGAGGAAGCGAGGCGGCGCGGCGGCCTGCCCAGGGGTATTTGGCGAGGGCCGCGCAGGGCCGCAAACCCACTGATTGGTCGGCATGGCATTGGCCCGAGTTCCGAGTACAATAGGAAATAACACCAGGGGGGCCGGGGCTGGCCGGGCTGGCCGGGCCGGGCGGGGCCCGCGGCGGCCGGGGCTTCGACTCCCGGCCAGGCCAGGGTGTATTGGCCCGACCAACAATCATTGGAGGGAAGGAAAGAAACTTGTTCGCGGAGCCAGAGGGAAGAACAGGGGGTGGGGTGAGTACGCGAACACACACACACGAGCACACACACACGCGAAGCAGCAAGAACAAAACTGTCTTTACGAAGGGCAGGCTCGTTCGTTGATAAAGTCCATGCATGCATTTGGGGCGCACGGCCGCTGGCGGTCTGCTGGCTGGCTGGCTGGCGGGCCCCCCGGCCGGATGGTGGGCTCGGATCGCCAAACAAGGAGCCCGCCCGACCCCCGGCCTGGTTCCGGGTCCCCTCACAATGCGCTCCAAGAGGGTTACACTAGTCTCCTCCCCTACACTGGAGATCACTGCAGATCAGCCAGCCCTCCAGGCCGCCTCCAGGCCGCCTCCAGGCTTCCCTCCCGCCCTCCACGGCAAGGTGCGGCGCGGCGTTAGGTTCGCGACGGAGGAGACGCGTTCGAGGGGAGGGGGGGGGGTTACGGCTGATTCCGCATGAGGGCTTAAAGTCCTCGGTACAAAGGCGGATCCTCAATAGAATCGACTGTATAACGTGAGTGAGTGAGAGAGCACGAAAAGGGCGGCATCAATGGCGACTACCCCCTTCCTCCCTCCATCGGGTGTCGGTAGCACTGCAAAACGCGCCGCGCGTCGCACAGTGGGCCAGAAGGCCGGTGGAGGCGCTCAAAATCCCGGACGCGTTCGCACAATGGGACTCGAATCAGGCGTGTGACCCCACCAATGGATTGCTCTCCGAACGAGGAATCCATTGGTGGGGTCACACGTTTGGTTCGAGTCCTGTTTAGCGACGCTGGAGCTCAAAACGCGTCTGGATTTTCTGCCCACCTGCACTGTTCTTCTGGCCCACTGTGCGTCATAGAGAGGGTGTAGTTAGGACGTGCAGCGCTCCGCGAGTGCGAGAGAGACAGACGGTACTCACGGCATGAGCTCCTGGATGCCCAGCGAGTGCAGCACGGTGGGCAGCGACGGCAGCGAGTAGCACAGCGTCAGGTCCACCCTGGGGTAGTACAGCGCGAAGGCCAGGCACATCTCCTCGCGCGCCGTCAGCCCGCCCAGCGTGATGGTGGACCGCGCCTCCGAGTTGTACGTGCACTCGGCGATCAGGTGGTCGCCCTGCGGACAAAGACAACAACAACAACAACGTCAAGGCGGGAACGGAGACAACAACAACAAAGTGAGGGCTGGAACATCTTGTTTGCCAGTCGGCCCGTCGGGACGCTACACACTTGGCGACCAAATAAGAGGTGAAATTATATCTGGGGCGCATTGTATCTCTCCACCGGGCGGAAGCCGCTTTGGCCCGAGAGGCTCAGCAAGCTGAGTCCGGGTGGGAGGTCTCTCTCTCTCTCGCACTCATGGGGCGTCCCGCATGCGCGCGAGAGAGACAGACCGACGGGACCTCCCCTCGGAAGCAGCCTGCAGGCAGCATGCCCTCTAGAATAAAGCAGCCATCCCTATTACTTCCATGACTGCCTCGACACTAAGTCGGCACGGCACGGCACGGCACGGAGAATGCTTGCCATAGTGGTGTAGGAATCCCTGGTCGGGTGGTCTGGGCCTCGGTCTGGACTTCGGGCCGGACCGCGCGGCATAGGAGGACGAGTCTCCCTTCGAGTCGTGACACGACAATAGCAACAAATGAGAGGATTGCGAACGCCCCCCCTCCCTTTCTAAACCTCAGCCACGTGCCGAGAGGGGCCTCGCTGCGCACACTGACAGGACGCACTGACAAGTAGCGGAGTCCGGCAGGCCATGGGCAGGCCGCCGGCAGGACATCGGACTAGCAGACTGGAAGGGCTTGAATGGAAACGTCCACGCAGCAGGCAGACACTCACACGCACGCAGTGCCACGCACACACACACACAGAGTCGAAAAGGACTGGTCAAAGGGACGCGCGGCACAGAAATAACGAAAACCACTATATCGGCCATGCAGTCTGCGCAATGTATTGCCGCCATTCCGAGAGGGAGGGAGCGAGAGAGCGAGAGAGAGAGAAGACGGACTTGTTGTGTTGTGTCGTCGCAATAAGAAGATTCTCTCAAGGCGCTGCACAGAATGAAAGAATTGTGTGTGTGTCGTCTTACACGAGTTTATTATATTTTCTGGAATGACATTCTTCCCTTTGCGACCCCCTCTCGCCAACTTGCAGGGGAAAAAAAATAAACGCAGTAGTGGCGGTATTTGAACCCGGGTCGCAATCAAAGTGCGAATGCGAAATTTTCCGGTATCGCGTGCCGGGAAAGCGCTCTGCGCGCGGCAACCCTTTTAAAAAAATCCGGCTTGACTTACTTTTTCAGGCCGCCGACGGAAGCAATAGTCGAGATGGGGAATGCAAGGGGTGAGATAGCGGGAACGACGACTTTTAATTGTTTCCCACCTTGGGCCGGCCCCGCCCCGCCCGCCCGCCACCGTCGTGCCGACGGGGCGTAAAGATTTCTGTGACAGGCCCCCACCCCACCGTAAAAGGGACTCGGGGTGGGGGTGGGGGAAATCCAGCCTCCAATTCCCCGGCTATAGCTATAGCTTCTGGGCGAAACCCGAGGAGCGTTTGAAAAGGTGGAAAGGGAACACCTTGAAGCCTCCTCCGGTGCGGTTCGGTTCGGTTCGGCTCGCGCGGTTCGGTTCCGGTTCGGTTCCGGTGCGGCGCGGCGCCACGCTAGTTGAACGGGGTTGACCCGGGCCGTGGGGGTCTTAGGGATGGACCAAGGCGAACTCCCAGGGGGCCTCGTCGAGGGAGAGGGAGAGAGAGCGGAGAGAGGGCGCCGGCGCCGGCGTCAGAGCTCAGCATGTTTTGCACGCCACAGTGCATCGCGGGCCCGCCACGGCCCGCCAGCCAGGCCCAGCAGTGCCGTCCCGTCCCGTCCCGCCCGCGCGCCACCGCGGCGCCAACGGCCGCCTGTTTTCCCCCCGAGTCCCTCGCTGCAGTAGGAATCCCAGGGGCGAAAGCTTTGTAATTTAAATCTAAAGTAATGTAGCGGCTAAAATGGGATGCGATGCGCCCTTGCCGCCAGGCCGGCCCGCCAGGCCGCTTTCCCGGCGGGGCGGGGCGGGGCGAAGCCGCAAGGGGGCGGGGGGCTCAGCGCGCACCAGCGGCCACCAGGTGCGTCTGGAGCGCGTCCACTACAAGGGTCTCATGTCGTCGGCCACCTCACGCGCACAAATCGTTTCGAAAACAGTGACCACTTCTGACGATTCTTTCCATTTTCAACATGATTGGCCGCTCTCTCTCTCTCTCTCTCTCTCTCTCTCTCTCTCTCTCTCTCTCTCTCTCTCTCTCTCTCCCCTCCCCGAGCGTGGAGCCGACGGAGGAAAGAGTGCCAGCCAATAAGGAGCGAGATCGCTGCAGCTGCTGCCGACGCCGAGCCGCCCCGTCCCATCCACCCGATCTGCCCGGACGGCCCGGACCGATTGATGAAATTATGCCCAAGGGAGCATCGGCAGCACTGTAACGCAATTAATCCCCACTTGAAAGGGGGCGGGGAGGGGGGAGGGGGCGCTCCTCTCGGCAGCGTTCAAACTGCTCGCGGATTTTCGCCAGTTAATTGTATCTCTGCGGCCCGCGGGTCGAAGTTTCAATAGTCTATACACACCACTTGCAAGGGGATTAGCCCCCCGGAATGAAAATTAGCGAAAGCGGCGAAAGCGCGCCGCCGCGGTCCGTTTGAATATTCCGGATGGAACACCGCCCCGCCCCGCCCCGCCCCGCCCCGCCCCGCCCCGCCCCGCCCCGCCCCGCCCCGCCTAATGAGCTGTATCTCACCCCGTCGGCTCGGACCAGCCGCGCGACCCCCTTCAAAATAAAGCGCGTTCTGACTGGCCGGCCGGACGCCACACCCGAGCGGCATCGGCGAGACCGTAAAATAAGACAAAGGGGAAGGGTTTCCCGGCCCCGAGGCGGACCAAGTTTGCACCGAGTTGGCCCGCGGCAGGTTTATTGCCGTTTATTGCGGACAATATGGTCATGACCGCTCTTTCTCATGGCAACTTATGAGTGCCGGTCGGCCGTGTCGGCCTTGAACAGTGGGCCGGACAGGGGCGGACCGGCAAGGTCAATGTGTGGGGGAAAAAATAGCGAGGCGCCGACACGACGCCAAGCCCTCGGGGTGCGGCGTCCCGGACAAGGTCCCGGGTCCCAGGGGTGGAATCCAGAATCCACTAACGCCGCGCGGCACGGCCCCAAGGACAGCGCGCTGATCGGCTCAGACTCGCCTCGCCCTCAAGGCGCCTCGCCAAATCAGTGAATTTTGGGAACGAGTTTTCAGACGGGGCCTTCCATTGTATCGGCAAAGCCTCGCTTCCAAGGCTTCCCGGCCCAAAGCCCGCGCCCGATGAAGCAGGCCGCCGTCTGCGTACTCACCGGGTACACCTTGACCGGCTTCTTGATCCGCCTGTACTCCTGGTAGTTGAAGTCGTAGTTGTTGTCGGCGGTGATCGGCTGCAGCTCCTCGCCGCCCCGGATTTGCCGAAACCGTACTTTGCGACCTGGGGGAGGAACAAAGGGCACCGTTAGTCCGACGAGAACCAATCTGCACAGTGGGCCAGAAGACCGGTGCGGGCGGCCGAAACTCCTGAGGCGTTTTGAGCTCCAGAGTCGCTAAACAGGACTCGAACCGAACGTGTGACCCCACCGATGGATTCCTCGTTCGAAGAGCAATCCATTGGTGGGGTCACACGTTCAGTTCGAGTCCCATTTAGCGACTCTGGGGCTCAAAACGCGTCTGGAAAAAGTGAAAATAGTCTCACCGATGAGGTGCGTGTGCAGCAGCGTGGCGAACACGTTGATGCCGGACTCGGGCAGCGCCTGCCGCGTGCAGTCCGCGATGCAGTGGCCCTCACTCACCACCTCGGGCCGGCCGGGCGGGATGATGTGCCTCCAGTTGGGGTCCAGGCCCACCGAGATGACGCCCGCGTCGAACTTGCGCAGCGTGGGCGTGTAGAAGACGCGCACGCCGGAGGAGTCGATGATGCCCGGGTCGATGTTGGGGTTGTTGTAGTGCGTCTCCATCATGTAGTACTTGGCGCCGGAGCCGGGGTCCAGCGGGTAGCCCGCCTCGGAGGGGAAGTTGAAGCCCTGTGTGAGAGAGCGAACGGCTTTAGTAGGAGAAGAAGCATCATGGCGCCGGCAGTTGCAACCTTTTTTTTTCCGCCCTCGGGGCTGCTCAGTGCTCGGGCAATAATGGTTCGGTAAATTAGAAGCGCCTGGGATGAGCCGGGCTGGCGGGGCTGGCAGGCAGCGGCCCGGCAGGCGGACAGGCAGGGCTTGTCGGCGTCAGGCGGGCCGGGCCGACCTAACCTAACAGCCGACGGCAGCGACAAGGCGACGTCATTTCGAGTGCGACCGAGTGCGACGCTAACGACTCGGTAATACGCGCGCGCCGGAGAGAGAAAGAGAGAGAGGCTCTGGGCTCATTAGCCGGATGGGGTGTGCAGTGTGTCGTCGTCGCAGCGTTAGAAGTGGGATAAAGACAGGGCGAAAATCGGCCGGGAAAAAGGGACTCTGTGGGCCGATCGGCGAAGAGGCGCGGAACAAACAACCCGAGGGGAACAGAACAGGTATACGCTTTCTGCTGTCGGGGTCGTTTTCGGCGGGGTCGGTTCGGTCGGTCCGCACTTGCCTCTCCGTCCATCCGTCCACTGTGACAGGCAGAGTGGCGGGGCGGTGGCGGCGCGGCGGCCTCACATGAAGAATGGCTGTCATGCACCGGCACCTACCACACCGCCACCACCACCCAGCGCATTGTAGCGCTGCCAAGCCCGCCCCGCCCGCCTCGCCGCCACGGGACTCGTCAGCCAACGCCGCGCTGCCCGACGCCAAGAAGTATCCGAGTGACCTCCCGACGGCCCCGCACCTCGCCGGCGCCTCCCGGACGGCCCGCCGGACCGCGCAGTCCGGCAGCTGAAATGTGGCTTTCGGAAATGGGGGCCAAGATGGTTCGGGGTCGCCGCCCGTTTCGTTAGATTCGCCCGGCGCTGCGCGCTGCGCGGGGACGTCTTCGGCGGCCGTCGTCGGGGCGCTCGGGGCCGCGTCCGGGAGCGCGGTGCCGCCGCCAGGACGCCGTCGATGGTCGCCGTCGATGGACGCCGCCCCGGACGCCGCCCCATCGCGCTGCTGCTGCGCGCGCCGCGCCCAGAGATGGCAATCAAGTGGAGCGCCGCCGTTTGCTTAACTTGGCCCGACCGCGCCGAGCCCCGCCAGAGCCCCGGGCAGCCTCGGCCCGAGCCCCGCCGAAGGACCAAAACTTTTGTAAAATATATACGTGGAATCACTGGCGCGACGTTCGGGACGTTCGGGGCGGCGGCGTCACGCATTCAGAAGAATTGAATTACTTTCGGCGCTGTCGGGGAAAGGGACGGGGGTCATTGTGATAAAGAGGAATAAGGAACGAGGCGCCGCCGGCTGGCGCTCCCGTCCTCCGCCCCGCCGGATATTCACCTCCAGGTGTCGTTGCCCTGACTTATTCCGAAACAAATAAAGCAGCCGGAGCACCCCTTGAGGCTGGCTCACTCCAACAGCGCCTCACAGTGGGCCAGAAGACCGGTGGAGGCGGACAAAACTCTAGACGCGTTTTGAGCTTCAGAGTCGCTGAACAGGACTCGAACCGAGCGTGTGACCCCACCAATGGATTCCTCGTTCGGAGAGCAGTCCATTGGTAGGGTCACACGTTCGGTTCGAGTGCCGTGTGGCGTGCGGCGCGGCCTGTGCCTACCTCGCAGGCGGCGCCTTGACTTGGCGTTCTTTTGTTGCGGCAGCGGCGAAGGCGAACCGAACTCCATCTGCGGTGTGTCGACGCGATGATGGCCAATTACAAGGCGGGGATCGAGGTCGGACCCATTGTAGCGCGCGCGCACACACACACTCACACACACAGCGCAAGCTGGAGGCAGATTAAGAGGGGATGGTGGTGGGAGAAGCCGAGGACGACGAAGTGTGGTTCGGGCGTATGTGTCCTGCGCAAGATTGATTGTGGTGCGGGATACTACCCCCACTGGGCCCCCTCCCCCTTCCCCTCCCCCACCCCCTGCCGCCCCTAGGGAGTGTTGTACAACCACTTGCGACTGCCTCTTGTCGCAGGATTGGAGGTGTGAGGCGGCGGGGGTGGGGGCGCTGGGGGTGTGAGGTGGTTTCGAGGTCAGGGGGTGGGGGTCGTGTACCATATGAGGGAGGCTGGCAAGGGCGTAAAGTGTGATGTGTGACGCCTATTATTAGTCGTCGACGCAAACTGCCTGCGGGGGCGGCGGGGGCGGCGGGGGAGGGGCTCTGATGACAGGTTTCTGGCGCTCCTTGGGGAGTCGGAAGGGGGCTGAAAGGAGGGTATGGCCACCGAGATTATCATAATGATGACTATAATGATAATGACGTCAGAGTAATGGTGGGACGAGACAAGCTTCGCCATGGCGACGCATGTACATGGGGCCGCGCGGGGCGGGGCGATCGGACGGACGGAAAGACAGACAGACAGACAGGCAGGCAGACAGACAGACAGACAGACAGACAGACAGACAGACAGACAGACAGACAGACAGACAGACAGACAGACAGACAACAGGCTTACCTCGGAGCCGACGGCCCAGGTGACGACCACGTTGTGGCAGCTGAGGAACTCGTTGGGCATGTGCGGGTGGTAGCAGGCCTCCCCGCGCGACGTCACGTGCTTCTCGAACTGGCTGGCGTCGCCGGAGCACTCGTACACCACCAGGTGGTGCAGGTACGCCCGGTTGCCTGCCTGGTGGATGGGCTCGTACTGCAGACAGGGAGAGGCAGTCAGAGTGTGTCCGGGCTAGCGCTCGCCGTACTCAGTGTCCATACTCACGCGTATCATGTGGTGCTTGCGGCGCAGGTCCGGCAGCTTGAAGATCTTGCACCAGTACAGCGTGTCCTCCGTGTTGGGCAGCGGGACCTGGAACAGGGAGGCGCGTCGTGAGTCGCGGTCCTTTACAGTGCAGGGGAAGCAAAGCCAGCCGCGCTAGCGCCTGCGAACTGCCAGATACCCGCCCGCCACACAGCGCTGCGGCGGGGCGGCCTGCCCGCACGGCGCTCTGCGGCCGCCCGCCACGCCGCGGCGGGCGGGGCGGGGCGGGGCGGGGCGGGGCGGGCGGGGCGGGGCGGGGCGGGCAAAGGGAGAGGGAGACGCGGTTTGAGAAATGAACGCGTTATTCTGCAATTAGCAGATCAATCAGCCCGCCGTAATTACTATTGTCCGCTGAAAGCCCGGCCGCTGAAAGCGGCGCTCCCCGCGACTCCGGGAACAGCACACTGAGAGTCGTCGCTCTGTCTCTCTCGCACCCTTCCGGGGCGCCCCATGAGTGCGAGAGAGACAGAGCGACAGTCGACAAACAGAGCGACAGTTCGCTGGCATGCCACCGCGCCGCCACCGCATTCCCAGTGGGTGGGCCTGGCTGGCCCTGCCCTCGCCCTCGCCGCGGCCAAGCTCGGCCTGCACACCGATTCCGAGAATCGTCGCTCTGTCTCTCTCGCACCTACACACGGCGCCCATGAGTGCGAGAGAGACAGCGACAGTGCGGTCCGCGGTGCAGCCGCGCGATGCCATGCCGGCCCGGTCTGACTCGCAGCTGGCGCACTGTAGCGGACAGTGGCGGCAAGCAGGCGCGTTTCCGCGCAGAGTGGCTGTCTCTCTCGCACCCGTGGGGGCGTCCCGCGGAGTGCGCACGGGTGCGAGAGAGACGGAGCGAATCACAGGGACTGGCTAATTCAGTGAGTCGGGAATAAAACGGAGTGGCTGCCGATCGCAAAGGGATTGAGGGATGGGGGCCCCATCGGGGGTGTTTGCATGTTTGCAGCCTGGTGCAGCCTGCAGCCTGCTGTGCCTGCTGTCCAACGTTTCCATTAACGGGGCCGCGCGGTGAATCAAGGTTCGCAATAATTGAGGGTGGGAGGGGGAAGAGTGTCCGCCAGACCAGAGCGAGAGAGAGGGCGAGCGTGCCAGAGCGGCGGAACGCACAGTGGGCCAGAAGACCGGCGGAGGCGGACAAAACTCTAGACGCGTTTTGAGCTCCAGAGTCGCTAAATGGGACTCGAACCGACCGTGTGACCCCGCCAATGGATTGCTCTCCGAACGAGGAATCCATTGGTGGGGTCACACGTTCGGTTCGAGTCCCATTAAGCGGACTCTGGAGCTCAAAACGCGTCTAGAGTTTTGTCCGCCTCCACCGGTCCTCTGGCCCACTGTGGGACGCCGAGCCAGGCCGAGCGCGCTGCTGCAGCACGACTGCATGCGTCCTGCGTAGCCTCCCCCGCGGCGCGGTGCGACGGAGACGGACCGTCTGGCACACTGAGGGCGGCGTGCTGGCGGCGCCCCTGCCTCCGTTCCGGGGAGTTTAACGAAACCAAGTAGTCGCGCCAAGGAGTGCGTCGTTACACATTGCGGTCCACATTACGTCGGCCAGGCTGGCGCACTGTAAGGCGATCCCCGCACCGGCAAGGTTTTGCGCAGGAGCGTAAGTCTTGTTTTTCGTTGCAAATTCGGTCAATTTCGGCGCGGTTCGAACTCGGTCCGCAGAGAGGGTGGAAGCGCGACACGCGATGCCTTATGTAAATAAGCCAACCAATCGGCAGCCGCGGAAACATTAGACCGGATCTCGACTCACTCAGCGAGGGCTTCCCGGCAAGCCGCGCAGCCACGCAGCCCGGCCCTCTTTTCTGTACACTGTACACAGCACACCCCGACCGCACTGCCGAATACATTGGCAGAGAGGTGTCCCGGCAGTCAACACCGCCAGCAGCGCCCCTCCCCTAGCGCGTCAAGGGGGGGGGGGCGCACGCACGCACCTACCATGGCAATGGATGACGCCATGCAAAACTATGGACTGCCGAGCGAAAATCCTTTCATACGATACAAACACTACACGCCGCGGCCTTGTCAAAATACCCGTGTACCGCCCTTTATTCAGGCGGACGCCCCTGTGTGCGTGCGAGTGTGTGTAAGTGTGTGTGAGTGTGCGTGTTCTGATGTACACAGAGCGCCCTGCTACACGCAGCGATGGCGCGAGATACGCCTGATTTAACAGTGTGGCTGCTGCGGCTACCTGCCAGTGGTGCCAATACTGCAAGTTATTGTCGGTGGCGTGGCAGCCCTGGGCAGCCCAGCCTGGCCGAGCCTGGGCAGTGCTGCCAACAATGGGGGCCCTATTCGCACGACGGCGAACCCAAAACAAGATTCGACCGCATCACGTCGGATTTGGCGATTTAGCGATTTGGCTCGGCGGGCGCAGTAATAAGCACGATCCGGCTAACGAGACCAATTGGACGACAAACTGACGAAGAAAAAAAGAAAAAAGAAGAGGAGGAGGAGGACTTTCCTTCCAGCGCGTCCAGCACACTGGAAAGACTGCCAAAGCGCGATACAGGCTGACCCAGATGTGCCGGCGTAATTTAAGGGAAGAAGGAAACTGAAGAAAAGTTCAGTTGGAGAGCCAGCCAGCCACACTGTGAGGAGGCGAAAATTGCTGCACCGTGCGGGGAATGTGTATTTTGTGCGGAGTTTTCCGTTACAAATACCCCCCCCCCCCCCCGACTCGCCAACTGCGCCAGGGAAAAAAGGCGGGGAACGCGCGCAAACAGCGCGACACATTTTTCATTACGATCCAATAAGTGGCGGGAAAGCAATGCGCCAAAAGCGCGGCGTAGGCGCAGCCATGAGGCGCAGAACAGCAACAACAACAACAACCTGGCGCGTTATTGCCAATTATTATTCATGATCCATCCGAAAAACAATACGCGACGCATCCTGCGGCTCATCCGTATTCCAACGTGCGAGGGTGCAATACCGCCTCACACACACACACACACACACACACACACACACACACACACACACACACACACACACACGAACGCACGGCTTAGCCTCCCAAGAAGAAAACAATCCCCCCACTATGTCGCCAATTCCGCCCCCAGTACGTCTGGCCGAGCGAAGCGGCGACACGGCGGGGCGGCGGGGCGGCGGAGAGGCGTCTTTGCCGCGTCAGTCGTTCCCCGGTCCCCTCCCTTCTTTCGGCCGGAACTTGACTCCCACATTAATTAATTTGGCCCCGAACGGGGAGTATATCGCGGCGCGACTGGCGGACGGCCGCCGCATTGGCCGCCGCCTTGGCCGCCGCCGCTGCAAACTGCTTATCCCGAGGGGGTAACGACTTCGGGAATCCGGCTGACAGCAAATTGGTAATCCGTAATCCGGATAACACGAAATTTTGAGGTAATCCGGGGTAATCCGGGAAAATTTTGTGGTAATCCGGGGTAATCCTGCTTAATCCGAAGGTATTCCAGAAATTTTTCGGTTGTAATCCGGAGGTAATTTGGGGGTAATCCGAGGTAATCCGTAATCCGGCTGACACGAAATTTACCAGTCGTTACCCCCTCGGCTTATCCACTATCCTTCTCTTTCTTACGCTTTTTTCTGGGCTCTCCTTCTGCCCCGCTGGAAGGGGTAGGAACAGTAACGACCGATGATGAGAAGGCCGGCCATTAGCAGGCGCGTTATGAGCGAGAGCGAGCGAGAGGGAGGAAAAAAATGGACAAGAAAGGAAGCGGAAGGAAAGGCAAAGTCAGATTAGTCGGAATTAGCGAGCTGTCGCGACTCCTGGCCAGGACCCCCCTCTCTGTCTCTCTCTCTTTCTCTTTCGCACCCCTACGGCGCCGCGTTCGGGGCGCCCTATGAGTGCGAGAGAGAGAGAGAGAGAGACAGCGCCGTTCGCAGTGTGCTACTGGAGGGGCCGTGGCGGGGCCGCGGGTTCGTCTCCGGCCACTTCTCCAGATTGGCGGGTAGCGCGGCCAACTCCAGCGGCTCGAGGAGGACGCCGAGGACGCCGACGAGGAGCCGCCTAAGTGAGACTCATGGGTATGGGTTCGGGGTTCGAGGACGCCGCCGAAGACGCCGCCGAGGACGACGCCGAGCGCGGCGCGCCGGACCGACGCCAAATGCGTCTCGGCCGCTCACTCCACTCCGCTCACCTCGCCAGCCCGCGCCAGCCCCGGCGAGCTGGAAGCAATTCTCGTTGTTTGGTGGGGCAGTGGCGGCCGGCAGGCCAGGGCAGGGCAGGGCAGGGCAGGGCAGCCAGGGCGCCACGCCACATGTCCTCATTTACGGACGAGGGGAGCCCCACCCCCGACGCCCCGAGGCCGGGGCGCGCTTAACGCCTCGAGAACACCCCGGCTCGCCACGCCTCGCCCCGGCCGGCGGATGGTTCCGCAAATGAACCGCCGTATCCTCGCCGAGCTCGTTCCGCCTCTCTCGCACCCGCGCGCGGCAGTGCGCCCAGTGCGAGAGAGACAGACGGCAGCCCGCTCCGCTCCGTTCCGCGCCCCGCGTCCATCTTCCGTAACCTCTCGCAGACGACAGGGGCGCCACCTGAGCGGCCTCAGGTCTGTCTGTCTCTCTCGCACTCGTGGGAGAGAGAGGAGAGAGAGAGAGAGCGCGGCACTTCCGGGCAATGGCCGCAGGGCGCCGCAGGGCGCCGCAGGGCGGTCAGTCGCGGAGTTCGGCGTTCCGCGCGGGGAGCGTTCGGACGGCTTTAGTGAGATTGGACGCGGCCCAAGGCCGCCGAAGGACTCCTGGACGGACTCCTGGACGGACGACGACGACGCCAGGGTTTGCCTATCAGCGGGCCCCGCGCCGCGACCCTGCAGTCCTGCAGTCGCCTCCCTCGCTCTGCCGCCCCACGAGTGCGAGAGAGACAGAGCCAACTTCACCCGCGACGTGTGGTGCTTGGTGGACATTTCCGTCGCTGTGTCTCTCTCGCACTCGTAGGGCATCCAGAGAGAGACGGAGCGACTCCAGCGCACCGCCGGCAGACGCGAAGGGGATCAGTGAAAATGGCGCGCGACACTGTGGAAACCACCACCGCCACCGAGGACGCCACCGCCACGCGTCGTCGCCGCGGT